CCCAAAAGTCCAATGGAATGCCCCAAAAGTCCAATGGAATGCCCCAAAGGATAAAAACACACCCCATGGATGTTCCTTAAGAAATCCAAAAAACCAACGCCAGGGTATCGCAAAAGAAAAACTCAAAACATTGAACTCCGCTTTTTATCCAACCGGTTCCTCTGCTTGTCCCCGCCTTCTTCCTTGTTTCGCATGAATCCAAAGAAACTACTCTTCTTCGGGGCTAGAGTTTGCGGTTGCGGCTGCGGCTGCTGTGGTCGCACTCCCGGTGCGGCGCCACCGCTTGCAACTTGATAAAAGCCCACCGTTGACTGTGGTCTTGCCTGCTGTGGCCTCGACTGCATCAGGTGCATTGTAGATTGTGCACGAGGATCGAGACGACCCCCAGCGGAGCCGTGCATGTATGGGCCACTCGCAAAGGTAGGCGCCACGCGGGATGGGCGTGGTTGGTGTTGAGGTTGGTGTTGCGGCTTTTGGTGAGGCAAGTAGGAATAGGATTGCGAGTAATGATGCGAGTATGGTCTTGATGGTCCCGTATGGCGGGCTGGAAGGTTTGGGCGGGATGACGGGGCGGGAACTGGTGTATTTGCATTTGCGTTTGCGTTTGCGTTTGCGTTTGCTTGTGCGCTAGCCCGGACTCGCTGTTCCTCGTGGCCGTATAGCTTTTGGAGACGTTTTGTTTCGGCGTCAATTTCGGATTGGCGTTTGCGTTGGGCTTTTTCTTGGGCACGTTTCTCGGCTGCGAGGAGTTCCGCCGTACGTTGGGCTTCTTTCCTTGCTTGGGCGTCTTGGCGCGGGCGTGGTTGCGATTGTGGTTGTGATTGTGGTCGTGGCTGTAGTTGTGGTTGCGGTACTGCTTGTTGGGTCTGCGGAATAGTCAGGCGTGGTGGAGAGGGCTTGCGGTTTGCCACGGCGACGGCTGAGGGTTGTGACTGGGTTGCGGGACTTTTTCGGCCTGGGACTGCTGCAGTCTGGGGCTTGCTGGTCCCGATCGGAGGAGCGCCAGCGACGATGTGGAAGGCTTCTTTGGCGGGACCGAAGAAGATATCCCGGATGGCGACTGCTGTAAGCAAGAGGACTACCTCTAGCCCTTTGAAGTCTTCCATGTCCACCCGGTAGAGGTTCGGCTCGTAGAGCGTTAGCTCGCGGAGACCTTGAAACAGGGCTACGGTGATATCCGGTTCACGGGTCTTGGTGCGAGTGTCTGGGATCGTAGAGGATTTGCCGTGCAACAGACAAGTCAGGTCCTTGGACAGCTTTCCATCCTTGCGCCAGCTAAACCGTAGCTTTGGAGTTACATCCGCTACAGAGGGGTCACTTTGTATCCGATCGAGGGTCGATGCAGAGGGGACTCTGAATGTCCGCTGTGGCATCTCGAATTCCCATCGTGCAGGCTTGTTCCATGTCTTTGGCTGGTGTTTGATCACGATCTGCTGGTCCGGATTGTACAAGTGGATGGAGAATTCGCTAGGGAGAATGGGCTCCGGGAGAGGTGCAGTGCCACCATTGGCACGAATCGTATCGGCCGACAGATTAGGCTGTGTCCATTCGGGAATCACGGCGACTTCGCCAAACACGACGTCTGGCACGTAGGGATCGTAGAGGGCGACGCCGTAGCGGTTCCGAGACGTGGGGAGCTTGGGGTCCAAATAACGCAGGTTGTACGCCGGCTCCGGCTCGTTTCCATGTTGACGATGGAAGATTGTACTCTGGTTGGTGTTTTGTGAGTTGTTCTTGAGGAAGAACGCTAGAGGAAGACAACGAAATTAGCGATGGGGGTGCGCAAAGGAGCCTGGAGAATGGAGGGGAAAAGGCAATGACGTCGTTGGGAAAGGAGCAAGGGCAAAATGACCCTCAGGGCAAGCTTACTCGGTAGATTCTCATCAATCATTTTCAACCTTTCGCCTGCGTTCTCGATGAGGAGATGGAGCAGGAAACAGGAATTATATTGCAGAAGATCGGATTCCGGAGTGGACGCTGGTCAACCCTGCGCCACGGGATGCACGATCGGCGCCTAAAAATAGGGTGTTCCAGTGTCCACCCGTCATTTGCACCCTCGTTTCCAAGGCCCTTTCTGGTTGAACTCCATACTCGCAAAACTAATCAGCTAGTGGCTAATAAAGAAGCTACTGTCAGTGAAGGCACCAGGATTCCGGGGAGTATCCACTTGCTTGGCTATGCCGTACCTTTCACATTACAATACTATCCTATGCCCCTGACCTCTCTCTCTCTCTCTGACGTGTTACGTAGACCATCAGTGCCAATGCAGAATCGCAGGTACCCGAAATCTCGCTGCCTACCAGATGATCCTTCTCGAGTAAATCCGTTACCTGCAGCCAGACACACCAACATCCGTCCTCCGACAGCCATGTGATTCGCCAGATTTTGCTTGTCAAACAAGCCAGTCCTAAATTCAAAGCGTGATCGGATTATAGTCATAGTCAGCATCTGTAACAGAGAAATGATATACTTGGAACTTACCTGTGTTTTGGGGGCTGCTAAGCCACCATTCCTGGCCCCGCGCCTCCTCCATGAAAGGCCGCAAAGTATCCGAGTTGTGACTCCACGAAAGAAGAGGGAAAGGATGGTTTCCTATTTGCGTCAGCCACCACGAGAGAGAAATGGGCGCGAACTTACCTGCACAGTTAATTGACTGGATTTTTGAGTTTCCAGAAACCTAGAAAGAATACTTCTATTGGTGTTAAGCGTAATAAGGAGAAGACCTACCTAGGGTCAAGGTGGCGTGATGTGCTCGCGTCCATGGATCCTGTTTGTTAAAAGTCTCTACTAAACTCAATTCATTAGCCGTGACACATCGGGGGGAGGGACTTGCCTGTATAGAATATTTGAAAATATGGTGAGATGTAGAGGGTACCTAAAGGCTGTGGTTAGCAAAGACGGGTGGGGAGAATCACTGACTTTGCAAGTTATCCAATGACAGAGCCTCCCTGATTGAGTATTCTAGCGGACATTGCGGTATTATACATTCTCAAGAACATCCTATAATATGTTAGTGATAGATCCGGGGAGGGAGCCCCCACTTGAGGCATATACTCGGGAACTGTTTCATCCGACAATGACTCGGGCTCCTTGATATCCGGTTAGTCAAAGCATCATATACAACGTTCAAGAGGAAGGACCAAGATATGAATGGAAAGATCACCTATCTTGTTATCTCTTTTGGTCAATGCCCACGAAACCAGTCATGGGTGATGGCTTCCTGCTGCCTTCTTGACAGACGTGTCTGTATAATTGGTCGCCTAAAGCAGTAATCAGTATCAATTAAGGGCCGGAAATGAACTGACTGGGTAGATCAAAGTAAGATAATGGTACATCCGTAGAAGCAGTTACCTAGAAGCAGTCATTAGTACGCGTCTTCACGCGGCGAGGGACCTTCTCCAGGGATCACGGTAAGAGTATGTGCTGTGCTGCGCCGAGATGGCCTGCAATTTGCAAGCAATTAGCAGTACAACTTATAGGGTTGGGACATACCAGATCATAAGGAGCATTTTCTGAACTATAAAGCCAGGAACCTGGAAGCATAATTAGTTCGGATCCTCCAAGGGACGTACCTGATAGTTCATGATGAGAGAATGGGTACAATGTCGTACTTGAGATACCGGTCATTGCCTAAAAGATGTCAGTAAATGCCAAGAGGGGACTCACCTTGATCAAGATCTTGGATCTACTGGCTTGCACACACTTGGCGATTGTGATTGTGATTGTGATTGTGATTGTGATTGTGATTGTGATTGTGATCTGGAAACCCAACTCTGGGGAATGGACCCCCATTATATACCCTCCTAGTCCGAGAGACCAGACGATGGTTCAGTCGATCACGAAAACCCCTTTGTATAGACCCCTGTCGAGTTTGTATCATATTGTGTGAGAGTCGAGGAGAATACCCATTGTACAGTCTTGACTGTCAAAGGTGACCCAAGGGAACATGAAGCGAGGCACGGCGCCGACCCGAAGAACGGCGTTGCCGGGTCTTTGTTCGTCTGCGAGCCCCTAGATCGATGTGAAAGCGATAAGAATAGACTAACAATAGCTAAAAGGTTACACACTACAAAGGTATACAATTAGATTCTACCAAATTTACCCCAAACACTTTTGATAGAAATCCATACTTATTTAGTAACTTTTGTTCTATGTGCATCCAATCAATCTATCTGTATGTTGATCAACACTCCATCGATGTATGTGCCAAACGGCTGCATCTCTAATGGGGAACAATGCCAATGTCTATTATCATTCCAATAATTCATAGGCCAGGTTGAACGCGTGCGTGCACTATACACGAACACCATCAACCTCCTTACCACCAGGAACCTTAGCAGCATCCCGCTCGGCAGTGCTCATCTGTAAGCCCTGGTCGTCCCAGCCCTGCGTGCCGAGCTTGTACAATGTCTTCTGCTGCTCGCGGTCAGGCATGGGGCCGGCCTTGCCGCGCCGTTGCCGTGACTCGAGAGTCTCAGTCAGTGTGGCATTGTCGCCGTCCAGAGGGTGGCCCTCCAGATCCTCGTTGTGCGCCTCGTCGGTGAAAGTGTAGGTGCGGTATTCGGTATTCACCCAGCCAGTTCCTACAAAACAACGTGTCAGTTATGTTCCTGGCTCATTTAACCACAGCGGCCGGTTCACATACCCTGGTACTGGCTGCTGTCCTCCCAGTCCTCCGTGAAGTAGTGCAGGAAACCACCGTGAGTGACGAGAACGATCTCCTTCTCGGGACGAGCCTTCAACCAACGGCGTGCAGCACGCGCGCGCTCCTTCAGCGCCCGGTTCGTGGGCGCATAGCGACCTTCCTATTGAGCAAATATCCGCGTTAATCATGTACACGGTCAAGAGTCCAGGGTTGAGTCTCGAGGTGGGGAGAGATCAACACACACCTTGTTGTTCCATCCCTTGTGCACCAGCTCTAAATCAACCGGCTTTCCCGCAAACTCCTCCTGCAGAGCCTCTGGCTCACTGCCAGTATCGCACGGCACATCGGAGGTCTCCTGGGTGTCCGGCAGCGCAATCAGCTTCATGCCCGGGTGCGACTCGAAGACGGGCCCGAAGCTCTCGAGGGCAGTGTAGATGGTTCGGCGGAGAGGAGATGCGGTCACCAGATCGATCTGGGTGTGCTTGGGGAAGGTGGCTTGCAATTTAGCGCATTGCTCGTGGCCGCGATCTGTAAGGAGGGGGTCGGGGATAACGTGGTTGGCGGTGCAAAGGTTGTGGACGCCCTGAATCAAGCCACGGTTAGATCGTGAGGTCATGGAATGTCGATAGCGCCTGGCTATAGATCGGTGTATCCCCGTGCTTGACGGCGAAGCTGGGATCTCTTCAAGGCAATGGCTTTGTTGGCCGATCGGTATGAATGGAATGCTGCTAACGTACCTGGGCGTGACGAACGGCGTGGATGATAGGCGCCATTATGAAATGAGATTTTGAGATGGAAGCAGTGACAAATGCTGGTTTCGAAACTCGTTAGCTCTGATGTCCGAAGCTCTGATCTCCAGGGTACTCGCGATGACTCTTATCGGAAACCGCGGGGCAGGCGGGGGACCAACAGGGTAAAGACAAAAAGGATTTACAGTAAAGACGACCAGGCCAGCTGAAAAGGCCGAGGGTATTGAATTGTTTGAACAGATCGTAATTTGGAAGAAGAGAAGTAGCGTTGAACAGCTCAGCACTGATGAAGAGTCAAGAGGCGGAGGGCAGGACTCCGCTTGCTTGGTCTTTCGGGGGATCGCCACTGAGCTACGGTGCCATCCAGGGTGAACCACACGGCCAAACCGGAGCCGCTGGCTTTTCTACTTTGTCCTGATTCGTCTGAGAAGGCGGTTGAACCCCACGTGGTTGGAGGTCTGTCCGTCTTATGAAAGAACTTATTAATCTGGCTGGAAGCTTCGCCGCCATCTCTTTGAGAATTCCGTTTAATACATTTGCGCCGTACGAATAAGTGTGCTTTACAATCGTTGCCTTCTTCAAGGGAAAGCTTTTTTTCATTCCCGAAGGAACTAAATAACGAGGAAATGGGTATGTATAGATACGACCAACAGTGTTGATCTAAATGAAAGCCTCCTTATGCAACGCCGAATCCTCGCGCATTTTCAAGTGCCTTGTCCAGCTTCTCGGCCAGTGCTTCTTTCGAGGAGTACTCGGGAAGCAGTAGACGACCGAAGCATGTCAGACTGGTCGGCAGGCGCTGGAAAGAAGAATGAGTAATTAGTTCAAGTCCACCGGTAGTTACAGGAGCGAGCACGAATGACAAATGCTTACCAAATCTCCAACACCGTTCTTCTGAATCACGAACATAATGCTCGAGATACCGTTGACGGGAACTCGGTCGCTGGCGGTGACAAATTCCAAAAGCTGTGCCTTCTTCTCGAGCGGATATTGCTGGACCACACTCCAGAAGTCACGGATGACTCGGTGAGTGGGTCCGAAACCGCCCTCATACCGAGCATGGTGCTCCAGTTCTGCCACGTTGATTTCTTGAATCCCTTCGACGACGGTCTTGAGTGCTTCGGGCGTAAAGATTGATAGGGCTGAGCGATCCAGGCAGGTGTGGAAGCCTCGCAGGAAAGCCTCGAACTGCGGCCTGATCGACTTGTCGGTGAGCCAAAAGATGTAATCTTTGACGAACTGATTGCGATTCTCATTTGTCACGAGAGGCGCTTCGATAGAAGGAGCGTTTGGCGACAGCGGAGGCAAAGACCGAATGGATTCAGCGGGGTTAGCCGGATTGGAAGCGGTAGAGGCGTGATGAGACGCTTCTGCTGCGATTGAAGATTGCGGGCAACCCGTCTCTGAATCAAAGTAATGAGAGCCGTCCGAGCGCACAGCTTCGTGATCGGCGGTGTCTGAACGCGCTGCTTTGGAGACAGGCCAAACTTCGTCACGACCAATCTTGTGCATGTCAACTGTCTCCACGCAGCCCGAAAACTCGAAGCTGAATTCGTACGTGCGCATGAAGACATCACCCACATCGCCATCACTCCAGGTGAGGAGGGACTCCAGACCCTGAGTGAGCTCAGGCCAGCCGTCGCGAATATGGTCAAGATGTTTGACTTTCAGACCCAACAACTTGCGATAGAATGCCACTGGGAAGTTGATGGGCAGCGTGAGACCATTGTATACGGCTATAGACATCAGCAGCCCAAGTAGCTCAAATTTGTAAAGCGGTTCCCAAGACCAGGGTTGGAACCAGGAGACATGATGCCGGGGATCCGCCATGAACATGCCGTAGGATGGATCCAAAGCTTCGCCCATGAGAACACGGAAGAACTCTTGCTGGACACCACCGTGATCCAACCCTTCCTCGCCCTCGTCCATGCCCATCTGCACCTTGAGCGGGCGCATGAGCTCTCGCTTCTCTCGACGCCAGAGCTGGTTGAGAGCATCGGTCAAGACACTATCTCGCCGAACCACCAAAACCAGATAGGTGGACATGGAGGTCTTCATGCGACTTAGAAGCGCGGCCTCATCTGCAATCGTAATACTGCTGAATGCAGACTGTGTAATGTGACGCGTGGTAGTCATCGCAGCCTCGTAATACTTGGACATCGCCGAGTAATTGAGGGCTCTAAAGTATATGACCAGGTACGACGGCGGGAAGAGGAATGGATATGAGAGAAGGTGCATCGTACGGTTGTTCGAGAGGTTCCCCAACCATGCAACGGGCATCTCCAGAGGGTCCAGCCGCTCAGTGAGAATGGGAGTGTGAAAGTCCTCAGGCAGAAGACCCAGGCGATGTCGTTCTTTGTACATCAAAGCCAGTATCTGCACCGCGCCTCCAGCCGCACTGCTGCGGGCCATTTCCGGGTTACCGTCCCATTCGCGTAGAAAAAGCGTTCGGAGCCACTCAACAATGAGAGGAATAGGCCAAGCGGAGTGAGAAGATGAGTCTTCGGTCTCCAAGAGTTTCCGTGGTCGTTGCTCGCTGAAATGATCCATGATGCGATCGAGCACATTGACTCTTCGTTGTTTGGGTAGATCAAGGCTGTACACTTGCCGAGCTTTGGATATCTCATGATAGGCGAGTCTGGCGGCGAGAGCACGGACAAGACGACTGATCAAGCGGAGGCCTAGTTCATGTTCAAGTCTGTCGGTGGCTTCCACTGCTTGCTGTGCATGTTCAGGAGACAGCTTTTGCATGTCAGCAGAGGAGGCGACAGTTCCAGCAGCCCGCATCCGCAGAATCCCACGCCACGTGCTGATGTCAAGATCCGGAACTGAGCTGACCAAGACAAAGAAAGCAACGGTGGCAATATAAGCAGCATCTGCGTCAGACAAGTGCTCATTATTGGCGGATTCGGAGAGTCGCCGCACCACGGGGGGAGCGGAACTTGTCATAGTAGAGCTCCGAGACGAACGACGAGAAGGTCGCCCAGAGGAGGCTAGGTCGTTCGGCGGCAGGAAAAGCTTGTCCAGCGAACTCCACAAGCTGTGCAAAGCAATGTCCCATGGGCAAATAGTGAAAAGCCGCTGCAGAGACCCCTGAAGCTTTGACATATCCAGGCGTTGATTCATCTTGTTGGCTGATGTATCGAGTTCTAGAGCATCTCTCCCGAAAGACAGTAGAATCTGCCCGGTATTGCTGAATATGAAATACGCACTCTGGGCGATAAAAGGGAAGACCTGGCGCTGGCGAGGCGTTGCAAATTTCCAATCAGGGTTGTCAAAGCTTCCCATGGACTGTATGTGGTCAAGCTCCTCCCGCCACGCCTCTGCATCTTCTTCGGAAGAAAACATGACTTGACTAAGACCATCGATAATCTCCGGCGTAAAATGGGAAATCGACTGGGCCAGTGGGGCCACATTTTCCGTGCGGCGCATGGAACTCGTCTTCGGTTTACGATTTGTTGGGGTGTCGATATCGATGTCCGACTGTGGAGGAGGTGGTTGAAGGTTTTCCGTGCTTGCGCCGATGGTCGTCTCAGTCAATAGCTTCTCACTGTCCCATGATACACGGCGTCGATTCTTGGGGTGATCTTTAGACCGTGGTTTGTCCAAGTCCCCCGCTCTCCCGCGATGTTTCTGGGGGCGGTGTTTCAATGCCGGCGGCGATGGCATGGTGGTAAACTCGTTTGAAGCGAGATGCGCGTTCATTGACAGTTTGTGACTTTTGTACTCTGGTCGCTTCTTTTCTTCTAGGCTAGATCGAGGTGACTGTCGCCAAGTATCCGCTTCAGGAAGCGACAGTCGCTTGACATGCTGGTTTTGAAAAGTGAGCTCCACGGCCGAGGGTTGCATTCCGGAGGTTCGAGATGAAGGAGTGCGCGGTAAAGAGCTCCTCGTATTCGAAGGGGCGACCTGGCTGGCATCTGTTTTCAGCTTGTCTGCTCCTTTGTCTTGTCTCTTTGCATGATTTGGCGTCTCATTGCTTTCCGGGTGGCTCATCAATTGACTCCGAGGCGGCTGCAAATTCTCGGCTGCACGTCGCAGTGGGAGCCACTCCACCATGCGTAATGACAACGTATCAAAGAGATATTGGGTAAAGGATTTAGGATCTTTGAGAGGTTGTTCGGCAACGTAGTCAAGGTCTTGAAAATTGGAAGTGCTCGGCTGCGCGGCATCGAACGTCGTTTCTGAGATACCTCTAGAAAGAGCCGATGCTCCGGCCTGTTCATTTGTGTCCGCGGGTATTTTGTGATGAAAATTGTCTGCTTGTTCTCGTAGGGCTTGGGAATAGCGGCGCTCTGCCTCTGTAGGAACAGCGACAGCATGCGCTTGGAAGGCTCGAGATCGCTGGAGCGAGATACGGTGATAGTCGTGAATCGTCATTTCGGATGAGTACCGGGGTTTATTGCAGCACAAGCCGCTTTCTGGATCATCCTGACTAGCGAGGTAACAGGCTAGAGTTCGCGCGCTAAGTTCAGTGTATCGGCGATACGGGCCTTCGCTGACTCTCCGACGTCGGCTGGCGCAGGTTGGGGTACGGCATCCTGGGTCATCACATCCATGTAGCAGTTGATTTTTGTACCTGTGTAGGAGCTTGTATTAGAATTAGGATCAAGGTGACGTGAGATGAAGACTCGGCCGTGTCAACACTCCGTTCCAGGAAGCTCGTACCTTCGCACTAGTATATTGAATCGCCTCCGGCGCTCATCCCGATACCACGGTAGGACCCGAGAAGGGTCCGTGACTTCGACGGTGTTTTGTACGATAACGTCCGGCGCATTTGGCGGGATCTTGGATCGAGTGTATTGAGATCGCTCGCTACCACCCGGCTGAGCCGTGTTCGGACCGTCGAGGGAAGCTCCGCGGAGCCTCGTCATCGTGAAATCGGCCGGAACATAGCTAGGCCAAATGATGGCCGAATCTGATCAAGTTTTCTTCGCGGTTGCTAACTGTTGTTGGCTCGAAGGTGCATGAGGAGAAGCAGAGGCTCAGCTCACCTGATATCATCGGGGCGCGGCCAACGATACCGCCGGAGACATCATTGACCGGATCAGCATTTGTCCGAATATCACTAATTATCACGTGCAAGTTATCGATAACATCGGAGAAAAGATGCCGGATCAATATTTCTCCTGGTATCACGTGTAGATTTGATCGATGGTTACCGAATAAGGTTAGCGTGATCCTTTGAGGAAAAGCGTCATCTTTGTCTCTGTGCGGTTGATAAGCGTTGCTTGGAAATCAAGGCCCGACTACGATCACACAACTTGTCGCCTCTATCATTTGGAACTCCCAGAGATAGTGATATACTTGAACAAATTATCACCCTCGCGTCCTGAGCTGTTTTTCAGAAAATTCATCTCTGATTAAGCGAGAAATCGACTTGCGACAGAACTTTCACATACCCCGCCTGCGATAAAAACTTCGCTCCCCACTTACATTTTTCCCACCAAGAGGCCGAACTCTCGACTTTAGACGATATCCGACGAAACGATCTCACAATGTCGACGACCACTCAGCAGGTCGGCGCTCCTGCTGCCAACCTTCCTTACACCTGTAACACCTGCCTAGTTGCTTTCCACCGCAGCGAAGCGCAGAGAGATCATATGCGAAAGGACTGGCAGTAAGTGGCGATACTCGACGAATATCATACCAAAAGGACAACTGACTGACGTTTTTCATTCTTCAGCTTGTATAATATGAAGCGCCGTATTGCCTCTCTCCCGCCAGTGTCCCTGGAAGTTTTCAACGAGAAGGTCCTTGCCGCCAAAGCGAACTCGACCGAAGCCGCCGCCAAGGCCTCTTTCGAAAGAACCTGCCACCCCTGCCAGAAGACTTTCTACAGCGAGAACTCCTACCAAAATCACATCAAGAGCTCTAAGCACAAGCAGCGCGAGCACCGCTTGAGGAAGGAGGGTGACGATGCATCAGTCCTGAGCTCTGCGTTCTCTATGGGAGAACCAGTCAGCAAATCGAACGAGAGTGAGGTCGCTAAGGTCACCGACGGTCTCAAGTCTGCTACCATTCAAGAAGAGGATGAGGATGTAGAGATGCAAAATGATAAGACTGAGTTCTCAGTCTCCCGGTGTCTCTTCTGTTTGGCCGATTCCGCCGATGCCCAGGCCAATGTTGAGCACATGTACAAGACTCATGGAATGTTTGTTCCCGAACAAACCTACCTCGTCGATCTCGACGGCCTTCTCAATTACCTCTACCGCAAGATCACTGAGAACCACGAATGTCTTTACTGCCATGCCATCCGCAACAACGCCGAAGGAGCTCGCACGCACATGCGTGACAAGGGCCATTGCATGATCGCCTTCGAAGCTGAGGAGGAGCAGATCGAAATTGGACAATACTACGACTTCCGCAGCACCTATTCTGACGGAGAAGATGACGAGGAAGATGAGGATATGGCTGATGCCGGTGGCGTCAAGGTGAAGGGCTCCGACGGGGATGATGATGGATGGGAGACTGATGCCTCCTCGGTGGACGAGGATGATGAGATTGAATCGCACCGTAAAGCACCCGCCATCTACCAGGATGAGTACGAACTCCATCTGCCCTCTGGCAGGAGTGTCGGTCACCGCTCGCTCGCCAAGTATTACCGCCAGAACCTGCACAATTACCCCACCGCAGAAGAGAGACATGAACGAATTCTGGCTATTGCGAACGGAGAAATCGAAGAGGAAGAGAAGCCCCGCGGTCGCAACCAGAACCGCGCTCTCATTTCTCGCGCCAATGGTGGTACTGGTATGATCGGTGCCACCGACCACCAGAAGCAGACTGTTCTCACCACAGAGCGTCGTGAGCGGACTCGTGCCCTTCGGTCCGAGAACCGTTACCTTGCTCGCCTCGAAAGAGCCAACAACTCCCAGAAGCACTTCCGTGATCCCCTCCTCCAGTGATTGTCGCAGCATCTTTGCTCTTTCTTCAACGGCCATTGCAGTCGCTCATACCATAGCTTCTCGACTTTACCTCTTGGTTTGCCCGATATAAGGTCTTGGTTCAGTCGCCTGGATGCCATTGCTATCATTCCCGCTTGAGGCAATTGAAGCGGCTCATGACCATCTTATTCAGTGGTTGGTCGGTGCATCTATTTGCTTTGGTTATATCATCGGGTTTTTTTTGACTTCGATTGATATATCATCAAGAAGGCTCTCGTCCCTCGTGTCAAAACAGTGCGCATCGTGGTTGAACATGCTCAACCGGTGTGGTTTCTATCGAGGCGTCACGACCTATTCTCTAGACCGTCTATCTGACGGCGGACAATTTATGCAGTTTACGTTGATGATCGAATACTTTTCTCATGTTGTCTACAGTTTCTGCATAACCGGGGCGCAATTATCATTTTCGATTTGGTTATTAACGAGGTTACCCGGAAAAGCATGCATCTACTCTGATATTCCAATTCGAGTCCTTTTTTAATCTCCAAGACGTTCTTTTTCGTAATTGACCTAGCTTCATTTAGAGGCCCTCTACGTAATTGCAGTCGTCATCTCGACTTTACTAGCTACTCTAGTTCTCTAAGATGAACACTAAATTAGAAAGGTTTGCAGGAGAAATGAGAATTGGATTGAGAGGGCATAATCTCGCTAGTTGAGAATGATGCCGGTGTATGGTTGATCAAGGAGTGGTAGCATGTACATTCAATGCAGGAGAGGCTGGTCCTCTGTAGCGCCGCCACCACCTGTAGACTTGTGGTGCTTGCCATGCTTCTTCTTACGGCGACGTTTCTTGTGTTGAGATTCGTGCGCTGAGGTTTGCAGGTCGGTTGTATTTGTAGTGTTTGTAGCACTGTCCTTGGTGACGGGAGAGATATCACCGGTGTGGCGAGGGGACACTCCAGCCTCACCCTCCGAAGAGCTGCTGTAGTTGGCGTGGAGAACGACCTTGCGGATGCCGTTCACGTCCACGATTTGCTCCGTGATGCTGCCGCTGCGGGTGGGACCGCGATGGTGGTATATGAATTCGGCAGACTTTGAGTCCGTTGAACGGATGCTCCCTGTGCCACTGCTGGTCTTACTCTTGCTATTGTGGGTTGAGGCAGACCGGTTAAGATCTTCGTGCTCTTCGCGAACGGCTTCAGGGATGGAAACGTGCGGCAGGTCTATGTATTGCTGGGCATTTGTTGCCTTGGTGACTTGATCATGCGCGGGTATCGTACCATATCCGAGTTTGAGAGCATGAGCACCATCCTTGGCATCGGCACCGGAACTGACGAGGCCAGCACCGACCCCTCCCTGAAGGCCACGCTGCGAATCAGATGCACTTTGTCCGGACTCAAAGTCTGTGTGGGCCGAGCGAGATGGTGAGGCACCACTGCGTTTGATCTTGACGGAGGTGTAGCGCGTCTGACGTGGTCGACTTGCGAGGTTAGAGGGACCAAGATGTTTCAGGTGCTCCCGAATCTCATCCGTAGCACCTCTCTGTGTGAACCAGTTGTCATGGGAGTCTAAAGGCTGATCTCCATTTTGTCGGCGGAGTTGGAAGCGTGGAGGAGGGGCTTCCACTGAGCTTCGACGGCGAGGTAGGTCCGAAGACCTTCGTCTTGTGACAGGTGCGGATTGATCCGTTTCGTCCAGCTCGCTCTTCATAAGGGAAGTTGCCATAGGTGGCTCCTCGACGATTTGGCCCTTGGGCACTCGGCTTTTGGGTGCTGGTGCCATGCGACGAATGGCTTTGTGCACATCAATGAAGACATCCGATTCGTCAATGATTTCTCTGTGGCCAATGTCAGTGAACGAACTTTGCCGGAGAAAGATAGAGTCAAATCAGAGAAAAGGGTAACATACTCGCCGATCAATTCTTCAATGACATCTTCCAAGGTGACCACTCCCAGGGCCCCACGATCCTCGCTTGGATACTCGGAAACGAGCACCATGTGCGATTTTCCTTCTTGGAAAAAGTTGACAATGTCCAGACAACTTGTTTCCGGGCGTGTCTCTGGCAGGGTCGCCAATGCAAATTCTCGGACACGTTTGCAATCTTCGGGATCGTAGGTGATGAGCATCTTTACCAGTAGCATGCCCACAAAATTCATCGGGTTGTCGGGTGCGTGGATGGGAATGCGAGAATATCCTTGGGACAGAATCAGGTCCATGGTGCGTTCATCGAGGACAGTGTCCGCGGACATTGTGAACACGTCTTCCATCGGCGTCATGATTGTGCCCACGGATTTCTCCTTCAAATCAAGTACGGCGGATATGATTGTCACTTCATCAGAGTTCAGCTGCTCTCCGGCCTCTCCCAATGTTTTGTGAAGGGTGACGAGGGTCTTCAATCCGGCCTTTTTGTAAATGGTCCCGTGATCTTCGCCAAGCAGCTTGTCGAGCAACTTGGCCACGGGCCAGGCTACCGGGGACATGACGTACATCAAAACCAGGACGCACGGAGCCATCCATGCCCCAATAGGTAGACCGTATCGAACACAGATCGACTGAGGAACGATCTCGCCGAAAATGACAATCAAGGCTGTACTTCCCAGCACAGCTGGCCACCCACCGCCGAGGGTCCTATCCAGGACAATGGGTAAAGTCTCATTGGTGATCACGTTGCTGAGGAGAAGAGTGACCAGCACCCAGTGCTTTCCCCGCTTGAGCAGGTTCAAGACACTAGCGGCATTCTTCTTCTCCGATTCTTCGCCAGACGTCTGGATCACCTGTAGGTAGACTTCGTCCTGGCCCATCAATGCAATTGTAAGTCCCGCGAACGCTCCACCGCTCAACACCAGGGCTGCCGAAATGCCCAGGTACAGCCACAAACTCGGATCGTCGGGTTCTTTAGGAGATTCGGCCTCGCGATGTGAGGAAATGAGATAGGGCGACAGCATTGGGGCTGCTGTTGCCAGCGGAAGGCGAGAGAAGGCGAAGAAGATGACTTTGGCCAGACTCAGCACAATGGGCCGAGCGGCGAATAGATGCGTGGCATGGGGAGCCATCCTCATCTGAAAGTCGTCTGTCTTTCCGATAAAAGGAGTCGGGCTCGTCACCACAGATCTATCTCAAGGCTTCCAATGAGGAAGGTAAACAAGATCCGCGATCGCAAAGGGAGGGGTCACAGTCGGGACATTACTGAACGCAAGCGGGTGCTGACCACACGCAGCTTGGGGAGGGGGATGAGGGATAAGGAAAGGAAATGTCAACAAGAAGACGAAGAAGAAAGATAGAGAGGGAGAAGGGTTCGTTGTGATTCGAAGGAAAAAACTGCGCAGCGAAATGGGGTGGATCTGGCGAAACCACCACGGGCGTTAAGTGAAGTGGAAGAAAGCCGATCGAGACGAAGCTGAATTGGGTTTCGAGCGTAGCAGGTGACGAATGAACGCAGGGGCCAGCCCCGTGTGGTCATCGACACCTAGAAGGTTAGGCTCTTCCACCCGCTCCACCGTGGGTCCCGTGCTCGGCAAAAGGCCGGACCAACTGTCAGTCAGTCTACGACTCCATCAACTATAGCCCGACTTTCGGAGTTTGTCGCATTTTTCCCGTCACATTAGTCCCCCATACTCTCCTCTCACGCGCACGCGGATTCGGTCATCGTGTCGGCAATTGCGCTCGGTCTGTTTATGTCGCTTTGGCTCCAGAACCCTCGTGAGAGAGTATTCGAATCTGGGCGACAACAGCAGACGAATCGAGGCGTAGAAGGCGTGGGATTTTGCACTTGGTCGTTTCAGGTCGCTTTAGCACCAGGGCCCTCGCGAAGGGGGGTTGGAGCCTGGGCGGCAATAATAGACGGCTCGGTAGAGTGGCCAAAAAGAATCGTACTCGGTCTGGTCATGTCGCTGTGACTCCAGAGCCCTCTTGAAAGGGCTTTCAACTCTGGGGTGACAGATACTGACGAACCAATTCGGCTTCATCCTTGAAAATAATCCCGTCGTCGGTTTTCTCTATTCCATCCACGATAATGTCGGACCAATGAAACAGCTGTCCCAATTCTCCCGCCAGACGACTTTCGTCTCCAAGCAACGTAGTGAGCTGAATGTTCGTGAGGGGATTCTCGTAAGCCTTCTTGATCTCATCCAATGCCTCGTCCGCGGTTAACACCGTGTCCCGGAGCGCTCCTGTAGGACCGTCAAGGCCACGGATGTGGTCCAGGACGTTCAGGTACTTCTTCAAAATGACTTCTAGCTCCGTGGCCTTTTTGGCATGCTCCTTCTCCAGACTATCCGCACGAGCTTGTTCCAAGGCTTTGGCTTCCTCCAGCTGTTTCAACTGCTCTTCAAGCGAGGGAACAGCCTCCAGTAGCTTTTGGCACTCTCGGTAATTCCAGTCCAGATTATACGAACGAGCTTGTTCCAAGGCTTTGTCTACCTCCAGCTGTTGCACCTGCTCTTGAAGCGAGGTGATGGTCTCGAACAACTCTTGGTGCATGCTCTGAGCCGCATGGAATCCTTCAGCCATCGAACTTTGAGCTCCATCGGATTGAACTGAGGCTTCAGCCTGGACAGGTGCTCCAGACTGAGCGGTGCTGTCAGTCAGAACGTGGGCTTCAATTTGAACGGCGGCGTCGGTCTGGACGGCGGCGTCCTTCTTCTCTGTCAGGGGGAGGTTGCTGAGGTTGTCGGTGGCAGCCTTCTTTGCCAGGTCCCGCTCGAGAGAATAGATCTTGCAAGCCTGAATACGCACCTTCTTATAGCGAAGAATGCTTTGGTTGCGAAGATTGGTCTTCTCGTAGTTATGGCGGCGGCTATCGGCTTGGTGAACGGCATGCAACCGATCAATCTCTCTCAGCGCGGCTACGTGCGAAGCTTCAGTGTCGTCGTTGCCGCCTTGAACCAGGGAGTCATTGTCCGCGTCAAGACGCGTGGCCCACTGCAGGCGTCGGGAAGCCTGAGCTTGTTCTTGGCGGTACTTGTCTGACTCGTCCTTCAGCTCGTCGTATCGCTTGTTCGCGGTGCGAACCATTTCGCTGAGCTTGGAATTCATCGAGCGGGCCTTGCGTAGCTGGCCGTTGGCGTCGCGGAACTTGCGGGTAGCAGATTTCCGTGCCTCTGTGGCCTTGCGAACTAGCTCGCCCTCTTGTCGATGTAATTCCTGTTCAACCTCCTTGGCGACATCATGGGCGATGGTTCTCCGATGCTCAGTCAGTTGACGGCAGTAGTCGGAGTACCGGTTTTGAGCTTTCTTCAGCTCATTCTTGGCCCCGCCTAGATCCTTCTCGAGACAAATGATGCGGGACTGCAGCGCTTCACGCTTGTCAGCCTCCGCCCACAGATAGGGTCGCACGATATCATCGCGCTTGGTCTCGAGGCGCCTACGGAATTCCTCGTTGCGAGTTGCCTCCCGTTTCAAGTCGAGTGTGTCCATAGTCCACTGTTCGCGAGTGGACTTGCACTTCAACTTGAAGCAGAGCTCCTCTTGCTCGTGCTTCTCCTTCCTTTCCTCGAACTCGCGTTTCTCTTGGAGGAATTTCTGTTTGGCCTGCTGGAATAGGGTTTGCTCTGCTTCCAGTTTGGCTTCACGTCCTTTCAACCAGAGATACCGCTTGTCCTTGGGCCAGAGAGAGTCTTTCCGAGCTGCATCGATCTTTCCATCAGGGCCGGATCGCCGGGTGGTTGCCGCTGTCGCCGTTTTGACACCTGACAGTGTCTCCTTGTTGTTGGTGTTGTTGCTGGTGACAGTATTAGTCTCGACTCGGTCATCTCATGTATGTATGGGGAGGGGGGGGTTCTGCTTGCATGGTGTTGGAGGGAGAAGAGGGAAAATTATGAGAACGGAGAGGGGGATTATGGGAAAGCAGAGGAGGGTGGGGGAAGCTAGGTAGCAGGAGGTTGTATCAACTTACCTCTTCATTACCGAAGAGCAAAGGGCAGCAGTGTCGATCCAAATGGGTTGGACGACTGAGATGGCTCCGAGCCCCAAAAGGAAGTTCAGAGTCACCAACAATCGAAGCCCGCCCAAGAGGACGAACGCCACTGCGCGAAAAACGAAGTGGTTGAACAGCTCCATGACACGAGCTGTTCGCGCGCGGGGGGGGAAGGTGGGTAGAAGAATGTTCAGATGAACGTTCAGCACGAAGAAACGAAATCCTTGACGCTACCGGAGTAGCGAAGCGCAGCAGAAAACTTGGTTTTCGCAGAAGTGGGAAGAATTTTGTGGAGAGGAGAGGAGAGAAAGAAGAAGAGTTTGGATGGGCGTGGAGAGGGTTTATAAACGATTTCCCGATTAGGCAATTTCGTGTTTTGAGCGTGGCCAATTTGTTTGCTAACCCATCCCTCCCAGCCTGCCCTACCTTGCTGCCTGATTGGACCAAGGCTCCAGAATCATTGAAACTGCCATACAATATGCTACGGGTCTGTTTCCACGGTTGGAGAATATGTCGTTTCACATTTCCAGTTTGAGACCAGTACAGTGTAGCTCCATGGTACTCGACACTTTATGCCATCCAGTCCATTTGTCTCTCCGAATTCCAAATTTGTAGAATATGTATCACTGGCTCTCTACTTATTATGGATTCCGTGAGTTTTCGGTGATAATGTTGGGGTATACTTCAGGCTCTCGTGGTGGTTGTCGTAACTATACTCGCCCGTAAATTCCACGTTCCAGTCAGGATGTCAACACAATGTAAAATTCGTGACAACTCAGTCGATATCCGTGCAATTTCAACTGATTTCTGTTAATATATTACATTTCTTGTACCTTAGATATTTGTTACCCTAAGATTAGATTTCCTTTAGATTTTGGGACAAATCACGGCTGTTATTGAAGTTCTGTGCCGTTGGGGTGTTGTTGATCTAGAAAATTAAGGTTGTCGGGTCCGGTGGGGACGTGCGGGAGCCGCATGCCAGGGAACACAGGCCCCCATGCCAATGCCAAGATTCAGGATCCGCACTGCCCAAGGAGCTCGAGGGTAGGAGGTATTATTACAGTAACCAATATTACTAAAAGCATACTACATAGGATTGGAAAGGGGCCTCTGTTGCATGTTGACGCCTGGTCAGGCTGTGCCTGCTGTAGGTGGACACTGCTGGAGGCTGCCCAGCACTGTCTTGGCCACTGCCTGGCCGCCTATTGTTGGATCATGTAGATGACTATTGTTTTATGTAAAAGGACTATTTTAAGTTTCATTCAGGGCTGCTGCATTATTGGTAGAGATGTGAATGTTGCCAGTGCTATTGTGGCAAGACTCGTGTGGGGTCTATGGATAACAATATATATTGGGTGGGGCGACGGCACAATAAAGTCCTGAAGCAGACGCAGCGCCGTGCAGCCGGTTGAACAGGACGTACGCAAAAGATCCGAACAAAAACAAGGTGATCCTGAAAAAGATATTGATCTATTTAACAATGCAATACTAGAAAGTGATAGGCTATCTACGTAGAGAATACCGTATTCTATCATGAACCTATTATGACGCGCCCAATTTCAGTATTCTAGGGTCTGCTTGACCGCGTCGTAAATTCCTGAGAAACGTATTGATTAGCTCGGAAGATTCACATGAGCTTACTAGTTGAATGACTTACTGGCAACATCGGGTAGGATGAATTGTTCGTAGGATAGGCCGGTGTGGGTGCTCCAGCCGGCTACTCGCTTGACTGGAGCCTCTAGCCGCAGGAAAGCACCTTCTTGTAGTGTCGCAGCAACCTCAGCCCCAACACCATAGTTGATCATGCTCTCATGAACCACCACAGCTCGTCCCGTCTTGCGGACGCTCTCGATAACGGTCTGGCGATCCCAGGGGTAGATTGTCCTCAGGTCGATCAACTCGATGCTGACACCCTTCATGGTCTTTTCGATGGCCGAGATGGCCGAAGAGCACAGGTAAAGGGGTTGACCGTAGGAAATGATTGTCAGGTTCTTGCCCGGCTTGATAACCTCCGCCTTGCTCAGGGGTATCGTATAGTATTCATTAGGGACATGCTCCACCGCGGCCCGATAGAGGATCTTGGGCTCCATGAAGATGACAGGATCGTTGTGCTCGAAAATGGAGGAGAGGAGGAGACCTTTGGCCTGTGCTGGTGATCGTGGCATTACAACTCGGAGGCCGGGAACGTGTGCAAAGAGGGCCTCGGGAGACTGTGAGTGGTATCTATCCAGAAAGAAGGTCAGAATGTGATTCAATTAGGTGAGACCGCCCCAGCAAAACATACAGTGCACCGTGTCCTACTGCGCCGCAGGGCATGCGAATGACCAAGCCCCCGACATTGATCCCAGTACCTCCTTCTCGGTATCGGAATTTTGCAGCCTCATTGACAATCTGGTCAAATGCAGGAAAGACATAGTCGGCAAACTGGATCTCTGCCACAGGCTTCATGCCCTCCGCAGCAGCACCAATGGCAAATCCTGCGATTCCTTGCTCGGTCAAGGGTGTATTGAAGACTCGTTCCGATCCAAACTCTGTCTGAAGATCCATCGAGCACCGGAAGACACCGCCAAATGCAACATCTTCTCCGAAGAGCATGACCTTGTCAGAGGTCGACAGGGCTGTCCGCAAGGCGGAGTTGATGGCTTGGAAAAAATTCAACTTTTTGCTTGTCGCTGCCGCTGGGAAGTCGGGAACACTAGATAGGGAGGAGGGAGTATGGTGTAGTATTGGCGTAGACTTGTAATCAATTGGTAGGTTGAGCTTCGCTCGCGGCGAAGGAGCACTTGAGTAGCATCGGCGGGAGACTCGCGGGATCAGACTCCGCGATGATCGAGATAATGACATCTTTGACAAGTATGGGGGATAGAAGGTCTGTTCCAGCAAGCAGAATCATGCAAAAAGGCAAGAATTTCCCAGATCCTCCTTATAAAAGGATCCCTCCTGTACATTTTCTGGGGGAATTGCGGGGATTCGCCGTGAATAACCGCGGATGCAAACCTGCCAAACAAAAAGCTATGACGGCAGCGTGCCCCCCTCTTTTCTAGATCAGCGGGTTACAGTAGTTGAACAGTTAGTTCCGGGGTGGCTTTTGCTATTGTGGAACCTCCATGGACGATTGGCGACACCATTATTTACAAAGATGGAATGCTTCTTGACTTTTGAACCGCTACAGAGTACTTTTGGGGGATCAGTATGAGCCTGCTCGGCTTTCGTATCAATAAACTGAATTAGTCACGAATATTTGCGGGAAAGGGCGGGGATGGGGGATAAGCCCCTGCCATTTTTATGCATTGCGCTTGTGCCTATATGTTGAATAGCTCTCCTGCAATGGGATAGAATGGATACCGATCGTATATCTCAGATGGACGACACTCTATACTGCTAGAGTCACCTTAAAAGCTGCAGAGTCCGATCAATAAAGTTTCCCGAGCGGTGAGATCGAGCTTATCTGCTTATCATCACAACCGGTGCCGGTGTCGGCGCCAAGAAGGATGACTCTTCACGGCCCGCTCCAAAATCCCGCCCTTTTTTCCCGGTGACTCAACCCTTTCGACCTACTTTAAATCCAGTGTTTCTACCTTTTTTTGCCAAGCTTCAATACAACACGTTTCACATCACTCATCATGTCCAAGGGAAAGGTACGTTAATTCAATTGCCCCCGGCGCCACTGGGATTCCCCATTGTCCACGTTCAGACCGCCAATTCATCCCACTTTCCACGCCAATTGCCGCGTTCCCGACCGAACTGACCCATTGTCTCAACAGGTTTGCCTTGCCTACTCCGGTGGCCTCGATACTAGCTGTATCCGTACGATGTACCCCTCGAACAACAGCTCCGTCAATGGCAGTCACTGATACCAGATAACAGTCAAGTACCTCATTGAGGATGGCTACGAGGTCGTTTGCTTCAGTAAGTCGCATGCACCAAAGCCGAACACAAAATAAAAGAAACTGGGGATGTATGCTAATGCTATTTTAAGTGGCCGATGTTGGCCAGGAGGAGGACTTTGAGGCTGCCCGTGAGAAGGCCCTGAAGATTGGTGCTCTCAAGTGCGAGATTGTCGACATCCGCCGCGAGTTCATCGAGGAGCTCTGCTTCCCCGCCATTGCTTGCAATGCTGTCTACGAGAACGTGTACCTCCTTGGTACGGCCAACCTCCAATTGACTACCACCCCATGATCTCCCTGCTGATCAAGGCTTTAGGTACCTCTCTGGCCCGTCCCGTCATTGCCCGTGCCCAGATCGCTGTCGCCCAGGTATGCTATCTAACACTCACTGGCGCCTACACCCTGCGGATGGTCACTGATCGTGCAATTTTTTTTCTAGCGCGAGGGCTGCTTCGCTGTCTCCCACGGCTGCACTGGCAAGGGTAACGACCAGGTTCGCTTCGAGCTTGCCTTCTACGCCCTCCAGCCCAACATCAAGGTCATTGCCCCGTGGCGTGACCCCGTCTTCTACGAGCGCTTCGTCGGCCGTAACGATCTCCTCGCCTACGCTGCCGAGAAGGGCATCCCCGTCACCTCCACCAAGTCCAAGCCCTGGTCCATGGACGAGAACCTGGCCCACTGCTCCTACGAGGCCGGTATCCTGGAGGACCCCAACATCACTCCTCCCGCCGACATGTGGAAGTTGACCCAGGATCCTCTCACTGCCCCCGACCAGCCTGAGGACTTCACCCTCACCTTCGAGAAGGGTGTTCCCGTCAAGCTGGAGTACACCGAAAAGGGCCAGCAGAAGACTGTTACCGACTCCGTTGAGCTCTTCCTGACTGCCAACGCCATTGCCCGCCGCAACGGTGTTGGTCGTATCGACATCGTACGTCTTTCGAGAATCCATAGAGCTGTTATGAAAACATCCCGCTAATATTCACCCAGGTCGAGAACCGTTTCATCGGTATCAAGTCCCGTGGCTGCTACGAGACCCCCGGTCTTACTTGCCTGCGCGCTGCCCACATGTTAGTTTCTCTCTCCTGATGTTATTCCATTTCACTTCTGTGACAGTCCACTGACTCTGTGTAGCGACCTTGAGGGTCTTGTGATGGACCGTGAGGTCCGTGCCCTGCGTGACTCTTTCGTCACCTTCAACTACTCTAAGCTCCTGTACAACGGCATGTACTTCTCCCCCGAGCGCGAGTTCCTCGAGGCCTCCATCACCGCCTCCCAGAAGTCCGTCAACGGTGTCGTCCGCTGCCGCGCCTACAAGGGCTCCGTGTCCGTCCTCGGCCGCTACTCTGAGACCGAGAAGCTGTACGACATGACCGAATCCTCCATGGATGAGATCGGTGACTTCTCCCCCGCCGAGACCACCGGCTTCATCAATGTGTCGGCCATCCGTCTGAAGAAGTACGGCCAGATGAAGGCTGCCGCTGGTGAGAAGCTGTAAATATCTTCTTCTTCTTCTTCTTCTTCTTCTCTCTCACGGTAGGAGAATGGGGAGCCATATGCTGAGCATCACTGGCTTTACCAGCCAAAAATCGCTGGGATTTTCCTTTTCATCTTTATAATGTCCTGCTATATAGTGGACTGGGATCCCAGTTTGAATGATTGTATAATGAAATTAAAAAAAGTCATCTTGCGGGAATGTTCGCTGTTTCTTGAGTAGACTGCAATGCGTTCTATGTCTATCGGTCGTAGTTGAATAGTATTTATAAATCCTCCGATGCATATGTACCGGAGCCCAACAGGCCGAGCCAAGGACGGACAGATATCCATATCGTCCATCCGATCGGGGGTTGAGCATGATATATGGAGCTGTGCACAATCGTGCTTTATGTTGAATATAATGTATTATGTAGTGTGTATCCACTACAAGCTGGCGTTGAACTTGCCCTCGGTGCTCGCTTCTGCAAAGAACACGATAAAATTAGCGATCTCATCAGCAATACTGGAACACGTGAATCTTACCAATCCAAGCTTCCAGAGCAACCTTCTCGGCATCCCATCCCCACAGAATCCGCTGCGTCTCGCGATCAGACCATTTGTCCGGGTTGGATCCCGTTATCGAGGCCCGGAACTGCTCATCACGGGCAATCTGATCAGGTCCATCCGGCAAGTGCAAAGTAATACGATTATCAGAGCCCGATTGCTGTACCGTCTCCGCACGCAGTTTTCGCGACTGCTCGTATACTTGCAAAGCGCGTGGAATGTCGTGTCGAGATGGGATAGTCGACAAGAGCACGCCCAGAGCTGCCGCATCTTCGACTGCTTGTGCCGCACCTTGTCCCACATACGGCCTATTTCTGGTTAGTGGGGTCGCAAAGGAATCGAAGCGGATATGGATAATGAAACATACAGCATCGGGTGACACGCATCACCGATCAAAGCCACCGAGCCCCGAATCCAGGTCTTCAACGGGCGATGCAGACACAACTTCCACTCTAGCACTTCGTCGTCGTCAACCAGGTCGATCAGTTTTCTGATCCTGGGTTCCCAACCGGCATAATTATCAACCATTGCTTGCTTTGAACCCTTAGTCGTCCACGACTCCTCGACCTCTTGTCGGTCAGGGTGCAGCAGGACAACGTTATACATCTGGTGATCGCGGACGGGGTATGCGATGATATGGCGTCCAGGACCGAGCCAACGAGTCGCCTGCGGCTCGTCAATCAGCGCCTTCAACTCGGGGTCATTTTCCATCACACTGCGCGGTAACATGATTCGGTATGCAGCGTCACCGGTGGCGATGGCCTTTAGGGATGGGTCTCCCAACAGCTGTCCCCGAATGATGGACTTGATGCCGTCCGCACCGATAACGATATCACCGCGAACAATGCTTCCATTGGCAAGCGTGACGGATGCTGGACTGAACTCGACGCCCGTGACTAGCGAGTTGACCCGCAGCTCGACGTTGGGCAATGCCAAGGCCTTTTCAATGAGTGCGTTATGCAGATCTGCACGGTGGATAACTGTCTGCTGGCCAAAAGTCTTGTTGACTGGCATGGTCGCGAGGAGGCTGCCATCTTCCCATCGTCGGACGTGGATGTGCTCCAGTGCAACATCTTGGGCATGAATCAAGTCGGAAACACCCCATCCTGGTTAAGGTCAGTCTCCTTGATGTTATTTGAGACGAGACACGGAGGCAATGGACTCACGTTCAAACATTCTAAGCATGTTTGGGGAGACTTGGATTCCAGCTCCAACCTCCATCAACTGTGAATGAGTGCATGTTAGCATTCGCTCCAAGTATGGGATTGATCACACCACGTACTTTTGGGGCTGCCTCAAGGATAACGACACGATGGCCTCTTAGTCCTAACGTCAGGGCTGCGGCCATACCACCAATGCCTGCATATTCAATTCGTTAACTCTGACCTTGACTTCAACATTCAGGGAACGACATCGCTCAGTCATGGAATGCCGAGCAGATACAACATACCGGCCCTATACACGTTAGTCCGCGGCTCGGCGTTACCAGAATTAGACAAACTCGACTTACCCAACTATAATCACGTCGAGCGCGACATTAGCTCGCGGTACATCCATGATGAAAGAATGCGAGTATGAATATGAACAATTGATGCCAAATATGCACCTTGGATACCACCACCAGAGCAAGACAAGAATGAAAGAAAATGGTCCACAATTTCTGAAGACAAGTTCGCCCCGGACGAGTCACTGGCTATTTCAAGAAAATTGCCTCCCCGAGCTTAGTTGATCGAAGGTTTGCCGGCCCACCCGTGCCGGATTCTACTCCGGAATGCCTCCAGCCTTTCAAGACAGAATTACGGAGTACAATCTAACCGTTATGCTACAGATTACGAGCTAAATCCACCCCATCTTTGTTCTCCACAGACCGGGGGAGAAATGGAACATTGATACTTTGATGTGTCTTCGCCACTGATTACTAGCTTCATCTTTTATTCCCGAGATTTGGAGTCCTCGGCGAAGGGCCGGGGAGGACCAACCGACCGGCAGAGGGCTTCTAAGCCGATAAAATGCATCCCAGCATTGATCAAGGAAACCTCATCTCAGGACGATTTCCAGCAGATCCAGATACCGTTTCTCAACTTGCATTCAATACCTGCATTGAAAACGAGCTTTCCTACCTTTCCGCCAACGTCGCTAATTTTGTGGCGTACAATATTCGGAAAGACGTCTGAGCTCGGCAACGCTGGCGATCGGGGGGAACCACAGCCTCCACAGCCATTTAGGCTATTGGCTCCTCGACATTTTCCCTCCTTCCTCTGGGGATGCTAACGCTGGCCCTCCGGCTCTTTCGGTGTCTCACATCTGCCGAATCTGGCCCAAGCAAACCACATTCCTCCCATAGAGACTTGTGTGTCCCAAAGTTAGTTCCCTGACTGTATGCGGACGGAGACTTCGCCCCGAGCTCCCGCCGCCTCTAGCTTTGCTCCATCTTTGCGCCCGCAGACCCACGACTTGGTTGCACCCTTTTCTCCCCGGTTATGATCCTGTGATGTATCTGGGCTTTGCGGCCCCGTTTTATCGCGGCAAATTTGGGCTTCGTTTACTGCCGGCTACGTGACATACTACGATGTAGTATTCCAGGATTACTAGAGGAGAGGCTATTAGAATTAGCTACCGTCTAATCATCCAATTTCAAAGGCCAGTCATGATGCCGGATCAAAGCCACGGATATTTTTAAAGTATCCGATCTTCCGAACTCAAGCTACCACAAGAAGAGTCACAAGGAAAGCCAGCTCTCTCATTCTCATCCAAAAAAAAAAAATATCCCGAGTCAGTACCGCGAATACTACTCACACTCCTGGACCTTTGTCGCTTTGGACAGATGGCAGCTTGTGTGGTGTAAACGAAGATGCCGCGATAAAGGCCAATTTGATAAACCATCTCTGATGCAAGGGCTATCCATCTGGAGTAATGATGCCATCTTGGGCTGCGTATATCGTCCCACGCTACGCATACTCCACCCTCCGGTCTGCGTCCATGGCCCCCACACGCATGGACAGGAACCTGGACATGGAAATGGATATCTTCCCCAGAACGCCTATCTCGGCTGCTCATGGATGCTCTCAATTGCCGGGGTATACGACGAAAAGGAATCTGGACGCGATGTTGTCTGGATCTATGACATTTGCTGACCCCATTAGGAGTCAGCCGTATCTCGCTTTGGGGCACTCGCCCGTCTGACGCTTGATAATCGTGGCTAGCCAGACCTATCATAGTTTTTCTGCGGCATAGTATGTGCTCATCCGGTATTGAGTCTCACCATCGAAGCGAGACAGGTCTTGCAGAGCTTGTCGACCCTCTCTGTCAATAGTGGTTCGGATTTCCGGGCTGCGAGGTGTGATTCGGCAATCGAATGGGTTGGGTCGCATGTTGAGGCCATTTCTGCATAGGAGACAGGCCAAAGCCTGGTGATCAGCACGGCACGTATTTCCCTCAATTGCTTTCGGACGATAGAAAGCAACATCTTTCTGGATTGAGACCAACTTACGTAAAGTCAAAAATGTCCACGGGAATTTCATTGCCTTTCTCATCCAACGCCTTTTCAATCCTGAATCCCCAAAGAAGCCGAGCAATCGTGATGAACGTCCCTTGTTCTGCTAGCCCCTGGCCACTGCATACACGCCGCCCCCATCCAAAGGTCATATACCCCTTTTCGCCAGGGAAGGGACGGTGGTCGGGGCTATCCTTGAGATATCGATCTGGGTTGAAGCGGTCTGGCTCAGGGAATTCTCGTTCGTGGTGGTGAATAGCCCAAACGTTACCCTGCACCCAGGTTCCTCGTGGAATGAACCAGCCCTAGATCGGCACATCTGGTTAGCACTTTTCGAGATGAAGTGAATACATGCAACTTGAGCTCACGGCATGGGAATAGTAACCCATCGGGGCCACGCTGCTCATCGATCATACCCTATAATAATCATCCTTGATAGGCGCATGTGGTTGTCCTCCAATAATCGCAACGGATCTCCACCGTAGCACCTCTTTCACAAAAGCCTTCACATATGGCAAATTCGGCTCGTCCTCAAACGTCGGGCTCCGATGCGGTCCCACGACGCGGTCAAGTTCCTCCCAGGCTTGCGGAAGGGCATCTGGAAATGCGCAGCAGGCAAGGATAAAGGTGACCAATGTTGAGCTGGAAGTATCACTACCAGCGCCGAAAAGATTTCCTGATAGTGAGGAGATCTCCATACGTGAGAGATCATGCTTGGGTCCCTCTTCGAAGAGTTTCTTTGCGTAGCATGTATCTGTGTCCGGATTTTGGGCTGCTTCTTCGGCGAGAGCGTAGAAGAATGGCCGTCCCCGGCCTTGTCCTTTGCCTAGTCCTTGTTTCCAGGGTGCCATCCAGTTGGGAAATTTGGCCAGGACTGCCAGAGGTCAGCTGCCTGTAACATAAATGCTAGGTGTCGAGATGTATCTCTCTATTTCTCTGTCCCCTGTTCAACTTACAAGGAAACGACTCCATCAACATAGGAAAACTCTTCCCAGGAACATTCAACTCTGCCGCCCGCTGCATAACAGCAATGACCTCCGTAATAATCGGATCCGTATACTTGGCCACACGCCTCCCAAATCCAATAATAGACACCACACTGGTCGCATACCGCTCAAAATGGCTGACATACTTCGTTGGCTCGCTCAACAAATCAAAAGCAACCATTTTACTCTCGTCGTTTTGGAAACCCCGGTAATTCCGCACCTGCTGTAGACCCACGCCCATATGGGTCAGTTTCCGGTGTAGCCGCCATCTGTCACCGTAGTACATGTTGACCAGATTGGACTGGCCGGCGCCCAGTTCACTGAACACAACCATGCGTGGACGGGAGGCGTAAATTGCGGCGCGCTTGTCGAGGAGTTCGTTGGCAGTCCAGGCGTCGCAGATCCACATGGTTGGGCGTCGACCGGTCCAAAATGTGATTATGGGGGATTGGTATTGTTTTGATAGTTGCTCGAAGTAGATCCAGGGTTTGTCATCCGGCAGGAGGTGTGTGTTTCCTATGATGGGAAGAGGAAGGGGGCCAGGGGGCTGTAGGGTGGTGAGATTGTTGAATTTTGTATTGAAGTGTGACTTTTGGTACGTACCATTTTGAAGTGTAGGTATAGTATATAACCATAGTCGATCATGATCGCCAGCACTAAGGCTATGAGAATAAGAGGTAATACCGCGGTCATGCTTGAATTGCTCGGCCCTGCATGACTGAGGAGATGCTGGGCTGAAACGAGAGCAAACAGCTCTTCGAGCTTTTCAACGATCATTTTGCTGCCTTGAGGGATCGCAGAATTTGGTGTAGGGGGACTTGTCGTGTCTAGCAATTTGAAAAGGGAGTGGGCACTGCGAACCCTGGCCTTACATATAAGGACTTGGAGGAATCTGCCCCTATAATTGTTGAGCGGTGCTTTTTATGCTAGTATCGGCCCCGCCATTGGGATACTTATGCGAGTGCTCACGGGGCATGTCTTATAGGATTTATTGGAGGGGAATCCTTGTGCCTCGTGGGGAATATCCGTGATTGCGTCTGCCGAAAGCCCCTGTCTTGTTCAGCTGTAATGGCCCCACAAAGTGCTGCTACTTGAAGAAGGGATAGGCAGTCTGATCGTGTTAGGTTGGAGATGTCAGTGGAGTATCATACCCTGAACGTATCGATTCCATCGCTAGAAGAGTTGTTAATGAGACACATACATACCATACCAATCAAAGTTGGCCGTCACCACCTTCGCCGACCTATCATTCGGTTCATTCCCGGAACCTTTTAATACTTTCAGAGCTAATATATTGAATAAGATACAACGTACAGTCTTCCAAGTCGAGTGGGGCCCATAGCCCCAGATTCCTTTCCTTTGCGGGGTTTGCGGGGGAGCTTCACATCGCCCAGCATCTCTTAGCCCACCCTGGCCACAAGGCCGATCCTTTCCCAAACTCTGGATATTCCAGATGGATGCCCTCTCAGTCCAGACTCACCGTCGACATTTATGTACGCAGAAATGTCTAGCGCCTGCTTCCCCTCACGAGCCGTTCGGCACAGGTGGTATACCCTTGCTGCCGTGCAGGCAGGTGTATATGTAGCGTATGATCACTCCCATAGAGGCGTGGAGATCGAATTCGAGACAATTTAGGTAGACAGCTATCCCATTCAAACAAGATATTTCATTCTTCAATTTAGACCTGTGGCACGTCACTCAACTGCCCACCAGCATGGCAGATAACAGTCTCTCCTCAACAACGCTTTGGCAAAATCGGAAATGCCTATTCCTCTGCTGTCTCGTTTCCATGGCCAACATGCAGTACGGCTTCGACCTTGCTGCAGTAGGATCACTGCAGGCAATGCCGGGGTTTCTCAAAATATTCGGGTATCCAGATCCGGGAAGCGACACTGGATATGCAATTGACGTGAGTAAATAACTTCTTCTCCCACGCTATCTGCTTCTATCTGCTTCTAGAAACGCCCGACAAGATGAATTGAGCCAGAAACGCATATTTAACACATACTCTCTGAAACACAGAGCACCGTCCAACAACTCATCACTTCCCTCCTGACCCTAGGCTCCTTCGTCTCCTCTCTCGTAGCAGGCGTCTTCTCTACCTACCTGGGTCGCAAATATGCCCTGTGGCTCGCCTGCATCGTCAACGCCATCGCCTGCGGGATCCAAATCGGCACGTCAACCGCAGGAGTACTCTATCTAGGCCGATTGCTCCTGGGCTTCGCAAACGGGTTCCTAGTTACATTCTCAAATATTTATACCGCCGAGGTATCCCCCGCACATATGCGAGGCGTAATGGTTGCGCTGTTCGCGTACTGGGTAAATATCGGGAGTATCATGGGTGCGGTGGTTGATAAAAAGACCAAGGAGAGATTGGATGAGTTATCGTATCGGATCCCGTTGTCTTGTTTGTATATTGTGCCGACACTGCTTTTCATTGCGTTGTTCTTTGTCCCTGAGAGTCCGCGGTGGTTGTTGCACCGGGGGAAGGAGCAGGATGCGAGGAAAGCGCTTGAACAGCTTCGTGGAGCGAGTTATGCGCGTCTCCTGGCTTCGGAGGGTAATGAGAGTGGTGACGAAGGAAGTGTCGTGCCGACTTTGTTGGAGGTTGAGTGGGTGGAGATGATCAAGGGGGTTGAAGAGGAGAAGCGTGAGCAGGGGAGTGTTTCTGCGTTGGACATGTTCCGAGGTAAGATATTCCCCTCTTCAAGACTCTCTTGGATTGAGATCCCAGTAAGAGATGGTTATACTTACCAATCTCAGGTCCCGATCTCCGCCGAACGCTGCTCTGCTATGGCATGATTGGCTGCCAGACTGCCTCGGGCGTCTGGTTCCTCATCGGTTACCAGACATACTTCTTCACCGTCTGCGGTATAGTCAAGGCCTTTGAGTTTTCTATAATGAACACCTGTTTTGGCTTCCTTGGCGTCAACGTTGGTATGTACGCCATCAGCCAGCTTCTCGGTCGACGGTCCATCCTGATCCTGGGTGCCATCGCCTGTGGTTTGTGTCAGCTAGCCAGCGCCATTGCGGCCTCCCTTAGCCCAGACACGTTACCCCCAGGTCAGACCCTGGTAGCGTTCACCGCGCTGTTCATGTTCTTCTATAACGGCTGCGTAGGCGCGGCAAGTTACCCCGTCGCAACGGAGTTGGTGAGTTCGAGGTTGAGAGCGTGGACGGTGGGCACAGCGACGTCGTTGGGATACTTGTTGGCGTGGTTGGTGAATTTCTGTACCCCGTATTTTATTAATCCGGAGCATTTGAACTGGGTGAGTTGGCCCCTTGTTTTGAGGACCCTAGATCTGTTTCTGACTTGAATCGCGCGTGGACAGGGGGCCCGATACGGCTATATCTGGGCAGCATCGAACCTCTGCTGCGTAGGATTCTTCTACTTCTTCATGCCGGAGATGAAGGGCCGATCGCTAGAAGAATTAGATGAGATATTCGCAGCGCGTGTCCCGGCACGCAAGTTCAAGTCGTATCAGACTGTGATTCGGGTTGCGGCGAGAATTGATGCGGCCAATGCTAAAGGCGCGAGTCAGCACATTGAGAAACACTAGATGAAGTTAATTGGGACGTTTGAGTAGAGGGGGAGATTTTCATTATGATATACGACGAGTTTGAATTGAGTGAGTGGTTGGAAAATACTCGGAGATGGTGTAATTTTTTTGCTCTAGAGAAGAGTAAGGAACAAATGGATACAAATGTTTCACCGAGCGCCGTTGTAACCGACAAAAGAGCAATGCTAGTATAACTCCGAAACATGCTTGCAATATCCCAAACGCAAACACAGAATAATTCCAATGGTTTGTTCAAATAGTAGACATTGAGAGAAAAGTCGAAGTGGAGACGTCGTTGTTAGGACGTCATCATCAGAGTCGCAGGAGATATGTCATGGTAGAGTATGTACCCCAGGCATTGTAGTCCTCTGCAATTGTACAGTGTGAACTGACGATATATACACATATGCCAGGGAGCTCGTGTATCGTTGGTCAGTATAAAGGTCGTTGTTTCGTTTCGTTTCGTGTACGGCGTAGATGTGTAATGTGCAAACTGTCGGTCTGGTAATTATGGGGTAAACATCATTCGCAAGCGACTCGGGCCCTTCTTCTTCTTCTTCTCCATTGGCCGCTTCTCCTTTTCCGAGACAGTCGAACCAGCCTTGGAAGGCGCTTTGCTTGGTGCTTTGCTTGGTGCACGACTCGGAGCGCGACTGGGTGCCTTTGTCGGAGCCTTGGAAGATCGAACGAAGAAACTAGGCGGAGCTTTCGAAGCGGGAACGGGCTCGGGCTCTCTCCTGGAGCGGCCACTGCGAGATTCGGCTGTCGTATGGGCGCGGGAGGTGCGTGATCGGCGCGAGCGACGAGACGAGGCGACGGAACCATCGTCGTCGAATTTGAATCGAGGGTCTCGTTGTGCGCGTGCGGTCGTGACGTCGATACCGGACATGGCTGCTGCTCGAGGAGTGATAAACTCGCCGTCGACAGAGGTACCGACACTTTCCGCTTCAATGTCAGCCACACCGCGCCGCCACATTTCGACCCGACTCTCCGATTCCATGTTGAGTTCCATCATGTCCTCCATCACGATAGGCTCTTCTTCCTCTATTGCTTTCTCTGCATTGCCTGACTGGATCTTTTTGATGATCTTGTAGCCGCCGAACATGACCACCGTCACGCCAAGCCCCAGTCCAGCGGCAATAAGGAATTGCGGGCTGGACAAAAGAGCGAAAACGGTTGGCGCGGCCGTCTTAAAGGCAGAAAGGGCTGCGGGTGCCATTTTGCCGGCCAAATTACTGATCTCCGCCAAAGTGAGGGCGACTGCGGCCATGGCGTCTGGGTTCTTTTGCAGGTGAGAGATGGTGGCGGTAGCACTGTGCTGTACACAATGAGCCTCCTCGAGAAGCCACTGAGCACGGCTCACCAGGCCATCGAGTTGCTTCTGATCATCGATGTTGAGTTCCGGTGGGCTGTACCTCGACAGAGCCTTAGGATGAGCTTCGCCATATGCCAAGTCCATATCGATATGAGCATCTGATTTGGATCGGGCTGTCATTGGACGGGCCGGTTCCTGGACCGTAGTCAGTTCATGGTGGGTATGTCGGCGGGGAAGACCCTCGCCATGTCCATAGTGAGACTCGGGTCTCCCCGTCGCGGAATGAAGGTCCTGTTCATAGTGCGACTTGCTTGGGTGATGCTGGCTGCGACTCGAATGATGGCGTGACCGGCTACGGTGACTGCGGCGGGAGGCTACCGACGGCGAGTCATCGATCTGGTAAGTCGCCAAAGCCTGGAGAGCCTGTTGCTCTGCGATCTTGGCATTTCGCTCCGAGTTAAAGTGGGCCTTGCGCTCCTTATAAGCGGCCTTGGCTTGGTTGAAGACTCCAAAAAGTTGTTTACTCTTGAGTATCGAGAGTTAGAATTCCCGTGGTTCGACGAGGGTGTAACCAAAGAATTGCGTCTGAACTAGCAGAGAAAGACACGCTTACCGTACTGACGACCTTGCCGGACTTGTCAATCACGGCGATCGTCTGGCCGAGCGGCGCCATCGCTAGCGATAGTCGTAGACGACTGGCGTTGGAGGAAGATCACTCATCAGAGAGCTTGCGCGATCGACAGGTAAGGGCGAGGGAGCGGTGTAAAGCTCTAGTCAATAAGGTTCCGTTAGTCGGGGAGAATTCCCCAACAGGCAAGACTTTTGAAAGTCGTGGGTGCGGTATATGTGATATGAGGTATAGGAGGAGTAAGACAAGATGGAAGATTCAGGGGAGCAGCTGCAGCCACTGTATTAAAAGAAAAATCCAGTGACCGGGGACTTCAAAAAAAAGACCAGGCAAAGAGCGAATGCCTAAGATGATTGATCCCGGAAAAGGTTACCCCCAGAGAGCAAGATCAGCGGTTAGGTCCGATCGGAGTGGACGAAAAGAGACGAAGAGTTGGAATCAATGATATGATGGTGGTGTTATAGAAGAAGAAAAGTGATGTACGATCAGGGAGGCTGGGGTCGATGGCATCAACGTGCAGAAGAGGTGCAGCGGTTGGGCAGAGCAGCGAACGGAGGGGCAAGTCACAGAAAAGGGTCCGTAGGGCAGAGTGACAGGATGGTTGGGTTGATAGTGAAGCGAAGGCCGCAGCAAATCAAGACTCGGCGAAGATCGGATTGGAAGCTCACATGGGTCAGGATTGGGCGCGAAAAGCAAGACGCAAGAGTCGATTGGCGTGTGAGCGGGGACAAGAGTTGACTTGGCCACGGGTGATTAGCTGTAGCTCGGACTAGGGTGTTCCTCTAGAAAGTCCCAGGGCAGGAGGTACACTTCTGTACTCCTTTTAAGCTGACAGCCAAGTTACAGAGTAAAATCCCAGCAGCTATTCCGATGGCTGGGAGGCATAAATAGAACACATGTAGAATATACTATCCTCGATAGGTTCTAGGTTGAACAGAGATTGATATGAAAAAAGAAGGATATATTAAGAGAATCGGGGGCTAGAACCACTTCACCCGTCCCAACTAATCAATGAATGATATTGACCTGCACCATCCGGTTCTTTAACTGGACCGAAATCTCCCCACCACGAGTCTCCAGCGGGTTCGCAGGTTGGACCCAGCGAAAAAGCGGTGACCCACGGTTCTTGATTGGTGGACTCCTGTCACCGCCACTGTGGCTGGTGCTTTGACCGCTGGTGAGGGCGGTGTATACATTACCGGCAGAATAATGTTATACTAGGCACCAGCCACACTTGCTGAACAGACTGTCACTGTGGCGGTGCTGATATCAGCTGGTCAGCAATGAACAAGTCCGAAGTACTCATGGCTTTGGTTCTTCTATTCCATCAATTTCACTGCAGTCAAAAGGAGAAAAGAGAATGAACGTACTATTTACACATTCTATTACAGACCATGACGTTAGATGATGCCATCACTCCTGTACTACTCCATCTCCCTCTATCAAACAATCATTTGCTTGGCAGAGACATGCACAGGATACCTGCAGATTGCTGAGAGCCTGAAAGGTTGTCTCTACCTAAAGAACAAGAACCTTCCGGCGACGGGTCCGAGAGTACTTACTCACTACTGAGTACTAACTAACTAACTAACAAATCATGTCCGTACCACAGAAAAGTAGTACGTAATGTGCCAGTTACTAGCCTCCTGAGGATAAAGCTTGGACAACGACCAGGGGGGGCAGCACAGCAGCCGCAGCGCCGTCAAGTCACGTCTCCTTATCTCGCCGAAACCCCCCTGTGTCTCGTCAATGGATCACCGATCAACCTGTCGGTGTATCTGGCCTGTCGACTCCCCATCTCATGACTGCTCTATGAAATGTCATCGCCCGATCTTCTAATCTTCCAATCCTCCACACATTCAAAACTCCCAATCTTCATGTTTCATCATCGCGGCCATCCCTATTCTATTCTGTAGAACAGCAATGCTCTTATTTAAACTTCACCTTCACCTGTTATCCTAATCATGCCCAACATGGCCATTCTAAGCAACCATCATGCCTATCCACCGGTAGCCCGACTGCTCTGGGAGCCTCGGTAAGTGACGAGCTATGGCTTAAATTTCTTAGTCAAATCTTCCTGATCACTACCCTAGCATGGCCGATCGGCTCCTCGTTCTCCAGCAGCGCAATCGAATGAGGAGACAAGGACGGACGGGGAGTATGCGACCGTATGCAATCCAAGGTGTGTGCAGCGTGTTGTATACGAACCGGATCAGAAGCCAGCTAGCTACCAGAACACCCAAAAACACATTGATTGATGCGCCCCCGGATCTCGGAGAGCGACTCCTAGACAGACATCGATACACATGCTGACCCAAATTCTTCACCCCCTTTTAGACCTGTCTGCCAGGAGAATCATAAAAGTCATGCCAGGGGTGGTGAGTCGAATATTTGATCGATGGTGCAATGTTTTCCTATTTTTCGGGGGTCGTTGTTGTTTCTCCCGTTCCCCCGTTCCCGCACCGCCACTTCGATGATTCATTCCTTGTCCGAAGTCGGTTCCCTCACCATAATTGCCGACGCTGTGCCAATTGAATCAAGTCGGCACTGGATAGAGTCGGTGTATTTGCGCAGGGAAGGGATTCCTACTTTCTATATACTTTGCTCGTTCATTTTATTTCATCTGATTTGATTGAGAGCCTCCCTTGGCTGACGGTTCTTCTTGCAATGGACACAGTGGACTCGGGGAGCGTCTCGGAGGTCGAGGATCAATCCAAGACTTGGGGCTCCGATGCTCGTACTCTGGTTCCTCCGGGAGCTGATGATGCGAGTAGTTCTCATCCGCATAGTGATTGCGGTATTGGACACCGCGTGTTGGCCAGCCGCTCAGTTCTGGCTCTGGTCATTGACGAGGAGTGTGTGTTTGCGGGTTTGCAAGGCGGAGATATTGTGGTAAGTTGATTGATCATTTTCCAGGAAAAAAACGATTTTCAATCTTTCGCGAGCTCGATTTGTATTTTTGTGCATAAAATCTGACTCATTATCCAGGCCTGGTCTTTGGACACCTATGAACTGATTCTCTCGGTGCATGCCCACGAAGAGAGTGTCCTGGGTCTTTACCTTTCTGATGACGGAAATCTTCTTTTCTCCAGTGGTGGTGACTCGGTAGTCAATGTGAGTGGACCAGATGCCCAACGAATGCAAGTGACAGTACTGATGCCCTCCGAATAGGTATGGTCTACGAGAACTTTTGAGCGTCTTTACTCTATCTACTCCCACCATGACGTGGGCGACATCTTCTCCGTCGTCTATTCTTCAAGCAACCAGACCCTTTACTGCGGTGCTCAGAACACCAGCATCCAAGTAAGATGACTCTCTCCTACTGATTACCACTGATCTCTAACCTCCTTGTCAGTGGTGCAACTTGTCAGAAGAAGGCTCGCTGAACCAAACTTCCGCTGCTCATCCCTCCAAGCGCACTCATCGCTTCTTTGACTCTCGTGGACCAGATGGGACCCGGGCTCCCCGTCCCTCAGATGGTGCTAATGCCGTTTCAGAAGGTGGTCGCGTGCTCACCTTTAAGCGGGATCACCACAAGCGCTTCGCTCACCATGGCTACGTTTATTCTATGCTTCTAGTCAAGGGCTTGATTGAATCAGCACCTTCCGAGGAAGCTCTGCTAACCGGTGCCGGAGACGGTGTCGTCAAGTTGTGGCGTCTAGGTCAGGAGCCTGGTGCCGCGCCGACACAGATTGCCAAATTGCAGAATGGTGACCCGGTGCTTTCGATCGCCGTGGAGGGATCACTGCTCTACTGTGGTCTTGCGGGTGGTGCTCTCAATATTTGGAATCTGGATTCCCAGCAGCTTGTGAAGCGGATTGCCCGGCATACTGGCGATCTGTGGGCGGTGCACGTTATCCAAGGCGTTGCTATTTGTGGTGACTCGACTGGAACAGTCAAGGTATGAACCTATCGTGGAGCTCAAACTACATGGCGACTTGCATTGCTAAGTGATTCCAGAAATTCAACTCTCGGTTTGAAGAAGTTGGTGGCTGGACCGCCCACGAGGGTACCATGCTTGCTTCCGCGGTTGGCCGGGTCAAGGATCGTCAGATCTATGCCACTGGTGGAAACGACAATAGCGTCGGCATTTGGGACTTGACCGAATTCTTCCTTGCCCAGGAAGAGCTGCCACCTATTAGCAATGGTAAATCCAATTCTTCGCTCTTGCACAAACCGTCTCGCTAACCATAGACCTACAGATGAAATGGTGAATAGTCTTGCCAAGTTCGTGTCTTTCAAGACCATCTCTGCCAGCCCGAAATTCACTGGAGAATGTAATCAGGGTGCTGCATTCCTCCGTCGGCACTGCAACTATCTCGGTGCCAAGACAAAGTTGTTGACTACTGGCGAGGACACTAACCCCATCGTCTTTGCTCGATTCAACGCGACCTCTACCGAAAAGGTTGACAAGACGATTCTCTTCTATGGGCATTACGATGTGGTGGGAGCAGACACTAACCGTCCAAAATGGAAGTCTGACCCTTACCAACTGACTTCGATCAATGGTTTCCTCTACGGTCGTGGTGTGTCGGATAACAAGGGCCCTATTTTAGCATCCCTGTATGCTGCAGCCGAGCTTGCCCGCACCAAGTCTCTCCGTTGCAACGTAGTCTTCCTCATCGAAGGTGAAGAAGAGTCTGGCTCGCAGGGTTTCCACGAAGCCGTGCGCGAACACAAGGCCCAGATCGGCCCCGTGGACTGGATCCTGCTGGCCAACAGTTACTGGCTGGATGACTACAATCCTTGCCTGACCTACGGACTACGCGGCGTGGTCCATGCCAACCTAGTCGTGACAAGTGATCATCCCGATCTTCACAGCGGTATCGACGGCAGTGCCTTGCTCGACGAGCCCGTCAAAGATCTTTCCATCCTCGTGTCGACTCTCGTCGGACGCAAGGGCAAGATCAACCTTCCTGGCTTCCACGACCCCGTTCGACCCTTGACCGAGGCCGAGCAGAAACGCTTCGAAGCTATTGCCGATGTCCTGCTCCCGCAGCATCCCGAGATTCCGGACAGCCAAGCTTTGATCAAATCGCTCATGTACCGTTGGCGCGAGCCATCCTTGACGGTGCACTCGATGGAAGTCCCCGGTAGCAAGAGTGGCACCACGACCATCGCCCGCCGAGCCAAAGCAAGCCTGTCCATTCGCATCGTGCCCGACCAACAAGCGGACGAGGTCGCCGCGAACCTGACAGCCTTTGCGCAAGAGCAATTCGATCTTCTCGACTCCCAAAACGAACTTACTGTTGAGATCACCGGCAAGTCCGATGCCTGGCTGGGCGACCCAGATAACGAGATCTTTGCCACCCTTTCCGAAGCCATTACCGCCGCTTGGACACCAGACCAAAAGACCTCGAAATATCAATACCCCGTCCCGAAACTCGCCCCCGGCCGCGCAACTCCAACCCCCAAGCCCGCCGGCCCAGCCAGCCAGCTTCTCCGGAAGGATTCCTCCGACAGCCTCGCCTCGCATGTCGACCGCGTAATCACATCGACTACAACCTCCTCCGGCAGAGCCGCCGCGCGCAAGCGCTCGACGCAAGGCACGGCCCCAGTCCCAACATCCAACACGCTGGCCAAATCCGCCTCTACTCCCTCCATAGAAACCACCTCACTTCCCATCCGATCCAAGGCAGACTCAGAGACAGAGTCAGACTCGTCTTCGCCCTCAGCTTCAGCCCCTAGACAAGAAACCCTCGCTCCATCGGCCTCCGCTACCACCACTGTGAAACCTATCTTCATCCGTGAAGGCGGCTCGATTCCAACCATCCGGTTCCTGGAGAAAGAATTCTCAGCACCGGCAGCGAACTTGCCCTGTGGACAGGCAAGTGACAACGCGCATTTGGACAATGAGCGTATGCGGGTGGAGAATCTGTATAAGAGTCGGGAGATTTTCCGATATGTCTTTACGCACTTGGTTGATAAGACGTGATGTGATAGAAGCTGAGAAGGGGTTTAACAGATTGGAAGAAAGGAGTTCCCCCCTTTAGGCATTTACGTGGTGCTTGGGTATGGGTCATGCTTTGAGTTTTCTTGGATTGTGCTGGACTGTGCTGGACTTGTTCGTGTAAAGTATATTTCTTTTTGATGGGCTTGCATATGACGTACCTTCGTGGGCAACTCTATGATGCCATACTGTATTCGATATTCTCTAGCTCGGAATATGGTCGGCTTTTCTCTTAACTTACCGGGACCCGTTGTTCCCAGTGGTTCTCCGAGTATACACTATATCCGGTTTCCTCTAAAGAAGATAGCTTATAATACTCAATCTTCAGATTGAGGTAATAGCATAGCTTCTAACTCGAAATCCATTTCAGTAACTTGACGTGGTCCGCTTCCTCCAGTTTCTCGAGAACATAAGTCACTGCTTGATCGATCTGGAAAATAGGATCGTTAAAGGTCTGCAAAATTCTAATCATTCAGCTGCGTTTACTCTCACAGGCTTGAATATCACGAACAAGTTGACCTTCCTGCTCTGTAAATCCTGCAAGCGCTCCAGCCGGGTAGTGGAATTTTGATACTGAGAAGCAAGGCTCGGCTTTTTGTAGAAGTATATATTCCCGTCGATACTTGTTAAAATATATGCATATCCCCGTAAAGCGAATCATTTGGATCAGCTCTTCTTTCAGCTGGCGCACTGCTGGAAATATCTTTTTATCATCTAAATGACGGAAGAGAGGCCGTGGCTGCGCTAGGATTGGGTGTAGAACTATCAGATAAACATGACGAAACTTCTAGATTAGAGACCAACCACTCTCGGAACGTTCAGATTGTACAGAGATTGCGTGGAACAGAGCCATTGTTAGGTAATTATGTACTGATGCCCTGGGCCCAAGTAGTTCAGATGGCAGCAGTCGCGCTTCCACCCAGAGTCTCACGCTGTCTCTTTTATACCGGCTCACCCTATTCACCCGTGACGCTAATGTAGTATGGTAGTGAACACATGCAAATCCTGGCTATTTCTTTATTTGATTTTCATGCCTCATTTCCTTCCTCATTGTAGAGATGTTCAGAGAAGCTCGAATGGAAGGAGATATGCGAGGAAATTAGCCATAATGTAACTTGCATCTAGGCATGATGGCATCGACCCTGCTGGTACTGCTCTTCTGCCTCCTTGTAGAGTAATCGGAGCGCAATCTCTGACGAAGCTGTCAGGTTCAACCATACATTCCGGATTTTTCAAATAATCACACGGTCAGTAGACGAGTGGAAGAATTGATGTCTCACAGGTACCTTTGGCAGCTCGACACAGAAGTTTTGACAGCTCGTGCGATGAATATCACGCCCTCTGTTGACCCTGCTGATCATCGACACGCCAACAATAGGCCTAGACCCATGATTTGGAAGAAGGTAACGCTCAGTCCATAGCTAATTTGCTTTTTTTTTTCTACCGAGTACATACTAGGATACTGCTCGGGTGGAGCCAACCGTGATCCAAAAGTACTCCGCGTTTCCATTCGTCTAGCTTGGACAGTCAATTCGATCGAGAATCGATCGGACCTATCAGACGACAAGGTTCATCTTTTCAGGGGGGCTTGCCAACGTAAGTCCGGCACACCGCGACACTTCCCCGCGGGTGGTCCCTCCTTTGACAGTTGATCTATCAAATGCACGGACTTGATACCCACCGAACAATCAACAATTGTACCAGAGACCGTGTCTGTGGGTTTTTGCAGGGACTCGAGCGAGCGCCGCCCGCCGCCGCCTGTTCAAGTTAAAACCGTTGCAAAAGTTCCAATGCAACATCAAAACGAATGGCTTTATTGGGCCAAATATCGATCAATGCAGAATGAGGCGGTATAAAGTGCCTATAATGGAAATGACCGACAAGGAAACTGGGAATATCTGTTTTACCCTCCCGTTTCATCATCGTGCTCGCTTGCGCTTGATATGAAGAGTCGAAATACGACCCTCGACAGCTCACAACGGTTTCTTGCGGGAAACATCTCCGTTCGATCAATTTTGCCAAGTTCTTTTGACGGGATCGTTATGTATTTGTATCCCGGTGAAGCCCTTTTCTGATCGCACGAGTTGCTGGCAATGTAATAAGCTTATGATCAGGCGACTGGAACAAATTCCGCGTACAGTCTGGCCTGAAACGCCTCACATTATTTCGTGAAAATGTTGGCCGGTAAAGGTGTTCGTGCTATCGCGGTGATGTGGGTGATGACCTTCATCTCTTTCATTCTGATTCCACTTCGACTCTATACGCGAGTCTACATCGTCAAGGCACTGGGAGTGGATGACCACGTTTTCAATCTAGCTTGGGTGAGCTTAGAGTCGCTCTTCAGGAGCCCAGACTTTGAGCAATGGAGAATACTCACATGCCTATAGGTTTTTCTACTTCTGTACACCATATTCATGACCGTATCAGGTAGTTATGGATTTGGTCAAGCTATAACCACCCTCGACATGGACATGGCGGTCAAGGCCGTATATAATGAAATGATCGGACAGACATTTGCGGTGCTAGGGATGGCTATTGCAAAGATATCTCTGGGCATCTTCCTGCTCCGCATTGTTGTCAAGCAGTGGCATCGAATCTCTATCTGGATTTCCATGGTCAGTCTTGCGATTGTGTCCGTAATGACGGCCATTCTTTTCTGGATCCAAAAGCTGCCTTCGGAGTCAATCTATGATCCTCGGGTCTCAGGACGCCTCGTCGTTAGCGTAACGCCTTTTTCTATCTTGCTGGGATGTATGATCCTCCCATTACCCTTGCCTTGCAGGAGCACCCATTTTCCTTGACCGTGTTTCTCTAATACTCTTCTTACCAGCTTGGTGTGCCGCTGTGGACTTTTACTTTGCACTGCTTCCATGGATTTTCATCTGGAAGCTCAATATGAAATTCAAGGAGAAAATGTCTATCGCCATCAGTCTGAGCCTGGGGTTCATGTACGTGATTTGATTCCATATTCACTGTCACGATAGAGCTAACCTTTGTCAACAGAGCTTGCGTCTGTGGAATCATCAGAACCATCGACCTGGGTGGACTATCCAGCTCGAACTATACCGGTAAGATATTTCCCCTCTTTACAGCATTATTGATAATAGTTCTCTAATCTTCGCGGGGATGCTCCAGAGGACACTGTCGACTTGATCATTTGGTCCGCAGTCGAGCTTGCCGTCACCCTGATCTGCGTAGGCATCCCCACCGTCCGCCCCCTCTATCGTGTCATCGTCCATGGATCAAACCTGGAGGACTCCGAGGGCGGATACATCAAGCATAGCAATTCCGATCAATTGCCCCATGTCCATATGCAAAACATGGCCAAGGGTAACTCGGAATTTCGAGCTCAAGACGAGGGGACTACCGAGTTGTACATCTCTCGTAATAACCACAGTGATGAGGAAGTGCTTGTTGGGCAGGATGGCAGGAATGGCAGGAATAACCGCGGCATTCGGGTTAGAGAAGAGGTACGAGTGGAGACGAACTATTGAGACGGTATATCCAGGGAATTGTGTGCGGCTTGATGTTCGTTTTGGAAGCGGCATTTTTGGGTTCTGACGCTGTCACTTCATTCCATTTGATTCCCTGTTGTGTCGTAAATGAATACGCTATAGTGAAAGACGCTTCGAAAGTTGAAAAAAAATACAGATCTTTACTGCCACAAGTTCTTGAAGAGGGAGGATTGTGATAGCCCACTGGAGATTGGACATTGGTTTCCGTAAATATACAATTTGCTCGCATTTTTAAGTATTGACTCGAAAGCTTTGCCATTTGTATGAAGGACCCGAAATATATAGAGAAGACCGCCTTTTGAGACATCTCTGAAATCACAGTCAGAAGATATATCGTATCTCGGAGCTTTTGTATGAAATCAATGCTTGAGAATAAAACAAATGCGATGATGCATTGAATCAAGGTAAGGTCAGTTGAGCAGTAATAAAAGTATATCCCAATACGGACGCCCGGCCTTCATCTTTATGAATCTACTTTGTCGACGATTAAATCTCGTAACTGTTGAACTCATTAGTATCCATTCTGGCCATTTCATCCCACGTCTGAAAATTGAACATACCTCCACTCGTGCGGCTCATCACCGTACTGAATACCCTCGATCCAGTTCTTCATCTGGAGGGCAATCTCGCCCGCCTCCTCGTCCTTCTTCAGACCGCAGTCCACAAGCTTGCCGCGGTAGCTGATGCTGCGCACGGGGCTGACGATGGCCGCGGTGCCAGCACCAAAGACCTCAATCAGACGGCCCTCCTCGGCGGCCTGGGCGACATCAGACATGCGGATCTTGCGCTCGGAGATCTCCCAGCCCTTGGGGGCGAGACGCTCCCGGGCAAGGGCGAGGACGGAGTCACGGGTGACACCCTCGAGGATGGTACCGTCGAGGGGAGCAGTGATCAGCTCGTTCTTGCCAGTCTCCTTGTTCTTGATAGCAATGAAGAGGTTCATGGTGCCGACCTCGGTCACGTACTCTTCCTCGCCGAAGAGCCACAAGTTCTGCTGGAAGCCACGAGAGGCAGCTTCGAGCTGAGGCAGAATGCAAGGAGCGTAGTTGGCGCCAAGCTTCTTGTCACCAACACCACCGGGCCAGGCACGGACGGCGTAATCAGTGGCCTCGAGGGAGATGGCCTTGAAACCGGTAGGGTAGTAAGGGCCCACGGGGCTGGCAATGACGAAGAGCAGAGCAGAGCCGGGAGGGCCGACGCCTAGAGTCTTCTGAGTACCGATCATGGTAGGGCGCAGGTAAAGAGAGTAGCCACGAGCACTGATAGATCACGATTAGCCAAGATTGTTCAAAGGCACAAAGCTCGGGATATTGCTCACTCCGGAATGAAGCGGTCGTCCAACTTCACAAACTCTCCAATCAGCTTGGTCAGAGCCTCGCCGTCGAAAGTCGGGAGAGCAATGCGCGCAGAAGACTTGTTCAGGCGTTCCATGTTCTTGTTGGGACGGAACAACCGGGTTCCTCCATTCTTATCCTTGTATGCCTTCATTCCCTCAAAGCACTCGAAAGCGTAGTGGAAGACGCATGTGGAGGGATCCAGGCTGAGGTTCTGGTAGGGGACAATTTGAGGGGAGTGCCAGCCATCAGTAGCGGTCCACTCAACGGTGAGCATATGATCTGTACGGCATTTCAGTTAGCAATTGGACTTGTCGAGCATCGATAAAAGTAGTCCTTACCGGTAAAGTACTTTCCAAAGACCAGATCCTTCGGCGGCGTCAGCTCCTTAGGAGTCGTGGTCTTGGTGATGGACAGCTTCGAGGCATCCAGAGCAGCAAGCTGAGAAGCGGCGGAAGCAGTCACGCCGAAGTTTCTTTGCCATAGCCTCTGGGACGCGAAGGTCTGTGAAGCCAGGCGAGGGGTCGCAAGACCAGCCAGCGCCTTGCGGCGAGTCAATTGCTGAAGGGACTTCATTGCCGAATGAGGTATGTCAGCCAATGCAATGAATGGGGGGAGGGATGATAAGGGCGACGACGGATTTTAAATGCGCGATGACTACTCCGCACGGCACTTTCTGCGGAGGACAGGCACAACTCCCCGGCACGCCCTACAGCGAGGTTCCGCTTCACCGCCCGGCCTTTGGTGGCCTTTGACGGTGATAAGTGAATGACTCAAGTGCGCCGCATATCCGATTGCACCAATCAGATTGCTTCAATTGGATGGCCCCGCCGATTTCGGATCAGCTTGCGGCCTGAATCTTCAGTCCGCAATCAGAATCGCCGACGCAAAGCGAGATATCACCTGACCGGAAATAGCTGAACAGCTCAGGGATGAGCGTCACATTGTACATCAGCTTATTGGACCCACTTTTTGCACAGTTGCGCAGTTGCGTTGCTGGAGTTGGACAGTTGGCGATGACGACACGTGACCCCGCCCGCGATAGGAACATTGTTATCGCAGCCCCGTTGGAGCTCCAAGGCAAGTGAATGCGCCATTGTCCTTTGTGTCGCCCATTGACGTTCTTGCGGCAGCTGCAGAGCTCCAATTGACGCCCGCATAGATCATCTCCCCCCTAAACTACACCGTTTACAGGCATCGATCAAGTCATGCATTGCGTCGCGACTCGACCAATCACCACATTGTGAATCGCTTCATCGTTGTCTGACGCAACTCGATCGTGGATGGATAGCACTCCCTCGGCACACCTACACTCAACATGTTCTCCAACGCGCTGAAGTCTTTCAGCTCCAACATCTCATCGAACTACCAAATCTCTCCGCATCCCACCGTCTACTCCGGCCCCTGGAAAATCCACGATGCAAAGAAAAAGTCCACGGGCACCGCGGCGTCCGTCTTCATCTTCGATCGGAAGGTTCTGGAACCGCGGTCCGGTGGATTTGGGCGCTCCGGGTCGTCTTCGAAGAAGTTACAGGACGATGTGATTGAGCGGCTAAAACGGGAAGCTAGCAACCTAGCCCGGTTACGCCACCCTTCTATTCTACAGGTGCTGGAGCCGGTGGAGGAGACTCGCAACGGTGGTTTGATGTTTGCAACGGAGCATTTGACAGCCTCGCTATCGGGACTCCTGTTGGATAAGAACGAGCAGGAGGGCGCATCGGCCTCCGGTTCGCGACCCGGTCGTTACATGGTCCAGGAGGCCGATGGCACGCGAAGACGACGCGACCTAGAAATTGACGAGTTGGAAATTCAAAAGGGGTTGCTACAGGTTGCAAAGGGTCTAGAGTTCCTTCATGAGTCTGCGGGGTTGGTGCATGGCAACTTGAATCCAGACGCCATCTATATCAACGCCAAGTCTGATTGGAAGATCTCCGGTCTCGGTTTCGCTGGTCCTCCTGATTCTTCAGAGACCCGGTCAACGCTTGCCCCGTTGGCTGTCTCCGAGGTTCTCTATCAGGACCCCAGATTACCTGCTTCTGTACAGCTGAATTTGGATTACACCTCCCCGGACTTTGCCTTGGACTCGAATGTGTCATCGGCTGCAGATCTCTTCTCCTTGGGTCTGATAATCATTGCTCTCTATAACTCGCCCCATGTCTCACCCCTCCAAACCCACGCGAATCTGACGACGTACAAGAAGCTGTTGAGCTCTTCAGCGACTACTCCCTCACAAAGCAACAATTTCCTTTGCTCCCAGCCCATCCCTCGCGATGTTCTATCTCATGTCTTGCCCCGGCTCATTACCCGAAGACCTGCGCAGCGCATGAACGCTCGGGAGTTCCAGCAGTCTCAGTATTTTGATAATGTTTTGGTTTCTACTATTCGGTTCTTGGAGACTTTGCCAACCAAGAATGCAAATGAGAAATCCCAATTCCTTCGTGGGCTACCGCGCGTGCTCCCGGACTTTCCGGTATCCGTATTGGAGAGGAAGTTACTGGGAGCCTTGTTGGATGAGATGAAAGACCGGGAACTTTTGCCAGTGATCTTGCAGAACGTTTTCGGTATTCTCCGACGAATTCCTAATGGGCGTCGCGCCTTGTCAGAGAAGATCATCCCCCGCCTCAAAGAGGTTTTTGGCACGGGATCGGGCAAACCGGGATCTCAAGAACGGGACTCTAAGAAGGATGCAGGCCTCATGGTCGTGTTGGAGAACATGAAACTCATTGCCGATAACTGCTCGGGCATAGAGTTCAAAGACGGTAAGACGTCGCGAAGAAAGATGGCTATTGACTTACTAATTTTTACACCCTAGATATACTTCCTTTGATTCGCCTGGGTATGGACTCACCCACGCATTCCTTGGTTGATGCATCTCTTAAATGCCTCCCAATCATGCTTCCGGTTCTTGACTTTAGCACTGTAAAAAACGAGGTGTTCCCACCGATTGCTAGCACTTTTAGTCGCACTAGCAGTCTTGCTATCAAAGTTCGTGGACTGGAGGCCTTCTGTATCCTGTGTGGCGGCTCCCCAAGTGACGCGGACAGCCTGGACGACGACCTCAACGGTACCGTTCAAACAAAACAGACCACCAAGTCATCCATTCTAGACAAGTACACCATTCAAGAAAAGGTTGTGCCGTCTCTCAAGGCCATCAAAACTAAGGAACCTTCGGTCATGATGGCCGCCTTGAAAGTCTTCCAACAAGTTGGAAAGGTTGCAGACACGGACTTCCTCGCTCTGGAAGTTCTGCCTGTTCTTTGGGGCTTCAGTCTGGGCCCCCTGTTGAATCTCCAACAATTCAATGAATTCATGACCGTGATCAAAACTCTCTCTACCAAGATTGAAAAGGAGCAGGCAAGGAAGCTCCAAGAGCTTTCTTCCGGTGGAGATTCTGGCGGATTCCAAGCTCCCGCTAACAGCTTCTCGCAATCCGCCACGGATCTGACTTCTCCTGATACGGACGGTGCCAGAAACAATTTTGAGCGTCTTGTACTTGGGAAGAATGCTGCACCTGCTAATGGTGCAGATACCGATCTTTGGGGTGGTATGGATGCCGAACAGGCTGCACCGAAACGGCCGAGCATGTCTCCAGCTCTTTCATGGTCTATGAACAATGCAACTGGTATCAGCCAAAGTTCATCTAACCAACTCGGTTTCCGGTCCATTACTCCGGATCAGAAACTAGGTTCCTTCCCATCTTTGGAGCCTGCACGACAAGCGTCTCCCGTGATTCCATCATTCCCAACTATGCAGCCATCTTCGCCAACTTGGACCGGAGCAAACAGACCTAGCCAATCTATGGCATCGCTGTCTGGCTTAGCCGCCAACTCTCCGATGTCAAAGCCGACTTCATTGTCGCATCAGACCTCCAATTACTCCGCCTTTTCTATCCCGCCTCCACCAGGCGGCGTGGGTGCAGCCAATACCATTCGATCACCATCGTTGAACCTGAACACGACACCGGCGCCATTCGCCAGCCAACCCCAACGCCAGGCCCAGGCACCCCCAAAACAAGGATTAGACAAATACGAAAGTTTGTTGTGAAGAAACGTTGGTGCGTGCTTGTTTTTCGAATACCCGACGTGGCCCGTTCTTGTTTATACCCATTTTTTGTGCAATTTGCTAGCAAAGCCGAGTATATAGAATCATCTCGAAATGAAGTAGCATAACATTCTCTGTCCCAAACTGGCACCTTGTACAATGGGGGTTTCGCGAGTTCGAACTGTCCTCAAATCAAAATCCTCTCATGAGAGATTGCGAACAGTTAACTAGAAGAATATCGATCACTTCGGTTAACAAGACAGGTTGAAAGGCATCCGAGAAAAATCTTTGAAAATTTGGAGCATATCTGAGTAGACTTCCTCGCCAATCTTTAGATTGAAGCCTTTGTACTGCCACCATAACCTTCTTGCCCATACTTCCTTCAAGCCACCTGCCACAAGTCGGCAAAATTGTATGGAGCTAGTGGAGCAAGGGCCAGGCGCGTAGCGTCGGCTGGCGGGCGGAGCCTTTAATGATTGGCAACAGGCCCGTTCTCGGTGTCATACAGTAGTCATAGGTAGCAAGCTGCCTTGACCCCTCGAACCCTCCAATGCACTCATTGCGTGGCATTGCGCCGCGTTTGCTTACCCGGAGCTCCGTATTGCCTCCGCTACCCCTCAATCGTCTTGCACACCGACTGCCCGCACTTCACTCTCCTTTCTCCATCTCCCACTCCCTTCGAACACTCATCATGGACGAAAACGTGAAACAGCATTATCTGGCTGACTCGCCGCCTAGTGTGGTCCGTCTGGAAATCAAGTCGCACTTTGACACTCTGAAAGATGAGAGTCTTCGGCGATATGCCCACTACATGAGCAGGTAGAGTGACCCCTCGTATAGGCACCACTCGCGTCTGGCCGGTTTTCCCGCGGGTATATGGCAATGAGCTAACCAAAAGGTTGGAATGTGTTTAGGGCTGCGTTTGAGGGCACTCGTGTGACTTTGCGCCAGGTCTCACCCGAGTCAGAACCTATATACGACCTTATTCTCAAGCTCCACAAAGCCTGCAATGGCGACTGGAAGAGTCTCGCCCAAAAGACTCAGGTCAGCGATGAACACCTTCGCTTCTTCCTCGAATACGCCGCTCAGTTCCTGGGTAACTGCGGTAACTATAAAGGCTTTGGTGATTCCAAGTTCATTCCTCGGATCCCCGCATCTGCCCTCGAGGCTCTGGCATCGAGTACGTCGGAGACCAAGGAGGCTTTCCAGAAGGCACGCAGCACTGGTGGCGGTATCTACGAGACTGCTGAACAGTCTATGATGCATCTGGGCTACCCTACCAGTGGCCATATGACTACTTACTACCCGGACTCGCCCACAATTACCAAGGACGAGATCACGGCTGTTGGTGACTTGATGGAGAAGAAGGGCCTGGCGTTGGAAAATACCCGAATCCGCAAGACGGCTTCGGGAGACTTTGAACTCTTGATTGCAGCTGGAGTCACCAATCCTCCCGCGAGGGATCGCGACCTCGGCGCGACTGATACTTTTGAGCTCGAGGGGGCTCTCAAGGGCAAGACCCTCCGCCTGGTATTTGGAGACTACCAGGAAGAGATGGCTAAGATATCGCACAACATTAAGCTTGCTGAGCGCAATGCGGCAAATGATAACCAGAAGAAGATGTTGGACGCTTATGCTCTTTCATTTGGCGCTGGATCTATTGAAGCATTCAAGGAAAGTCAGCGGGTTTGGGTCAAGGATCAGAAGCCCGCTCTAGAGACGAACCTGGGATTCGTGGAGACCTACCGTGATCCTCATGGTGTGCGTGGAGAGTGGGAGGGCTTTGTCGCTCTGGTAAGGTCATCAAATTAAATTCCCCCGTGCTGATAATTCTTGGTGGCTGATTGTCTTTTCTCTTTCAGGTGAATTTGGAGCGAACTCGGGCGTTTGGCGCTCTCGTGGACAGTGCTGAGAGCATGATCCCCAAGCTCCCCTGGGGTACCGACTTCGAAAAGGATAAGTTTCTCAGTCCCGATTTTACCTCTTTGGAAGTCTTGAGCTTCGCTTGCTCTGGTCTTCCCGCCGGCATTAATCTTCCCAACTACGACGATATCCGCCAGAACTTGGGTTTCAAGAATGTCTCCCTTGGCAATGTTCTGAGCGCAAAGGCCCCGAATGAGCCCATTCCATTCATTGCTGAGAAGGACCAGGAGGTCTTCCGCCGCTGCCGTGATCCTGCCTTCGAAGTTCAGGTCGGTATCCACGAGCTGCTGGGCCATGGTACCGGCAAGCTTCTTCAAGAGACTGCACCAGGCGAGTACAACTTCGATATCTCCAATCCTCCTATTAGCCCCGTGACTGGCAAGCCCGTCTCAACCTGGTACAAGCCTGGTCAAACATGGAGCTCAGTGTTCGGTGCTATCGCCTCTTCATATGAGGAGTGCCGTGCCGAGTGTGTTGCTATGGCTCTGGGCTGTGACTTTGAGATTCTCAAGATCTTCGGCTTCGGCGATGGCAAAGAGGACTTGGCCGGTGAGGCTGGTGATGTTCTCTATGCAGCCTACCTCCAGATGGCTCGTGCTGGTCTGGTTGCCCTGGAATTCTGGGACCCCAAGACTCAGAAGTGGGGACAGGCTCACATGCAGGCTCGTTACAGTATTCTGCGCACTTTCCTCGGCGCTGGCGATGACTTTGTCAAGCTGTCCTATACCAAGGAAGATCTGTCGGATCTAGAGATCCTCCTGGACCGATCTAAGATTCTGAGCCACGGTCGGCCTGCCGTTGAGAAGTACTTGCAGAAGCTGCACATTTATAAGAGCACTGCCGACGTTGAGGCTGGTAAGGGTCTGTATGACGAGATCACCTCGGTCGACAGCTGGTGGGGATCGCAGGTGCGCGAGGTTGTTCTCAAGAACAAGGTGCCTCGCAAGGTCTTTGTGCAGGCCAACACTATTCTGGAAGGAGACAAGGTTACTCTGAAGGAATATGAGCCTACTCTGGAGGGCATGATCCAGAGCTTCGTGGATCGCAAGGTGTAAAGCACTGAGCGATGGGAGTAAACAGTAGCACAACAACGAATATGATAAGTTAGCATAGCACATCAAACATAAAATACCCTTCAGCGACACGGGCATGAATTTCTACCTTTAGAGTAGAAATTTATTTAAGATGTAAAACTATACCTAAGATGTAGATATTAGGAAGACTAGAAGATCCAAGATGCGGTCTGTCGGACTTACCGCCGACGTGATCGTGTGGTCTTAAGCGCCCATCCTTCTTCACCTCCTCTTCTCAGATCACCAGCTCTTTCGTTTGCCAGCTTTCCACCAAAGCATCACTGCGGTGTCAACAGTGCCATCACCGGCGACCTATATTCTTCCAGTTGTTTCTTGGGGTATTCGATTCTGCAAACGTGCGCGGGCTTCCATCCCGGCGATCGTGAGTCTCCTGATCGACAACAAAGCGGACCCTTAGGACTCAAGTCCAGAAGCCATCAGACCAGCCGCCTAGTCGCGATTGGGTCTGATCTGAACGACCACACCGTGTCGGACACAACACATCAGCACCCATCAACTACGGCGCGCCCACGTTCTCCAACGGACTCCCTCGCGGAGGACGACAATTACACAGCTCCCCCGCCGCACTCGCCCTCCCAAGCATCCGCCTCGAGCTCCGCGTCCGTCAGCCCTCCACCTTTCTCCTCCCTCTTCGCCTCGACCGAGTCAAGTCGCCCCAAACTCACCGAGTCCCCCGGTCCCGCTTATTTTCCAGCTTTTGCGCCGCCGCCACCTGTTGAGGAGCGTCTCGATTCGGCCCCTTCGTCGGCGGTTGTCGCAGACACCAAAGCATCCTTCTCCGATCCTAAGGGGGACGGGCTTGGCAAGAGTACCGACGACGGGGAACCGCCGCCGCCGTATACAGAAGGCTACAGTCCACTCGAGTCGTTTACATACACGATGGCTGCGGCAGGAGGCGCTTCGAGCATCATCACCCAGGTCCAGCAGACTGGTGGACCGCCCATCAACACTCTAGGAGGTATGTGCCATTCCTGCGGAGGGAGCTGCGCAACAAGCTACTGGACTGACTTGTCCATTCGCATACAGATATTGGTGGTGATGAGCATATCACGCTAGACCTGCGGTAAGCCTTTCGTTTACTACCTCCGTAATGGATGTGATGCTGACAACATATATAGGGGTACCCGGTTTACACTGTCGCGAGATGAGCTGTTGACGCTACCAGAATTTGTCTTGCTGTCTCTGTTCCCAAATGGCCTTCTTCCAGATGGTCACATGGGTGGATTCCACGAGGGTGATATTTATCCTGTTGACGTAAGTTTATCATGATTATGAGCGCTTTTGGTATCTTTGGACACCGCTAACAGCTTGTAGTATGACCCAGCATCCCTCCAATTCATGCTAGACTTCTTCCGATCCGTCGCACAATCTATTCCCTCGTCACTGCCCTCCGCATCGACGTCCCCTGACCTAGAAGTTCCCGATGTCATGCAAAATCCCGCACGCGAAATGCTCCAGGATCGTGCTGGGATTATCGTTCTTCGTGAGGATCTTGACTTCTATGTCATCCCACCGCGCCCAGACATTGGCCATGAAGAAATGCTTGAAGTCAAGCGTGCTGCTGGCCGAGCTCTGCTGAAGCAGGATGGCATTTTCTCCGGCCTGCGCAAGAGCGAGGAGGTTGGCTCAACTGAGCAGCACCTCATTGAGATGCTGACAGCAGGGTAAGCTTACTCTTGGTCCTGTGATTATATATGAATATCGACTAATTTGACCAGTGGGTTTGATCGTGAGGATCACTGGGGCCACCGCGCCCCGGAGCCTAACAAGGCGGTGATCTGCAGTCTGGCTTTGGCCAAGCTTCGCACTGACATTCGGGGTGATCTCTCCAACAACAATACTGTTGGTATGGCTCAAAAGCTTCTGCTGTTCTGGAGAAAGCCCGCTCGCCGCTGCTGGTGGGAGGGCGTGGACCTCGATGACGTTGAGGGTGTTGATGGTCAGGTTAAGGTCTGGATCCGGAGGGTTTGGACCCTGGAAATGGTGAGTCTCTTGATTCTGAGATGTTCAAGTGCTTGGCTAACGTTTTCTTGACAGAGTGTTATTGGCCTGCGGTGATCTTCTTATTATTTGCAATTTATTTTGTTTCCATTTATTCTTGTTGTCTGCTGCATCTGTACCTATACCCAGATCCACTGGCTCGTCGCCAACATGTTTTGTCACCCCTCCTTCGCACAATCTTCAAACACGACAGTGCTTATTATTCCAGTGTCGTTATCTAGTTTTGTTCTCACCACCAGTCGCGCTGGCGTACTTTGCAAGTCGGTGTTGATATCAATAGTTCTTTGTCTATAGTATTCTGCTGTTAACAGCCTACTTGTGCTAGGATCGGTGGATCATTGAGAGGCAGATTATATTAACATCCTTTTTGCCCGTTTTATTCCTTTCAGTCTGAAATTCTTCGTATTGAATACCATGTTAGACAAAGTGATAGCTTTATGTGCAAGGCCTCCGACTTTCTGCCCCAGGCAGCATGATCTCACGTGACCGTGGAATGGACCCGTCTCGCTGAATTGGGGAAAACGCGACAGCGGCGCAAAAGAATCCCAGGTTAGACCGATTGCTGTTCAATCCGACCTTAGTGGAAATACACGCGGGGTCTTTTCGCTTTCTCTCCTTAACTCAACATTCCCTTCTGCTTCTACATCTCTCTGCGACTTATTCCTGATTGCCCCGAGTCTGATCAACCCTTTAATCGATCATCAAACAACAGAAACCTTTTGCGCCCTCAATCCCCGCGAAGGGGCATGTGCTAGTCGAAATCAATCGCCAACATGTCCCCTCTCAGAGGTTACATCACATCATACCCGCCACGTGTGCGCCAGTATGGAAACGCGTTGTTGACGCCTGTCTACCCGGTGCAGACGGGTCCGACGCCGCGGACGACAAAGCGCGGAACCACGGCGATCAATTATGCCGAGGACGGTTACGATGATGATGATTTTGATGAGAGTGATAACCCTCGCCGGCCAACTGGGCTAAGGAGTCTACGGCGCGAGGAGTCGACTGGTGGTATGCTGGCGCCGTTGGAGAAACTGGGCAAGGAAGTGCATGCGCCTGTCGAGGTGCAGGGTGTGTTTCGTGAATGGATGATCAAACGGATGCTGCGACCTGCGTATGTAACTGCTACTTCGAGCCGCGATTCCCAGGATTGCTTCATGGCATTTTCTTTTCTCGGAATCCTCATGCTAACCTTGAATGTGTTTGTGCAGGTGTGCGGACCAACTACAAATCCAAGCGCAGCTCCCGTTGACACTGGTTCCGATTCGAATTGACGTGGAAGTTGCCGCGCATCAACCCCTCGAACCTTTCCCTTTTCCCCGCGGCGTGAATGAACAAATTATAAACCCGACCCTTCCTGCATACCGGAGACCGGACCCTCTACCTCCCTTCAGAATCAAGGACACCTTCCTGTGGAACCTCCATGAGGCTCTCGCTACGCCAGAGGAGTTTGCCATCGGCTTTGTTCGCGATCTCGATCTTCCCAACCCACAGGCGACGACGATGACCATTAGTAATCAGATTCGCCAACAACTGGAAGAGTATGCAGGTGTGGCCTTGCATCCTCTCTTCCAAAGCAGCCATTCAATCCATGCACCGGGTGTAGCCCCACAGACAGATGCTTCGCGAGATGTGTCCATGACCCCCGCTGCGACGAACGTCGATACACCCGATAGCCGGGGTAACGGGGCTACAGTAACAGTCACAAAAGAGGCACTGGTGAACGACAGTCTCCTGAACCCGGACGATGCATACCGGTGTTTGATCAGCCTCAACATTAATCTTCAAAATAAGCTCTACACGGATAAGTTCGAGTGGTCGTTGCTTCATCCTCCTGGTATGGCCGAGGAGTTCGCCCAGATTACTTGCGCCGATCTACATCTCGGCGGAGAATGGGTGAGCGCGATTTCACATGGCATCTACGAGGCCGTCTTGAAGTTGAAGAAGGAGGTCTGTGAGAGCGGGGGCCTGATCAATGGCTACGGAAATGAGATCGACAATCAAGCTGCCAACGGTGTGGAGGCTGGCTGGCGATACGATCCCGAGACCCTGGGTGATAAGTGGCAGCCTCAAGTTGAGACTCTGTCCAAGGAGGAGATCGAGAGGCGGGAAGGTGACCGCGAGCGTGAAATTCGACGTGTACGGCGAGAGACTGCGCGATTCTCTTCAACCACGGGCATTACACCAGAGGTGTCTCGGCAAAACAGCGGTGGCTATTTCGACGTTGATAGTGAAACGCCGTTGGGACGTGGTGAGCGGAATAAGCGGAAGCGTCGCTTCCGTAGCCTCAGTCCATTGGGGAGAGGCACGCCCGGTGGCCGAGGCACTCCGGAAACGGGATCAGGTGCTGGGTATGGTGGCGGAGGTGGTACTCTCACGGATTGGTACGTGGTGTCCAGCATGCTCTTTGGAAGATTGTCTCTTTGCTAATTTTGAAACTAGGGAACGACAAAGCTGGCGATGCAGCAATTGTATGGTATGGGGTACAGCCGTCTGGGCAGTTCGAGATGGACCGGATGGCCCTCGCGTAAGTCAAGTTATATCAAGCCATATTGAGAGTGTGTTTCGTCTCATGCTAACCCGATTCCTCCCTTTCCAGACTCTTTGCCACAACTGTGGTTTCCTCTACGAGCGGGACAAGACCACTCCAGAATGGTCAAGAGACCTGCACCGTCACGATATCCCTGTCGGCCGGTATACCTAGATATCCCATGGAATTGGACGATCTTGTTTGAGTATAGGATTTATTTTATGTTCTTTCTGTTTCTCTTGTCCTTTCGAGGGGATACATTGGTAGGCGCGGAAACGGTGCTCTTTTTTTTCATTACCATAATGTATGAATATGACTCTTAAGCTGATTCGGTTTCATGCCGCTTAATCCTCCATACTTGGGTGTTGAGTTGTGTAGTTAGGCTATATGGTTTTTTCTGTCTTTTATTAATGAAACATATTGGATACTCGAAGATCCATCAATGAAGATGTGAGACCGATTAGTTGAGATCCAGTCACAATGCGATAATTCAAATATAGTGCAAATTAGATCTTGAATTGGTTCAAAGGGGTGGAAGCTATAGCTACCATGTCCAACGCGAGGATCATTACAGTAGTCCAAGTCAGGTCAAAGTAAAACGAATCCAATAGAAGCACGCCTGAAGATAGATAATAATTTGAGAGAAACCCGATTACTCAAGCTCTGAATCTATCCTACAAATCAAATCACCAGTGGTGACGACATTTAACAGGCGGCGGACTGCACTCGTCAGCAACCACCTCAGTGCCCTCTTCAACACCCGGCTCAGAGACTTCCGACGTATCCTATAGATCATTACTCGTCAGCATCTATTTACAAACTATGCAAGGACTATACATACCGGGTGATTTCCCCGCGACGCCATCGGTGCAGAACGGATGATACATCCTTCAACACCATCATCATAGGAGCCCGGTGTCACAGGCGAGCGGGGGGCGCCCCCAATCCGGACCTCATTGCCAATGCCCTTGATGGTAACACCGCGCTTGAGCTCGACGGTGATAGGGCGACTGCGGCCCATTTCTTCGGTTAGGCCGTGGGCCTTGAGGGCTTTAATAACGCTGCCAGCAATCTGACCCATCATCTGCTCCTGACCGTGACCGACATCCTTGTTAGCGGCATTGGCATTGGCATTGGCATTAGCAGTGGTGGTCTCGACACCTTGTGCGGTGGATTCGCTCGTCGGAGAATCAGCTCGTGGAGAGGACAAGGTGACGGTGTTCTTGTCGCCGGCGATGGTGATTGAGGAGTCGATTGTGATGGAGATGGCGGCTGGGGTGGGCTCATCCCAGTCATAACTGTAGTCATCGTCGTGATGGTAGGTGTGGTAGGGGGCGTACATAATTGGAATGCGAATTGGTGTTGGATTTGATGAATTGGTTGTGTTGGGGTAGGGTGGTGGAGCGGTGGTTGTAGCAGAGGTTCGATTTGCTCTCTCTTCGAGATATTTGAGGAGTTGGTGGCGGAGGTTGTCTGAAGGCTTCATCGTGGAGGCTGTTGGTTGCTAGTTATCTTTGCAACGCAGAAGAGGTGTTGGGCTGGTCGAGGCAGTAGGGGGAAGGGTTGTTGGATAGTGACTTAGTATATCGATCGACGGGAGGCAAAAGTAGTAGCAACCAAACCACGTATATATGGAAGATGCGGGACGGGCAGACGAAAATATGCAATGAAAGAAGGTCTCCAGGTTTTGAGGGAAGTAACATCTATAAGTACTGCTTGACAATCGAAGGATATCAACATGGGATCAGCGAGACTATGTACAATACCGAGCAAACAATCGATTTCGAGAGGGATGAATCAAAAGCAATGAATGCAGCCTATAAACTCTACTCTCAATCAATATGAAAAAGTCTCAATTGCATGAGTCGATGAATGGATGAGTTATTCCCAAAGTTGAGTTTGAATGAACTCGTTTCGATTGTTCTTTCGGTCATCAATGGAGTCATGTGATCCTATTGTCCTCTCGAAAGAGTTGGAATCGCCGAAGTGGCGGTGATTCAGGTCCCATCAATTTCCTGGTTCTCTCATGAATAGCCCCTGGCTATTAAGGTATGATACGTAGAGCTGGTCTAAAGATGCTAATGGCTGCTCGGGATCACACCATCCGTATTACCGTCGGGCAGCCAAGAGCCAAGAACGATTCACCATGCAGATGCTTGTGTATGGAACATCACTGGGAAATAGGGAGGGTAGTATCGGCGAGAGAGAAAAACAAACAGGGATTTGAATACTCTGTGTCATATTATCATATTATGCATGCTGAATCTTGAGTGAACCGTATGTGATATGAGGATATAACATTATAACATTATGATCATGCAAAGCCATTCCCCCAAACTTGTCCTCACCACGAGCAGACCTCGTGCTCTCCTCGGAAACAAAAGGTCGGACGCTGTCGGTCAACCAAGCCATGGCTGTGAATCCACCCCTCGTAGATTTCGTTGCTATCTCCGGGTGAGATCGGAGAGATCGGAGCGTTTGGGTTGGTCCCCAGACGAGGGGATTCCTCTTCGACGGTCAAATAAGGCTCGAGGATGTCATTCTCTGGCGGAGACTCTGGCCAGTCAGACGGGACTGGCCGTTTCTGGGGCTGTGGATATGGTAGACTCCTTACTATAATTGTCGGGCGACGTGGTCGGTTCCGGGGACTGGCCCGGGTAATACCGCCCGCCGGGATGGAGAGATTGCGCCGTCTGCCCCAAAGATATTAATTAGTATGAACATGAACCCGCACAGATTGACATGAAGATACCGGTATTTCTGTCGCACTTGACAGTCAAAACCGCTTACGGGTTGCTACTGACTTCGCGGAATTCGTCTCCCTCCACTTGTACCTCACGATCACGAATTCGCCGCATCAGTGCTAGGAAGTTGCTTTGTTGGAACTTCTGGTCTTGTTCGTGGCGAACGCTGTCGAGGAGTTGGCCCGCAGTCTGTGCAAGGGCATCCGCGTCTCGATTTTGTGTAAGAGGGTCTTGCTCTGTCTGGGGGATGGTGTCCGACCCGATTCTGATTTCTTCGTGCACTTGCGCGGCAGGGTCAAGTTGGACGGTTTCCTCGTGGGCAAGACTTTCGATCTCAGGCGCAACTTCTGTTTCTTGTAGCTCTTGCATGTCGGCTCGAGCTTGTTCAAACGCTGCCTCGAAAGCAGACTCGTCAAATTGCTCCGTTGGTGCTGCGTTCATCACGGGAGCTTGCTGTGGGACTTGGTGGGTATTCATAGACGCATTGTACATCGGGTAGCTAGGCGCGAAAGCAGGCTGAAATGCATGGTGTGCCGGCTGCTGTGCCTGTGCATGATGGTTTGCAGCTCGCTGTTGATGCTGTTGGCTCATATATTCATTGTGCCATCCGGCTTGCGCTGGCGCAATAGACGGCGCTTGTAGCTGGGGTGGCGCTGGCCCTGAGATGTGTAGGTTTTGGAAATCCGAGGCCCAGTTGGGCCCCTGGTGTATAGCTGCGGGATGCTGAGTAGGAGCTTGAAAGTGAGCTGGGTGTTGAAGATCTGTTAAGTTTCCCGGGACCCCGTGGTTGGCTTCGAACGCCGCGAACTCGGGGTCCAGGATTCCATCCCGCGGGCTTTGTGACCGGAATCCCTAAGAATTATGATATTAGTTATGAAAAAAAAAATTGAATGATGACAAGTTCAACGTACCTGGCCTGATGGTTGTCTGGAAATCAGGCGATCCTGCTGCAAGGTCCGATCAACGGCCGTATGCTTCTGGAAGTTCTGCAGCGCATTCGACGGGCCGCATAGTGCATCGCCCATGGTGTCACGTTGGATGTAGTGAAGATACCAAGTTAAAAAAGCCGAAGAAACGAGGTATCACAAGATTATCAGGATAGATCTGATGAAAAGAAAGGCATAAACAAAAAATCATAAGAATCTATGGAGGCAAAGAGTCAGGAGAAGGCAGATGCGACGAGACGGCGGAGATTCCGTGGGGTTCCCTTTACTCCGCAGACCGAGGCACATCACGTGACAAACCAGAACGTGACCCAAAGTCACGCGATAAGATAAGCAAAGCGGCCAGGTTGTTTGGAGCGGTCCATCGTGAAGCTCCCCTCGACAGTCCAGCTACTCTTTCACGATTTCTACTTCCCCACGGGGTCCCGACAAAATGGTGCGCTATATCTCCTTCATACGGCCTGCTCTGCTCGTATCTAATTCTTGGAATTCAGGCGGCCGCTCAAGTGATTTCGAATTCGGGGCACGAAGACATGATTGTACGTATGGGGGGGGGGTTGCTCAGGGAGGGCTGCAATTGGCGTCGCTAGAGCGCTTTGCGATGACTGGACACAATTGGGCTGACGGAAATAATGAAATGACAGCATGATGCCGGCTTAGATTACTATGGCCGCAGGCTGGCGACCTGCTCATCCGATAAGACCATTAAGATCTTCGAGATTGAAGGAGAATCACACCGCCTCGTGGAGACCCTGAAGGGGTAAGCTTGTCGATCTGGGTCACAAGGTGGCTGGATGATTGAGGAATGGTCGCTAATTTGGAATAATCTATACAGTCACGAAGGCGCTGTGTGGTGTGTCGCTTGGGTGAGTAGGATGCGCGAACCAACTTCCTGTGTGCGGCGCAACTTGACTGACCATGGCGATTGCCAATCTACTAGGCACACCCCAAATTCGGCACGATTCTGGCCTCCTCCTCGTACGATGGCAAGGTCTTGATCTGGCGCGAGCAACCGCAGAATGCGACCTCCCCCGCTAGCGGCAGCACTTGGACCAAAGTCTTCGATTTCTCCCTACACACTGCTTCCGTTAACATGGTATCTTGGGCCCCTCACGAGAGCGGATGTCTCCTGGCTTGCGCCTCTTCCGACGGTCACGTCAGTGTCCTTGAGTTCCGGGACAATGCCTGGACTCACCAGACCTTCCACGCCCACGGTATGGGTGTGAACTCGATCAGCTGGGCTCCTGCAGCATTTGCTGGCAGCTTGATCAGCAGCAACCCTGGACCTGGCCAACAGAGACGTTTCGTGACCGGTGGAAGTGACAACCTCATCAAGATCTGGGATTACAAGTACGTCCTCTCTTCAGATATAACAGGACCCAGAAGTATCTCTGCTGACTATATACCTGCAGCACCGAGTCCAAGACCTACAACCTCACTCAGACCCTGGAGGGCCACTCAGACTGGGTCCGCGATGTGGCCTGGTCCCCCAGCATTCTGTCCAAATCGTACATTGCCTCGGCATCGCAGGACAAGACCATCCGCATCTGGACCTCTGACGCTTCCAACCCCGGCCAGTGGACTAGCCAAACACTCGAGTTCGACACCGTTCTGTGGCGCGCTAGCTGGAGTCTGAGCGGCAACATTCTTGCCGTCAGTGGTGGTGACAACAAGGTCAGCTTGTGGAAGGAGAACCTGAAGGGCCAGTGGGAGAAAGTCAAGGATATCGAGGAGTAATTGGTATTCTCGCATTGATTCCTTTTTTCCCCGCATAATTCATGTCAAGATTTCTATTGCTATAAACATCAAAGACCCCTTCATACACTTCTCAAAATCTTCTTGTTTGAGGGAGCAAATCTGGTTGCATCTCCATAGACCGGAGAGCGATAGACGGTGTACTGACTCCAATATAACTAACTGCACCTGGGCTATATGGATCGGTCGAAATATAGAAGGTACGGGTCAATGGCTCATTTTTTTGATTCAGTTATCTGTGATACTTGATTATATATCACTACTGCTGGGGCCAAAAGAATACGTAGCCCTAGACTATCAGCATTCAGCGCCCCATGCACCCAAACGTCCTATCAGACTCCCGCCCTTCTGGACTTTTAATTGATGACCGTTGCAAGACCAGGTGGCGAAGGCAGCCTCCTTCCTACTGATTGGACCTCTGCCCGAGAAGAGATTCTCCCACAGAGGTACGTCTCTTGGCCCACAACGCTATTGCGGGACTTCTAACCGTGCTAAGTGCATGGGATGATTGCGCTGTTGGGACTTTGATTTATACGCCCAGGGGAGAGTATTCGACTAAAACCACCATTGAGCTTCAACATGGAGAATCAACCGCGATACAACTGGATGTTACAGTTACTCGAGGTGCCGATTTGGCGTACCAGATGATTCTGGTCCGTGACACCAGTGATTTCGAGTTCAATCCCCAAGGTGCCATCTAGGAATATGGCTATAAGTATCTCCAGCCAGGAGAATAAGGTGTCCGCTTCCTCCGTCCATGATTTTGCTGCTATGGACTCACCATCTTACTACTTTATCTTTGATACTTGCAGCAATAGGGAGATCTATAAAATCCTTGTGCATGACGTGGCCGTTGGAATGACTGACACCTGAGCTATCTAAGGGGACAATTCTAGGTCCATGATGTTGAAGTCGCCAACAGAGATGAATGTGTCACGGTCAAGGGCTCCTGACACCAACATATTAGGCGAACATATCTATTGTAATCTCAGTAGTGGAACTGCTAATGTATCACTCAGGACCCTGACAAACGCCAGTAACACCCTTTATCGGAATCTCTACATGAATTCGGCGGATGCGTGCACATTAAAACGAGTAATAGCAAGGCTTATTGGCATTGCCATTATTTGGGAAGACGTGGTTGTGCACGGTGTTCCATATACGCTTATTCTAATTGAGACATGGGGGTTCGATTCAGGTTCTATTGGCATCCAGCTCCAAAATCCGACGAAGCTTCGTCGGATTTCTTAAGACTGATTCGATTTCTGTCAGTATAAGGTGCATGCTAATAAACTGCGCGTTGCTAGAATTGGCATGGCGAGAAATCCGTAGAAGGTTGCCATTCACCATTCCGCTGATACCAACTAGCTTCTTCCCAGGAGCGACTCCAGTATCTAAAGGTTTGAGCTCGAGCGCTGCAGGAGGTCTATGAGCTTTCTTAAGGGGGGTTGATAGTATCTTGAGAAGTTTCCGCGAAACTTGCCGGTCACTATGCATTACTATTCTTTAGCTTGAATCCAACTAAGCCTATCTTCTCTCCTCGTGTCTGCCACTAGAAAAGCAAGATATTAGACCCCCGTATAGCACCTATATGCAAACGAAAGCTAGATCATCTCCACGCATGGCGATTGAATAATTAATCGATTGATTTCTAGGAACCTATATGCGAAATGGCTAAATACAAGCCCCACCAATCCTCCGATTTAAGTACCTTTCTGTGCCCCCAAAATATCCAGTTTTGTTCACAGATTCCAAAAAATGAATGGGCCCCGTCCACTAGCATCCATGTTCTTCAAGTCCATCCACCGACCCAGCATAATCCACCCACCAGGCAAGATGACACCCTCATACCCATGGACCCAGTAATAATTGTCGTCCGAATCATCATCATCAATATCCATCATCTCATCTTCCTCGTCACTGCTGCCGTCCGGCTCCTCGCAGATTGCGAAGCCAATGCGCGTCCATCCTGGGAACCCGCCATATGGATGGGCGATCGCTTCAGTGAATCCGAATACCGGGTTTTCGGCCGGGTCACCGTTGAGGGTGGACTGTGTGCCGCGAAAGTATGTACGAGATGTCCCGTTGCCGCCGTATAAAGGAATGGTTCGGTTGCAGTGGTCGGGCCAGAAGGTATCGTTTGGTGTGATGTGGATGTCCAAGGTCTTAGTATGCCGAATTAGTATCTTGTTGCATTGCAAGTAAGGTTGAAATAAAATCGTACCATGACTTCGACTTGGCTGAGATGATCTCCTCGGAGGTCCGCGCAGGTCTCTTGGTCTTCAAAGTCCTTGCGTGAGGCTGGCATGGGATGGAGGCATGCTGATTTATAAGAAACGTTAGATTAGTGTCCAGTGCGTTTTGAAAATGGGACAACGTACAATAGTACCCAAGCCATGAAACACTCAGGCCTGTTTCCTGATCAGTACTGGACTTGCGTAGCTGGGGTCTTGAATCTATAGGGAGCTTGGCAAACGACTCGTGATAAGTCTGCTCAGCTTGATTTAAGAGGTGACGCTGCCAAAAGCCTCGCATGTGCAGTAAGGTGGCCAGGTCAAGCTTCTCATGAGCAATGAATGGCCCATCGGGTTTCTTTCCATGCGAATATACTGTCGCAATATCGTATTCAGATCGGGTGCATTTGTTCTTGATAGCCGGTGTGGACTTATCCACGGGATCAAGTGCGAGGGCCAGGGCAGCGAGACACTAAGAAGCATATGAGCAGCCACAATTAGCAGACGAGTCTCGCATTATCAACCAACCAATTGAACTGTGCAAAAGAGCTCCGATGGATGCTCTCTCCATGGATGCTCCAGGAGGTCACTTTTCGTCAGAGTTTCCCGAATTCGATCATACGTCTTGAACGTAGCAGACTTGAGAGGCAGAGTCAGAGACTCGAGGAGCATCTGCTGTAGGACCTCCAGCCAGAGCGTCTGGTGCTCACTCGATTCCTGCCTGAAATCAATAGTCTGAGGAAGGACGATAGCTCGAGTTTGGTACTCGGCCTTGAGCTCAGCGTTGGTTCGTCCCACAGGAAGGTCGTACTCATCCTCAAACCGAGCCCTCCAGACCACCGACTCGGTAGCCAGGACTCGATCTCTCATCTCTCTGCAGACTAGGTTGAGATTTCTGAGATCGTGGTCTGTGGGCAGGAAACAGGCTACATGCTGGAGTATCTAGAAGATGTGTGAGCTCAAGAGGTCCGTCAAATCCACGTCACCACGAGTTCTTCGTTACCTCGGTGGGAAGGTCGAGCAGGGACTTTTGTATACGGATGCCTGCTTTTGGCTTCATCTTGGTGAGTTTCCTCGTGACTTGCCGGTCCATTGCTCTGTCCATCTGGTGCCCAATTGTCACTGTCCGCTGATTCTCTTATATACTTGCGTGGTTTAAAGGATGGTATGTCCAGGACTGTGCATATGTGATGTGGAGGAGTATGTCCACAGGCATAAGAAGGATATGACGGGATGGTAGGGATGGGTAGTGGTGAAGATAAGGTGAATGAGGAAACACGAGATGGTGACAAGTCGGGACCAGTAGGTCTTCTTGCTAGAACGCACAAGTGAGAGTCATATAACGTGAGGTACATGATGGAACTACGAAACGGTCCTTGATCGTGCTGAATTCGACATAACTTGATTCAATGATACTGGCTATTCTCTTCCTGCTGAGCATCGGCCCTGCGACGCAAACTTTCCTCCACACCCCAACCATCGGCCAAAAGACCCTTGACGTCTTCAAGGCCAAGTCCACTCATCTCAGGGTAGATCCTTCGGACCGCAAACCACCCCACGGCACAGACGAGTGCGTAGACGGCAAATGTCCACGTGGGGGACATCCACTTCATCATGGGGAGGAAAGTGAGTCCAACAATGAAATTCGATCCCCAATTGGTGGCTGTTGCCAATCCTGACCCGAGGGACCGGACATTCAATGGGAACAGCTCTGATTGCTGCCAAGGCACGTTTCCGAGTCCGAATGCATATGCCGCGGTGTAGATGGTCAAACAGAACAGAATGACCAGGGGATAGACCGTTCCTGGACTGTCAGGCGAGTTTGGCTGCTGAGGTGGCGTTTGGATATCCCAGGAAACATCCACAGAAGAGAATGCACAAGCGCACAGCACCAAGGCAATGATCATCACTGGTATTGAATACAGTAGAATGCGCCGTCGTCCAATCTTATCAATCAGTCCAAACGCCGCCAATGTGAAAAGAAAATTGGTCCCGGCCACGGTCAGCGAAGTCAATGTCGGCGACGAAAATGCAAGCGCACTGAAAATGATTCCAGAAAAGTACATCAAACTGTTGAAGCCACAGAGCTGCTGGAGTGCCTGAAGCATCATAGCGATGGTCAAGGCCCGACGATTCCCACCATTGTGAATCAGATCCTGAGCTCGTTGGGAGGCATCGTGGAGCCATTGTGGCTTCGTGCCCGGATCCTTGCTTGGTCCCATCTCCAATTCCTCTTCTGCAATCTCGCCTTTGATGTCACGCATCACCCGGCGAACAACCCGGTCACAGCCTGGGCAATCTTGATAAATCCGGGTGAGAACACCTACTGCTCTGTTGTCACGACCGGCCTGCACCAGCCATCGAGGCGTTTCCGGTAGAAACACGAGTACTGCAAATTGCACGATGGCGGGTGCCGCTCCAAGACCGACGATCCAGCGCCAGCCCCCAGCAGTTCCGGAGAAAAGCCATCCGACAACGTATGCAACGACTTGACCACCAGTTATCAAGAGACTTAGTATTGTGACCAGCCGTCCTCTGATATGTGAAGGTGCCACCTCCGAAATATACCTGTCCAAGGGCCGCCATCTATTAGTCTGATACTCGATCTCTTCGTCTCCGGTAATGGGCACTCCTCTCAGGGTCCAAGGAAACAATCGACTTACAATGGAGTTACCGCGCTTGCACTACCAACTGCCAGACCAACGATACTGCGGCCCACAATCATTCCCCATACCTGGCTACTCGAAGCCTGTACCAACGCCCCGAGTGCAAACAAGATATCAGCAACAAGTATAACCCGTCGACGACCCCATTTATCCGCCAGGATACCCGTAAAGGGGCTAGCTATCAGAGCAAATAGACTGGTGCATGATGTGATCAAGCTCTCGTCAAGGGTCGTAAGTGGTCGATTGGAGAGGTCGGAGCCGATGGTCACGAGCGTGGAAGAGATGACGCCGGTACTGTGAAATGAGACAATCGTTGGTCAGTATCTGATACCATAGAATAGATTGAAAAGGATTTGTGTACTCGTAACCAAACAACAGACCACTTATCCCGGCGGAGAAAGTCAAGCTCCATATAAACCACCCTCCCGAGTATTGGAGCTCGGATGCAGGAACCCCGTCATCGGCCTCGTGGTCGTAGTCTGGAGAGGCGTCGGTCGAGGCAAGGAGGGGCGCGTGCGGACCGGACTGATCCGCTTCCTCCCTCAAAGCCATATTTTGGAGCTCTGTATCTGAATTCCCATCTGTGACCGTCCCATCTATCGGCATCTGGGGGAACGTTGGAGATTGAAGGGCGGGAGATCTGGGGTTCCGCGAGTAAGTACGATGGTCGACTGCGGGAACACGGGACCCACCCGCAGCCACGCAATGGAACGGAAGTGCTTCCTTGAGTACTGTACCTTTGAATAATCGAGTTATATAGTATAAATTATTTTCATGATGGCCAGAGCTTTCATTGGATCATTATCATATACATTTTAAATGATCTAGTTTCCGTTTCAATTTTGATCAAGTTTAGTGCTTGGCCACGACACCAGCCGCATCAGCCTGTGCTGTGATCATCTTCTTGTACGCCTTGACATCACCATCGAACTTGGTCACGGTGCCCTTGTCGCAAACCCAGAGACTCTTGCAGACATTTTGCAGCATGGTGACATCGTGAGAGACCATCACCACACCACCCTCGAACCGTTGCAGAGCCTCGGAGAGCGCATCCATACCCTCAATATCCAAGTGGTTAGAAGGCTCGTCAAGAACGAGGATGTGCGGGTTGGTCAGGGACAAGCAGGCAAATGCAACACGAGACTTTTGACCTCCGGACAGAAGTTCCATGCGCTGGAGACCGGTCATACCGGTGATACCGAATGCACCCAAGTGTCGGCGGTACTCCTCATCGCTCTTACCGGGGTATGTCTTGGCCATGAAGCTCACCGCGCTGGTGGTCAGATCCAAAGCATCAACGTGATGCTGTGCGAAGAATCCAATGCGCAGCCTCGAGTGTGCAGAGATCAGACCCTTGGTGGGGGCAAGTTGGTTGGTAAGAAGCTTCAGCACGGTGGTCTTACCCGCACCGTTAGGTCCAACAATACCAATACGAGAGTCTAGTTGAACATCGAGATCGACATCCTTGAGCAGAGGCCGCTCTGGAGAATAACCGAAGCAAACATCGGACATCTGGACGATAGGTGGTGAGAGCTTTTCGACTTCGGGGAACTGGAAGTGCACGACGTATTCGCTCTCGGGGGCCTCGAGGACTGGCATACGCTCGAGCTTCTTGATTCTGGACTGAGCTTCGGAGGACTTGGCCGCGTTGTAACGGAACTTGTCAATGAAGGCTATTTGGTGATGGTCAGTACATGGGAAATAGCACGGTGAAAATACAACGAAACCAACCTTGGAGATGAGCCCTCTCCGCCATTTGCTTCTCATACTCGCGCTTGGCATTCTTCCTCCGCTCTTCCTTGGTTGCGTAGAAGGATTCTGAAAAGAAACACAAATTAGCATAAGCCATGACATCCCCAGAGCGGAAAACGTACCGAAGTTAGCACCCTTGTAGTAATCCAAGCGCTCAGAGTGTTGATGAATAATATCTGTAGCCACTTCGTTCAAGAATGCACGATCGTGAGAAACCACGAGAACGGTACTGGGGTATCCCTGGAGGTAGTTCGCCAGGAAAGTGATAGACGGGACGTCCAACATGTTCGACGGTTCTGTTTTGGATTAGCAAAATGCGCGTGCGAGGAAAGTCGGTTTCTAGAAGATTACGAACCGTCAAGAAGCAGCAGATCGGGCTCGCAGAACAGGGCACGCGCCAAGGCCAAACGCATTCGCCAACCACCGGAGAATGTCTTGGTGGCAAACTGTTGTCGCTCGGGGGAGAAACCAAGACCGGCCAAGATACTGGCGGCTCGGGACTCGGCCTTGTCGGACTCCATCTCGGACAGCTTTGAGTGAATATCGGTCAAAGTAACATCGAGACCCTCCCTCTCGTGGTCAAGTCTGGCGGCATCCTTCGAGGTGTCTGCCATTTGAGACCGTTCTTCTTCAATAGCAGCCAATTGCTTGGTAATTTTCTGTAGAAAGGCCTCGTGTCAGCAGAATGCACCCATTTTGCGTCGAGGACGAGAACTCACTTCTTGCTCTGCAAGCAGATGCTTGCGCCAAACGTCTGCGTCCAAAACCGCTTGAATTGCTGGGGTATCATCACCCGTAATCTAAGGAGAGCTGTCAGTAAAAGGTCCCTTTGAGATCAAGTCTGTAACGTTACCTCCTGCTCGACGTGAAGAATCGAGATGTGATTCGGAATAGCAATCTCTCGGCGACTAAGAGCGCGCAGCAGCGTAGATTTACCAATACCGTTCTGACCAACAAGACCGTAGCGGCGGCCATAGGCAAGAGTCAGAGCAGCGTCCGTCAGGATACGCTGACCACCAATAGAAATATCGAGATTGTCCAACTTGATATCCTTGCTCTTGGACTGCGAATCCGAGCCCAGCTGCAGAGGGTTAACGGCCATGAAGAACTCTTCGTAAGACATCGTCTCGTCGGGCTGGTTGAGCAGGCGGGAAGCCTCGTACTGAACGGTCTTCATCTGCTTCTTCTCCTGCTTGGCCCGAATCTTCCGCTCGGCCTTCTCGAGCTTCTTCTTGTCCACGCGCGACTCCACCTTTCTGGCATTGGCAGACTCCAGATCCACGTTGGTACCGCTCAAGCCCAGAGTAGAGGACATGTTCCGCTGGGTGCCCACGTTGATGGCCTGGTCGAGCTTCTTGGCCGTCAAAGGCATCTGCCTCCTCTCTGAGTCCACACCGTTCGCTGAGCTCAGAGATGTAATGAATTTTTCAACCAGGCCGCTGATCGCATCACGGTTCTTGGTGGAGAAATCTCCGGAGGCGGAGACGAGCAGTTCCGTCACGGTCTCTGCAGCTTCCGACAAGGGTGACTGTGCATTGGCATCTTCGACATAGAGGTTCGAGGCATGGGTCAGGTAGCCCTGGGCATTGTTAGTTTTGCTGCCACAAGCTGCTTCTCACAGAGACATCTTGAACGTACCACCGAGTACTCTGAGATGACATGATCCAGGCCAGGGATCTGCGCCTGGAGTTCTGCCTCCATTTTGCGTTTCACTGAGTCGATTTCAATTCAAATCAGTCAAAGGTATAGTGTGTGAGAGGTGGATCGACAAGCGGAATGCCTTTAATGACGTCCTTGTGGTCCGGGGTAATTTGGCCGCAAATCGCAGAGGGGTGTTTTTCGACTGTGTTATCGATAAGGTCACATGACGAATTCGGGAGCTCTACCTCCATACTCATTTTGGGTTTAGCCATAGCTTAGAACTTGCATCTTGTACGACCTGTCGAGTGATCATTGCGCCATACGCCAATCATTCATTCTATTTCTTTTTTCGGTATTCGCCTTGGCAAGCAAATGATCATCACTCATTGTATTCCGAGGTAACCACCCCGCCAAAGAGCTCCGAATCATTTCAAATAACCTACAGCGGTACATTCTCAACTTTTCAGTATACGCTTAAAGGCCGGTATTGTATGGCAGGTGGATTTCGAACCCCAGTGCAGCGTTTGCTTCAGCTGGACCTGCAGAAAACAAGCATCATGTCACCTGGTCGTGACACAGGCCAGAACAAGTATCCTGGGGGCTAGGAAGCATAAACCAACAGTAGCAGTGATTTGTCATTTGATTCCTTATGCCTCTTAACACCTCTCTTCCTCAGTAAAAGCTCCTCCCTTTAATCAGATATATCGAATCAAGCTCTCACTTGCCAATATTGGCAGTGAATCTCTTGATCTGGAAACCAGCCCATGAGTATCTAAGACATTCTAGTCTCAGCGAGGAAATACGAGATGGCGGATTGTAGTTCTTGCTGATTCTACATCCTTCAGTCATGTGACAATAGCTTGACGCCGCAGAGAAGGCCTTCCTTAACCAGATAGCGTTCGAAGCTGACACTACTGCATGCATGTATTTTGGTCCTTCTTTCAGAGGCAATTGATTCTGACGGTTATCTAATGTATAGCTTCATCATTTAGGCTTTAACACAAGATGAAAGTGAAATGTCATTTTCGAGTTCCTGGGAATTCAAAGGACAAACAAATTGACTAGGACAAGGCCAAGAGTGACTATAAGTAGATTGCTAGCATGTAGTGCAACCCTATCTTCCTTTGGTAGATTCTGGACTGGTAGTACCTTTGATAAGTCCGTATCTGGGCCCAGACCGGACATAGTACAGACCTCATGGATTCTGAATGATTGGAAGATAGAGCTTCCAAATCTCATATTATACCTCATCAATATGTCAGTTATGATATCAGTTGACACTCTCTCACGGGCGATCGAAAAAAGAAAAATTCAAATTTATTGAGGTGAAATTTCGAAAACTACTAATAGTGCAGGGGATATCTCGTTGTGACCTGCATTTATTATGCGGGCGAGACCGATACAATGGAGACCGACAGTGTTATCGAGGTCCGCGATAGGTACAATAGGTCGAGGCCTAAGCAGAAGTGAATGTGAGTTGTTCATTGATGATCTTTACAGCGAGGAACCACGAATCATCCAGGCCAGGTTCCTCGACAAGGTTTCCGATGGTAAGCCACGAGCTTTTCACCCAAGGAACGCCTACCAATAAATCTTAATAATGGATAGTGTTATTGACCTTCCCGAGGGGATGATAAGCCGTGCCGATCGCAAGGCTTGCAAGCGTTCGTGGCCTCGGTGCCCGCGCCGCAGTGATCGGCCTTGAGTTCTTCGGTAGACGGAGGACAGTACTGAGTTCAGTTAGTACTACTGTCGTGCACCACGAGGTTTGCAAAGTTTCGGATGTAATTTCGCGTTCCCAATCTCCTTTGGCTGGTAGGCTGGTTGCCGGCGCAAGCTAGACCTCCATCGGACTAGGTAGGCGGCACAGAATCGGTAGGAAGAACCGATTGTCGCTCAGATTCGACCCACGGGGATTTCCGTTTCATTTGCAGGGTGGAGAGGTTATGACGATAGCTCAGATCGGGAGTTTGTTGGTCCTTGTTCGTGGCTCCCAAGGAGCTTCCAGGCTTCTAAACGATGTTTTCTGGGTTTTTTCCTGAAACAAGCCCCGCTTGATATTTGGGGGAGTGTGGGAACCAAAACAACAACCACCACCCGTGAAGAGGAAAAAAAAAAAAACCGTCAACCGGTCGGCCCGGTGGGACCAAGAATGGAACTAATGGATCGAGTGGATGTCAAGACGTTCTCGAAGATTGAAGACCAAAATCCTTCGATCACGGCCATGCCCGGTCAGAGTGATCGGCATATTGACCGTGGTCTCGTCCCTCGTGCAAGTTATTCAACTTCCTTATGTGGTGTGTTCGAAATCTCAAGCTGAGGATCCGCACTGGAGTTGGGGATTGGACGAGAAAGCGTTTCAGAACAACAGGATGGCCTGCAGCCGCCGGCCAACGCAGCAAGAAAGAAATGGCTGACATCTGTCATCCAATTAGCCAAGTCCTCCACTTAGCGTTGCGGTGCATGACAGGCAGGACAGGACCGGACACAAAGGCCCCCATGGCCAGCAGGTTCAGCTACCAACTCACCAGGGCCTTGGAAACGGGTTTGGTCCAACCGGTGGACACAGATGGACACAGATCGGCCGCACTGGGGCCCCTGCGATCGACTAAGACCTAGGAAGGACTAGGGGGAGCCCAAGACGCGATCCCAGCCAGCCCTGAGCCCGAGACGAGAAGTGTGGGGAATTCTGGATCGCATGGCTTCGCCCAATTTCCCTGTCCCCTCAGCCACTGAGCGGCCTTCGAGCGGACCAGTCCGTAAAGGAGCAGCATTTCCGGGTGAAAGTCTGGGAAAGGTCCCAAGGTTCCGAAAGGTCAGTGGACCTGTCGAGCAGTCAGAAAGTCCATCAAGTCAGAAACATCAACCGTTTTAGGATGACCCCATTGACAGGAAGACCGCTTGGGATTATTAATAGCGCCAGTAGGGGCCAAGGCCGGTTCGAAGGAACACGAGCAAAGTAATCGCTAAGCTGCAATGTGAGCCGCAAGGGATGAGCCTCTCTCCCTCACTCTCGATTCGTCAATCGTGGTTGCAATCATCCGCAAGGATCGTGCGTCGTGGTGGTTGCAGTTGCAGGAGCAGGAGCAGGAGCAGGAGGAAAATCGGGGGATTTTATCCAGAGAACGAGGGGAAAAGGTTGAAGAAGCAAGATGATTGCATTGTTGTAGAAGGAGACGGACTAGATTCTGGTGTAGATGTGATTGTTGTGATTATCTAGACCACCACCTCCCGATTGTTATGATTTCCCAATCTTTTTCTCTCTCTCCCTCGTTACTCCGTTACTCCTCCCCCCTTGTCATCCTCAGATTGAGACGAACCAGTAGTAACTCTACCGGGGTACCTGACGACTATTATTGATTCCCTCCTCGCGTGTGTTGCCCTCCCGATTTGCCCAGAACCAGCTGAGTTTAGCGTTAATCCTCCGACTCGCCTTGTTATTGTTGACTCCAAAACTCCACTTCCCACCCCCTCCCCAAGTCGTCATCGACTTCTTCCTCCCTTTTCCAACGGCCCTGAAGGAATTCCGACCACAACGGGAAAAGAGGGTTTCGCTCGTTCACCCTCATTCCTCGTTCAAATCTAAATCTTTCGGCCCTTGAGTCCCTGACGCCTACGAAAGGGAACCCCCCAAAAGGAGATCTCGCTCTCCCAGATCCCCCATCTTTGTTGATCTCACTTCCCCTCGAGGATCGGTGTTACTTTCCCTTCCAACCCCAAAAAAGCCTCAGCCGCACCCACTTCCCCCGAAGCCTATCCTTGATCACACCAAATGGGATGTTCTTCGCAACGGTTCTCGACCCTTTGGAGCTGAGTTGGAGGGTGCTTGACACGCTTCACGGCATCCTCCTTTGAGGATGGATCACATATCGACGGTAAACCGCGCCCTGGATCCCCAGTGCTCTGCTCTGGCTCAACCCAAGACTAACGCGCTTTTCTGATCAGCTCTGTGCCCTCAGCACAGTAGGAATAGCCACTTCTGGACTGGCTCTGGGTCGCATCGAACGCTCCAAGTCTAGCATCTTCCGTCGAAAGACCTTCTCCTACAATCAAGCTCCTCCCACTCCTTCAGAACAATCGACCCCGGCCAACCTGCGCCCCAAGACTTCACGATCGGCTCGACCAACCACGGCAGGACCAGACTGGACACACTTCTCAGAAAAAGCGATCGACGGTCAGGATGGTCCAGCTCGAGGTTCGTTGCAGGGCCCCGATCTGCGCAGGGCATCCATGTCCTTCAGCGCGGCCAGACGTCGCCGTCGCGGCCAAACAATGAGCAACCCGCCCTTGCGCATCCCCGAAAATGAACCCGCGGAGTCGACCACTTCTCAAGAGTCCCACTCACGCCGTCCCTCGACAAGTTGGCTGCGTCGACTCTCAATGGTGTCCTTCCAAACGGAGAGTCCGTCAACTGACAGCCCCGTCACACCGTCCTTTAATGGGTCGGCGAGCCCAATCCTTCCTCGTCCGTCCAGCTCACGCCGAGCACCCAACAAATTAGTGAAGCGCTCGTCTTCACAACATACTAATGCTAATCCTCTCTTTATCAATACGTCCGTGTCCCCGGCATCGGCCCTTCGCAGACCGGTGACTAGCCACCAGCGGTCCGAGTCGATGCGCCTGCAGTCCCCTCTCACAATGGACTTTGGAACCCGCTTCTCAGATAATTACTCCATGGAATCCCCCACGACAGAAGAGTTTGACATACACCTGCAAACTGACTGGAGGCCATATCTGCTCCCAAAATCAGAGGGCTTGCCAGAGAGATTGGCCCGTCGGCTATCTACCACCGCAAGCCCCAAACCTCCGGGCGTGCGACGGATCATATCCGAGCCTGATACGCTTCCTGCTTTGGTGCTGGCAACCACAATCACCTCTAGGGCATCGCCGTCGCGAGATGACCAATCGGCGCCCGTTACTCCAATGTTGTTCCGTAATCCCTTCCAGACGGAACCGACAGCTGCCGTTGCTTCTACTACTGCACTTTCGCCCGGGTCAGCACCTATGCCACAGGCGCCCGAATCACTGGTACCAATATCACCTCCGCCGCCCGAGAAACAGGCCCACAAGCATTCGTTCTCACTAAATGATGTCGAACCGAAAAAAATCCTCGTTAACACGGTGACGGCTTCGGGGACTCCGATCCCCGGCCGTGCTCGTGCTGGGTCTCTGAAGCGGGTCAAGGGTAGGACATTCTCTATCCCTCGAGCAGAGCTCGCGAAATTGCACAGCGTAGTTCCAAGTCCTCCACCAGCCCCTCAGCGGCGTAATATCACCGATCCCTCTATTTTCCGCCGTCCATTCGTTCTTTCGCCACCTGCACTGGCAATTTCGACGTTTGGTAGGGATCATCTCATGGCTCCTCGTTCGGTCTCCCAGGATTACAACATTGGTATGCGTGGTCAGCGTCCTCTCACGTCTGATGCCGTTGCTCTGTCTACATGGCAGCATTCCACTCGTTCAGATAGTTATACGTTCTCATCTCTTCGCCGTCGACCGAAACGACACTCCATTGCAGCTTCAGATCCCTCGTCCACCGTCATCGGTTCTGATGACACCCGTGTCTTCACTTCGGGCGATGAATATGAGACTGATATCATGACTGACTACTGGGATTCGATTCGCACCCGAGAGACAAGTGGCGGTGGGTTGAAAGGACTACACATTGAGACGATGTTTGACAAAGCGGGGTCACGTCTGTCGAATGAGGAAGTCACAACACTCGAGGACCTCCTCCCACGTGGTACCTTCGCCTCGCGTCTGGAACAGGAAACTCCTCTGTTCCCCGACTCTCTCGTCCCCTCTGTGGCTCAGGTCCGTCTGAACGATGAGTCCTGGATTTCGGAGGGTGATGAAGAAGCTGCAAGCATGATTGGTGCACTTCCTGGTGAGCCGAATGGTCCCCCAGCGCGATCTACGCTCCCTGGCTCGTTGTCCGATCCCCCAGTCGGACACGCCGCTTCTTCGTCTGTGAACCCTCAGCCGAGCTCGCCCGTTGCCGAGTCATACATGAGCCAGAAAATGAACATTTTTGACTGGTCTGAGCAAGCCCGCCCTGATCGTGATGCGGCGGATACCGAGGCACGCCCGCGGACGATGCATGGAAAGCAAAGTGGCGTTGACAGAGGAAGTCGTGCGGCTTGTCGAAAGGTACCCTCGTCTATTCACCTTCGGAGTCAGAGTGTACCGGTGGCAAGAGAGCTCCCTACGAGTGAAAGTCGTCAGCCATCTGGGAAATTCGGCACCTGGGGGTTGGGATCGAAGGGGGTGAGCGAGGATTGGGACAGCGACTTTGACTTTGACGACAGTGAAGAGCCCGCGGCAAGCAACGATACATCGAGCTCCGAGCCCGAAGCTGCTCCTCAGAGCATGATGGTGCCCAAGGCTATTCTTGAACGGCAGGCAAGCCTTCGAGGCCAGTTTGGTCAGGTTCAGGAGCTCACACTACTGGTCGAAGAACTCAAGCGGCTTCGGCACCAGGCGAGTGTCTTGGATCTTGTGACCGGCCCATCAAGTGAACTGTGGAAAGAGGCAGAAGGAATCGTTAACCTGGCAACCATTGACGATGACGAGGACCGCCGGTCTCCTCCCGGATCACCATCTTCGCTGACTTTCAGCTTCGATGACTCGGACGACGAAGGTATTAGCAGTGCATCCAAACGCAACAGTGATAACTCCTGGCAAGGAGGACTCCAGCCAAATACAGAGTCACAACCCGCACCACCCAAGCAAAGCAAGGAGAATCAACCGATTGGCTCCTGGCAAAGCAACGCGCAACATGAAACCCGGCTCTATAATCCTACATTTGGCCAACTTTCCAAGAACTCTCCAAGATCAAAGTCGGTTCTCGATATTCTACAACCCAGTCGCCATACCGAGGACTCTGCTCTAGCTCCAGCTCCACGCACTCAGAAACTTCCCTTTGATACCCAATCTCTTCGCGATCTTGTTGTCCGAGCTGGTGTGGTCACACGTGCCTTGAAGGAAGTCATCCGCAAGGCTGAAGGTGTTGATTCGAGCCCACAAGATGTGTTTCCCTCCGACCCTCCTTTCCGACGGATTTTTGACCAACCACATGATGACCTGGCAAGCTTCGAGGCTGCCTTGGCAGAGATGCATTGATCAGGCTTTCGTATGCCTTCTGCAACGTCCTGACCAAGACCCATGTCTTGCTCCCTCTCCTTTTTCCCTCCGTTTGATTGATATGCGGCTACAAAACCAGCATAAGAAGTTCATGCATGGCACCGTCATACGATTCTCTCATTCTACCATCTTCTCTATTCTTATTCCCCTGGACAAAATTTTCTTTGTGTTCTTCTCCTCTGGCTCTCCTTAGAGCGAACGATTTCCATATCCGTTCCATTCAGGCGTCAACAAAAAGCCATTGCATCTCTGTACAACTTTTGCTTCTTGTACATCGCTGACCAAATACTCCTTTTCCTTCTGTTTGAATCCTGTTCTCTCATATCCGGGCTAAACTGTACGCCCACTTCTTGTACGAGCAACATACTGGGGGGTCCACGTCATTAATTCTTATTTCCTTTCTTTCTCCGTTTTCTCCCTGTTTCCAGTCCTCCTTCCAGCGCCTTGCCCACTTTCCTTTTTCTGTTCTCTGCTGCATATAAATGCGCAGCTCATATCCTCATTAATTGCGCTGTAATAATCGTGGAAGGGGGGCTCCGAGCTTGTGATGATGTTTGCAAAGACCCTGCCAGACGAAGAGCAATGAGTTTCAATGTCATGCATTTTATTTTGTTTGCCAGGCTTCGGCCTGGTGACAGGAGCATTTTTCAAGAACCGGTTCTTGAGTATTGTATTTGAGATTTTTAAGATATGGAATACGCTTGCATTGGATCAAAAGAAAATTCCTCACACATTGACTCGATGATTGGATTTCAGATACTGCAATGGTTCGAAGTTCTCAACACCGGTCAAGACATTACGAGTAGAGGGGTGGAATGGTGGTCTCATCATGGAAGCGCTGTTGATAACCTCGAGGACAGGTCGATGCAATACTTGCTAAACAATGGGGTATCTAAATCTAAAATCTAAACAAAGTCGTCATCGTCATCGTCATCGTCATCGTCATCTCCATCTCTCATCTTTATCCTCATCCTCGCTCCCTCATGCCCCCTGCTCATCATCTACATCCAAGGCCATGTGGACGGTTGCAAACTTGCTCTTCGCCCGGATACCAGGACCGTAGACGTAGATGATGATCGGGAGGGGGACCATCAATAGAGCCACACAGCCAAGCAGTGTACTCGCCCAGTTTACCCCCATTGACTTGAACTATAGATACTCGTTAGTCTTGGATTCAGAAGGGTGTCAAGAAGTAGAGAAGTAATAACACATACCATAGCGGGGGCGAACAAGGGAAACCCAGCACCAGCGGAAGAACGGAGGATACTATTCGCTGCAAGGGCCGACGCAGCGCTGAGAGAAAATACCATGTTAGCCAACTCATCTCTCTTCCCTTTTGGAACAGGTACATCACACTTACAATGATGTATAGGCGTCAATGATATAATTGAATGCCCCCAGGAAGATACAAAACAGACCAAACCCAATCATCAATCCAGAAGCCATCGGCACAGCCCAGTGGATATCCGCCTTCCACCCCGACCATCCAAACCAGAACAACCCCCCAGCAAAAGCGACACTTCCCACAATAGCAGGAGGCATACGCCACTCCGGGACAGGAATACCATTATTAGCATTCAGTTTGCGGTTGTATGATGGCTGTGTGAGGATGATATACACGCCACCGCAGATCTCGCCAACTACCAGCCCCCAATATGGGAGGCCGGCGACGCCGGGAGCGAACCCGTGGATTTCTTGGAAGACGATGGGATAGGCTGTGAGGAACAGATATAAGAGGCCGTAGAGGAAGGCCATGTAAATGCTCAAGAAAAGAACGATGGGTTCTAGGAAGAGGAGCTTGATAGGTCGGAGGAGGTTCTTCTGGACGAGCTCGACGTAGTCCACCTCGATTTCTTCTTGCTTTGCGTGAATGCCCCAGTTTGATGTCCGCCGACGGAGTTCGGCGGCTTTGTGCACGAGGATGATGGGTGGGTAGGTCTCGTGTAAGAGGAAAAGATCGATCAGTAGGGCCGAGGCACCCATGATGCCGGTAAGGTATTCGGTCCAACGCCAGCCAAGGCTCTGCACGATGAACCCGCCCACGGTCGAAGCAATCAGCGGTCCCGTAAATACCGTCATGGCGAATACGACGATTGCAAGGCCGCGAACACGATTATTATAGATATCCGCCAGCACGGCGGCAACAACGGCAAGCGGACATGCCCCGAAGAACCCACCGAAGAAGCGACATAGCATGATGGTTTGGAGGTTCTCTGCCGTTGCGACGGCGAATTGGAAAATTGTGAAGCCGAACATCGATAGGAGGAGAGGGAGACGTCGGCCTTTTAGTTCGGAGAATGGGGCCCAGACGATAGGTCCCATTGCGAATCCGAGCACGTACAGTGATAGACCCAGGGTACTGACTTCGCTGGAGACACCGAACTCGTGTGCGACGGTGCTGTTAGCAGCAGAGTAGATACTGCTGGTGAACGTTGAATTGAGGGTTGTCCATGACAGAATGACGGCCGTCAATATCTTCTTTCTTGTTGGCCAGTTTTGAGGGTGGAGAGGGTCGTCTCGACCTGCGAATTCGACCACGTATTCCTCCTTGTCCGGCAATGCGGGTGGATAGGGTTTACCAGCTCCAAAGTCTGGAAGGGGACCGGCTTCTTCTAGTTTCTTTTTGTGACTGGCGCCGACGGTGGCATTGTGTTGGCTTCGTTGAGTTGCAATGCGTTCTAATGCGGTGGGATGGAGTTCCAGGCCTGGGCCACGATGGGAATGGGAAGTCGGGACTTGGGATAGATACTCAAATTTCTCTCGGGATGATAGATAGGATGAGGCTGCCGTAGTTGATACCGAATCTGAGCGATAGACGACATTGTCGACACTTTGGGTTGCGGATGAGGAAGTGGTATTAGGGCTAGGTTCTGTCGAGCCTTCCTCTACATCCCATTTAGAGTCCATGATGGCAGTAGCCGAGGTCTGGGCCCTTGGGGTATATAGCTCGGACGTGTTGGAAATGATGATCAAAAATGCCTTTTTAGTGAGGAGTGGGAATCATCAATCGTTTATATCCCAGTTTTTTTTCACGGGCATCTCTCGCCTTCGACGGGACCCATATCCCCTCGGATGTCAGGTATCTGCCAAGCGGCAAAATAATAATGGAGACACTATCAATATCTCTACGATGGATACAGAAGCTGCGGATTGCATCGGTCAAACCGTGCGGGCCTCCCTTTCCTCTTTTGCGGGCTCCGCTACCATTGCACCGTCCTATCCGTGGGTCGCACGCCACCACGAGAGCTTCTACTTTGGGTTCCTGGTTTAGATATTTCTTTTTGTAGTTTGACCTTGCCTAATTTTCACCTGAGTGACTAGTTCTTCTCAATTAAACATACATCTACCGAGCAAAACGCGGCGTAATTCGAGTCATATCCCGTTAAAGTTAACTACCGATCAAGCACCCGCCAACATACTTTTCACACATCCCGACCTCCCTCTCGGCTAGCCGAGAGACAACCATCACAAAGGCCCAAGCCCAATGTCCGTGCCTGGCCGAGCTTTCTCGGCGCATGTGTTTGATAACAGCGTCCACTAGCCTGGAAAATTTTTGTTGCAATGGGCCAGATGGGGCGTTATCAGGACGTTGGTCGTGGGTATTCTCGGCGTTCCACTTGCGATGCTCGGTTATTCTAGGCTTTTACGTCATCCCGGTGCTTTAACCCGACCATGAAGATGGGATAGGTAGAATTGAGGTTTGGAATTTTTTTCTTCCGTGGCCACGCGATAACGTAGATTTTTAGCAGGTTCGTGATTGTCTTTTATTTTTGTCTTTGGGTGATTTCTACTGTATGATGGTTGGAATTCAGATGGGCGTGGGGCGTGTATGTGTGATCTATGCTTCCTTGTGAACGGGGTGGGTTCATAGATATATCTCTGTGCTTTTGCCGAGACGTCACCGCTGCAATAGGTACTATTTTTCGTCTCGAGTCGCAGGCATCAATACTAGACTTTATTATCCATTGTCCATACTGTACTCAAATTGGTCACCTGTTACCTCCCTTCGTCTGGTCAGATGCTGTACCACCCTTCAGACCCCAACGTCCGTCTCAGAGAAGGCTCCTAAGACAACGGACCAACAAGTACAAATTAGAATCGAGGGCTCTCCTTATCTGAATTGAGGTTCAATGTCTATAATTGTCTCTTGTTGTAAAAGGAAATCCTTGTACGCTATACTTCGAGTCGCCGAGTCCACGTATCCTCTAGAATACTAGGGATAAAATCCCTAGATCATAGACCACCATCACTGGTAACAGTGAAATTGTGACTGAAACACAGGAATGTAGCTGGTTAATAGTTAAATGAGCCGTACTAAGATGTTAATACCTGCGTTCCCGTGCCACATGAGGCTCTTCGGGGTTCGCTACGTGTGGCTGAAGCCACGGACATGGTCACGTGCCGTGTGCCTCTGGCCTCCCGATCGAACTTTCAGTATAGTCAGGACCAATAATCAACAAACTTTTCTTGATAGCTTTGATTTGGTAAGTATTATCGCTATGCCCGCAACAGTAATGCGGTGATATGAAAGCCACGCGCTAATGCTAGACGCCCAGCCCTAGTGTTGGCGCCTACCAGAGGGATACCGAACCAATGTGGCTTTTCCCCATCAGGAACCCTTGATTAGGGAGGGCCTCGATGATTTTATACGTAGTATGATATAGATAAGGCGATAACAATAAATACACCCAGTACCAGCTCTTTCAAGACGTCGAGTTCCAAACATATAAATTGGTCAGGAGTAGGCGGGCCTCTGCCAAGCAAACCGGTTTGGCCCACGATCCACAATTCAGACATACAGTTTACAGCAAGACTATCGATTGGGAAGTTAAGATATTTCTTGGATTTCTGATAAGCATCGCCCAGGACGCACCTGCCAGAATCCAAGCACTCCGCTATATGGTACCAAGTATAGATATACGTGTTGTCTTTTAGTCGTATGAGTATCCGACCGTCAACACTGGCTGGAGAGATCATATTGCGATGTCCATCGGATCAACAAGCCCAACACTCTATTGATCCTGGCCTATCATGGCCTTTCTCTATAGTCCCAGGATTTCTATCGTATCTGGCGAAAACCTTCTCCACTGCATGAGCCCTGCCAAGAGTTCACTGAAACGCGACCCCGGAGGAACGGTGGGCAACATTCCAGTGGAATGAGGGGGACAGCCGCCATCGTCTCAGATTGAGGGGAAGGGTCGCCCGCCGCATTCCAAGGCTGGAAAGTGACAGGTTCAACGACGATGGCGGCAGTATGTAAGTACTACAGTACTGTCTTAGTAGTCTCGGTCGGGGGGGAAGTAAAAAAGATGAGATCTCAGGAGCACAGTGAGATAAGAGCCCGATAACGAGTAACCACTATGGATCTATTGCGACCGGGCGAGATCCAGTTCTGGTCTTGAAAATAACGATAGTGGAATTGACTATCGATCGTAGGTTCGTTGAGGAACCTCCCCCGTCCTTTGATTTCTTTCGCCCTGTTAGCCAAGTAATCTTTGCAATCGCGGCAAACAATCATTATCACCCGAGTTATGATCATATCCACTGTTCCCCCTTAGTGGCCCTTACATGCAAGCCGGTACTCGTACACCTCGTACACCTCGTACATCGTACACCGTACACCGTTCCAATCCTGCTGGCTGCGGTGGTCATCTCCGGCTCAGGGGCACGCGACTGCTGATTGGCCCCTCTCGTGGGCGGGTTCCTGACGCTAAAAGTGGGTATCCCCCACCGGAACCAGAAGGTCTCAGTCCTCACACTTTACCTTGCTTGGTGCAGTTATCACTGGTAGAGGCATGGGGTAAACCAGGAGAGACATAACAAATTGAAGCATATGTGATGATCAGCGGTAGGAGGACGCACCGCTGTCGAAGAGACGAGGTTGTCCTGGTGAGAATCCCCAGGAAAGGGAGAGGAGCTGCCCGTGCTAATTTAAGAGCTTCAGGGGGAGGCGACTGCGGAGATTCGAGAAGATACAATACGTAACGGTATACGGTACACAATCGGGGGCTGTTTGGTACACAAATGGCCCTTTTCAGCTTCAACGGCCGTCGGTGACTAACCCTTTCAGGTTAAGTGACTTATCCCACGGCACTTTGGAGAGAAGTCACGGCCCGTACGAGGTAATCTACGAGGTAATCTAATTGTTGTGCGCTAAGAACGGCCCAGAACTGGTCTCACTGGCCCCCCTTCTTCTCCTCTTTTCTCGTCCTTCATCGTCTCTCCTCTTCTTCTCGTCTCGTCTCTCCTTCTCTCTTCACTCGACACTCTTTCGATCCCCGACCCTCGTTCACTCTCTCGCTTTTTTGGCTGCTGGCCGCCACGCTCCTTTACAACACACCCCTCATCAACCTTTTCCACGACCCTATTTTTGATTTCCGTGGCTTCGAAAGCCCGGTCCGATCGTTGTGAAAAAGAAAATACTTACCCTAAATGACTTCGTTCTAAAACTTCCTACGGCCACCGCCCTGATTTTTTTGGTCGCGCCTGTCGACTGGTTCGCATGTGGGAAGCATATACGGCCTCCTCGTGTGATCGACTACAACTACCACCCGCTCTCCTATTCTTCCCCACCCCGACGACGGGCCCTCCTTTGAGCCATGCCTCACCATCATGATCCCAATCTGGTGATGAGGCACTCCCTGGTTCCACGGGAGGTCATCCCATCCGTCCGACTCCCTCTCCTCGTGCCCACTACTACCACGATGCCGGGTGCTGGCCTCCCCTCGTTGGTGGCAAGAGCACCGAGCTCCTCTGAAACTACCGGGTCTTCCTCCTCAGAAAAGCCGACAAGTAACATGACAACGACGGTGTTGCCGGTCGTGCTGGGTGCTGGGTACGTCATCTGATATCTTTTTTTCTCCTCTAGTCAGGGACGATACGCGGGGTAGACTCGTGAATGGAAATCTAATGCTCGTGCAGTGTTCCCGTTTTATGTGCCATTGTGGTTTTAATCTTCTTGCACCGGAGACATGTTAAGAAGCTGAGGCGTGAGGATGCAATGGATAAACACAAATCTCTGGATTTCGGCATGGATGCGGTTGGGCCGGGTGGAAGGAAACCGAGGAAATTGCCCAACGGATTGCAAGCGGAAATGATGGAACCTAGTCATTCAAAGGGTCTGTCTCTCGACGTTAGCCCGTATCTGATGCCCCCTGGTCTTCACGGCTCCCAAGACTCGCTACACTCTCTTTCTCGATCCATCGATGATGACAAGTACCGCCCGGCGGTCTTTGGAGCTCAAGACAATGGCTCCGTTCGGTCAATGTCCCGAAACCGCGGTGACGATGGATCGAGCCTGGGAGGCTCTACCCGCCATGGATATGGAGGTGCCGAGGATCCCAATTCGGGTCTCCTGCGGAATGCCCAGCGGATGTCCCGCTCATCTCCTCCTCGCTATAACGGCCCTCCTGGAGAACAGATGCCGCAGCGCCCTCCTCCAGCTCACCACCAGGACAACCCTCGCTCCTTACCCGGGTTGGTCCCGGCCCCATCTGAGCGTGATGAGTATGCAATGGCGATTGGCAGTGCTACGACCGACCACAGCAAGAGTCCTGACCGTGCCAATTCACCCCCGGAGCCTAAATTCCACCTGAACAGCAATCCCATGTCGGAGCTACACTTTGAAACCGAGCCTCCAATCGGCCATGTCAACACATCTCCCTATGAAGATCGCCCGAATTTCCCGCTTCCTGACCACCAGGGGCCTGTCCAGCACGCCCAGACTTCGACTACGCAACTGCCCCGTATCTCTCTGCCCGCCAGTGATATCACTACCAGTGATTACGGTGACGAGCGCAAGCCGGAACTGACGATCAAAGTTCAAGCTGCGGAAGCGAACCAGCCCCATCATGACAACAACAACAAGCAGCCCGAGCAGCCCGAAGAAACCCAGCAGAACCTCGATATCGCCTTTGCCAACAACAACCGCCCTGACACCCGCCGGCTGACTCTCGGGGTGCGTCCATTGCCCCCAGAAGACCCGGCCGACAACCCCGAGCAGCGTGCCAACCGTATCCGTTCCTTCTACAAGGAATACTTCGACGACAGTAAGCGGGAGACCACCTACTACGAAGACTACGGTTCGGAGTTCTACGACGGTGGCTACGTCTATGACCCGACTACGGGCGATTATTTCGATGCTGCTGCCCCCCCTGCTGCCCCTTACGCACAGCCCATGGAGCGTCGTGCCATGACCCCGCCTCCTCGGGCTCCTCCTCGCTTCCAAGGCGCTGCTCGCCATATGGCCACGAACTCGGCTGGCCACAATGGTTTCGGTGGCCCGGGTCCTCGTGCGTTCTCATCGGCTTCAGGCCGACTTCCCGGCCCTCGTGGTGCTCCTCGGAAGCCCATGCCTCCGCCGTCACCTCTTCAATTACTCCCGACTCCTCACATGTTGAAGGATGATTCTATTTTCACGGCGGCAGACTTTGCTCCTGCTCATGGATTCCGTGATCGTCGTGAAGGTCGTCCCGAGACTCCTACCGGTGGCTCCATGCCGTACAGCCCTGCCATCCGAGCCCATACTCCGCTTGTTTCGGCGTTCGATGAGCTTGCTGTCATTCCCAGCCCGTAAGTTTCGAGTCTCTTCTATACTCCTAAGGGGACTGATGTACCACTCTCTTGAATCTATTGCTAACTTGACCTTGCCCCAGTCACGCCTTGCGGAAGTCTGGCACGTTCACCAGTCTGGACTTTGCACCTCCACCCCGGTTCAAGAACAGCGACAGTGGCAGCGATGCCGGTAGTATTCGCAGCAACCGGACGGGTATCTCCAACACCCATATGAACAACATTCGCAACGGCAACTATCGCGTCAGCCGGTTGCCGACTGACATGGTCGGAACCAAGGACGATATGATGACCAGTCTGCGACCTGACTGGGGCATGAACCGATAAACAAAAAGCATCTTCATTCGCCCGTCTTACCTTCTTCTTCTCCTGTCCCTCCCCCGTAACGACTCTGTGCTGCTTTTGGTGTCCCTCGGAAACAAACCTGTGACGACCTTGCACTTTTCATGGTGTTCCTCCAGTTGTTTGGCCCTATCCAAGGAATGGTTTAATCATATTCCATTTCTTCCCGGATCTTTTCTTTTCTCCTCTGGTGTCTCTTGCACTCGTTTTGCCCCGTCCTCCTGGGGGCCTCTTTTGGGAAATCTGCAGTCATTCGGCGTACATAGATAATGGTTGGGTTCTGTTTGTGTTCCCCCATGGATTTTTCATCATCTCTCGTTTTTTTTGTTCTTCGATATTGCCCTTTTTTCCCATTTCCCCGGTGCTTCGGTCCCGGGGCTGTACATATGCCATTGACATTGACATTGGATGGTCTCGGTCGGAGAGGGTCCTCGCGGACAGACTCCGGCCGGCTTTGTGTGCTGATTCTTCTTTTTTGTTCCTCCATGTTGCTTTTTGAGGTATGTAATCGTAGATTCTCGCCCCCTGGTCGGCACTCCACGTAGATGAAGAGTTCTTTTAGTCGTCACCATCTTGGAGGTCTTCAGGCCTGGACCGGAGGTGTGGACACACGAGGAACAGTTGACGAGGCGGATCTTACTAGCGGGAGGTGGAAGCCCCGAAGGACGCCTCAGGACTCCACCGGCAGCGACAAGGCCCCGGGCGACGTAAGACGATAAAGTGGATTAAATTACCGCCCACAGCCACCCCTTTCGCGTTTCGTGCGACCGAGAACCGTTCAATTTCGAGCATACATAGTCAGATAGATCGATAGTTATATCTCGGTGAGTGTTAAGAAGGGTAACGATCTGGGAATCTCAGATCATAAAGTAGTCATCACAAGCTGATACCAGGTGTCCATGGTAGCGGCTCGCCGTGTTGTTGTACCGACTCTCGAGCGACGGCCAAACCTTGGAAAACCGTTGGACGATCCGCTCTGATTCGTGCCGTTTACGATCCGTATCGGTGGCAACTGAGTACGCCGTGCATCATGACGTGGGATGTCATGATGCAGGTAATCAGAGGGTCGCATCGTTCGAATGCTTGGATAATCATGACGGGGAAGAATTTGTTTTGTTTACAGTACGTTTGTCCATTGCAGAGATCTATGTAACAGGATATGCTCTACCTGGTGGATAGCATTGTGGTGCGGTCGCAGATTTTATACTTTCGCGACCGGAGATCACTGATCCATGGCCAAGTCTCCCAGTGTCTGGGCCGTCCGCTTAGCCCTTCCATGGGACTGGCCGGTGGTCTCTCTGTTCATTTCGGCTTTGTTGTGGTCCCGGAGGAAAACCTGCAAGGGCGAGTCGCATGGCCCCGGATCTAGGGATGGAATCAACATTGCATAATTAGATGAGGTCTCCGTTTTCGGTCGCTGGTCGCTGTGCCTGCAGGTGAGGTGAATTATGAGATGATCCAATCGGTTAGTGAGCGAGCAGCAGGTCACGGAGTTCCGGAGTAGGAATTTCCTTTTCCAGTCCGAGGTCGTTGAATGCAGCATCTATTTTAGTACGACGGTACCGTGTACTCGTACGCCGTAAGCCTGGAGATTCTACCGTTAATGGTTTCCATGATTTACCATTTACCATACCGTACTGCCAGAAATGCCAGAGCCGACCACGCTACTGCACGACTTGTAAAGCCGAATGCATTGTAACGAAACCAACCCAATACCCAAATACCCAAATACCCAATGGCTCCGCCCAGACACTCCACCGTTCCCACCTCAATCTCCTCTTCCCTCTCTCTCTCTTTTTGCTTGCTACTGCTGCACTCCTCCATCTTCCCTCCCATGGCTCCCGACTAGATTCGGCCACTGGAGAGACTCACCTATTCCGGGGCTTCACCTCTTTCACTTCGTCTCCTCCCATTTTCCTCTTCTTCTTTCTCCGGTATCTTTTCATCTTTTACCTCCCCCGATTTACAGCCCACCTCCGCCCCCCCTGAGGCCTCCGACCCAACTCAACTCCATCTTTCTCTCCCTACGCATCGGATTTGGCATCACCGTCACTCGTTTCTTCGGTCGATTCGTCTCTACCTAATCGCATTCGCTTTCCCCCAATCGCCCGAGCAGCGAGCTTTGATATTCTCATCCGAACCGCCTGTCTCAGAGCCCCTGGTGCAACGTCGCGATTCGTGCCGCCTTTTTCTCTTTTCCGCTTAGCGTGCTTGGAGGATCGCATTCCTCCTCTCCCTCTTGTTCCCCTCAGGAACTCGTGTTGAACTCGATTGGCCTTTGCGCTCGTCAATTCCAACCTCTTCGCCATGTCAGGAGTGGCTTCTACCCCGGTCGATGCGACCACCACGGCGGCTACGACCACGGCGGCTTCATCGGCCGAAGCAACCACGTCTTCTTCTTCCTCTTCTTCCGCTATCCCAACGACGAGTAGCACCACCAGTGAACACACGACTAGCACAACTAGCGTCCCATCGACAACTTCCACGTCCACCTCTAGTACTTCCTCGACTACCTCGGTGCCGACAACGAGTTCTACCACGTCGACTACTTCCACATTAATTCCTGCTACGACGACTACCACCTCTTCGTCCTCTACATCCTCGACTACGTCGCCTGCCGAGACCACCGGCTCCTCCTCTTCAACGGTCGTGGTCGTGACGCAGACGCAGACTGATACCTCGACTACCAACACCGCTTCCTCGACGATTGCCTCGTCGAGCACGACTACCTCCGCTGGTTTATCCACGTCGACCGCCGCCGCCAGCAGCGGCCTCTCATCTGGCGGCAAGATTGCCGTTGCCGTTGTCGTGCCTGTTGCTTCCGTAGCTTTGATTATTCTGGCCGCGCTCTGGTTCTGGCGCAAGCGTAAGGCGAACAAGGCTGCCGAGGAAGAGCGCCGTAAGGAGGTTGAAGAATATGGCTTCAACCCCAACAATGATCCCACACTTCCTGGTATGATGGTTGCCGGTAGCGTTGCGCCCAAGGACGACACTTCTTCCGGATACCGTGGCTGGGGCACCACCTCCGCCGGTCGCAAGGCCTCCACCAATCTGTCCAGTGGAATGGGCATGGCCATGTCCGAGGGAAGCGGTGCTTACCACCACGTCGCGACCCCCAGCGAAGGAACTGTCCAATACTCCGAAGGGACCCGTCCCGAATCGGGCGAGGTTGAACCCATTGGCGTGCTGGGCGCCGTTCCCGTTGCAGCCAACACCCGCACCGGCGACATCCATCGCGGACCCTCGAATGCCTCTTCCGCGTACTCGGCTGCCAACCACTCCGAGGCTTCGGAGGAGAGCCACATGTCGGGGGGCCATCCGTCGGCGGGCTACTACGGGGATAACCCGTACTACGGGGAGATGACCAACCACGGCGCGTATGGTGGTGAGGATTATCAGCCCGTCATTCGGGATGTCCAGGCGCGCCGTAACACGCGCATCGAGAACCCCGGTGTCTACCCGCGATCCGGCAACGCCGGTATTGCCCAGAATTTCTAAAGGGTTGGACATTCCGGTCCATTTTCCCGCCCACTTTTTATCTGTTGCATACCCTGCTTTCGCCCATGATTGTCATCCCGCGCTTTCTCGTTGCCTTTTGAACAAAAATTTGTTTGGCATCTTTCCATTCGTGCACACTCATAAAAACCATCCCCTCGTCATGAAAAAACCCACCGCCGATGTCACTCTTTTTGATCTTAGTTTTCGGGGGCAGCCTACCTGTAACTTTTTGCTGTTTGGTCGGCTCCAGGCGTGCTCCTCTTGTCTCTCTCTCTCTCTTTTGATTCCCGGCGTGATGGACATTCGCTTCGCCATGTTATTATTTGATCTCTTGCCTTTTTTTTTTTTTTCTCTCTCCAAGACGGGAAAATATCTGCTTTCTTCATCGTTGTCTTTCATAATTGACCGAATCACTCGATTCCCGTTCAACATCTTTATCTTCGATATGTCTTTTCTCCTTCTCCTTCTTCTTCTTTCTCCCTTTTGTTACTGCTCCATCAAGCCCCCAGTTTCGCCGTTGATCGTTCCTCTTGATATATCCTGGCATCTTGGTCCTGACCATCTATGCGTGCTTGATTTCCTTTCTGGTGTATTGGCCTCCGCTCCCCGTTGCATCATGTATATCCGCAGCGCCGTGGTCTAGAACGTCTGGGCCGTGGAGCGGTGTCTGGTCTGGGGTTTGTTTTTTCTTCCCGTTTTCTCTTGTTCTCCATGTCTCGTGTCTCGTGTCTCTTTGTTATTCTCCAATGGTCCAGTCTATAGTTTATGGTGTAGCCAAATGAAGCAGAGTATCCAGATCAACTATCTATTCGGGCGATTTGTCATGGATCCCAGTAACCTACCTCATTGACTGGACAATTAGGCTATATTCCGTCTGCTTAATTGCTTGTCGGCATACCCCGAGTGGACCCGTTGACACTCCTAGTCTCTGTCGGTCTGAGACGGCCCATCCAGGCCGCGACGCTTCGGCCAGCAGAGCGGTAGAATTGAGTCATGATAGGCGTAGTTAGTCGAACTATAGAGTCTCCATGACTCCTGGAGGTCCCATGGGGTGTGGGTATTACTATGGGAACCTCCACCTCGGAGGGTTTCCATTCTGTCGTGTTGAGAAAGATGGGGGGGGGGGGACGGAAAGACGCGAGTGCAAGCGATGGTCAAGAGGCTTGTTCATTGGATAATCATCAGCATTTGCAGAAAGATTTGCTAGCCTGAATTAGTGAAGTGTTCGAGGGCTAGGATGAATCGGGGAATTAGTAGGAGTTCACTAATGAATTTATGGAGTCGTTTTGGCGAGGTTGACGAGTCGGCAAGTCAGCGAGGGGGAGAGTACGGCACAATGTACGGAGTACCGAGAGAGAGAGAGAGAAGGTTAGAGAGTACGAGACTCCATACTTACTCCACCGTAGTAACTTCAGAACCAAGTGAGCAGGTGTAGTTTAGTCGTTTAGTCTCAACTCGAGTTTCCATCGAAAAGCCCGAACTTAAGTCAGCAACCCCGAAACGTGCGCGGACTGTGCGTAGTGATTGGCGCTCCCGCAGCTCCCCACTTCCGGCTTAAGTTGAACCTCCAATTTTCCCTGCGGTCCATACCAACCTCTCGTTGGTCCAATCTATTCCTCCTGCTCCGGAGAGCAGGTCCCCTGGTGCCTCTGGGATCATCTTCTCGATTCGTGTCTCAACCCCCTCATCCGACTACCTACGTAGACGCCTACCGGGTAGCACTCTCTCTATCTCTCTCCTCCAAATTCCCAAGCTCCCTCGCTCTCCGCGTGTAACCACGAGCCTCGAGAGTCTGGAGTTCCCGGTCAGAAACTACGACTAGTTGAGACCCTGAATCCTCTGCGAATGCGCCTCTTCGTCGCACTGGCTATTATTCTGTCATACACCCAGTAACACGAGCTGTCCCACTACCGTCATTCCCCACCTCTCTCTCTCTCGCCCCTGCTGTTGCTGTTGCTGTTGCTGCGGGCCCCTCCGCGACTCGAGGCCGCGGAACTGTCCTGGAATTCCTCTCTCTTCTCTCCCCTCCTCCTCTTCTCTTCCTTCTTCTCTCTCTCTCCCTCTCCCTCTTTCTCTACCCCTCCGACTCACTTGCCTTACTTTCAATTCGACGACTCTTCCTCACGCTTTCCTCGTTCAAAAGATAAGCGACGAGACGATCTCTCCCGGTTCCATCCCCTCGATCCCGGGATCTGCGCGCACGCCTCTCAGACTCCCAGTCTTGAGAGAGCGCGCCTGTGAAGATGTAAGCTACCGTTGGCCCCTTGCAGTGCAACACCAAACCCTCCGCGTTTCGTCCTGAAAAGAAGAAAGAACCGATGAGCTGATTCCTCCTGCAGGAAGTTCGGTAAACAGATTCAGCGCCGGCAGCTCGATCTTCCCGAATATGCGGCCAGCTTCGTCAACTACAAGGGGCTGAAGAAGGTGCGTTTTGGACCTCCGTCTTCCGTTGGAATGGTGCTGGAATGGCCGAAATCCCGTTCTGGCCGGTGCCGATGTTCCCCACCGAGACCGCGCTGCTAATTAACCTCGTGTGCAGCTCATCAAGCAACTCAGCGCCACACCTACTATTCCCGCGCAGCGAACGGCCGAAGAGATTGCCCAAGATGGTACGCTGGATCCTCAGGCTTCCCTTCGCGCGAACAAGGAGGTGTTCTTCTTTCGTTTGGTAAGCTCGTTCGGCCTCCCTCGGTTGCCCCGGATTGTCGTTCGATGTCTAGATTGCTAATGGGATGCGAAAATTAGGAGCGGGAGATTGAAAAGGTCAATGCTTTTTACCTGCAGAAAGAATCAGAGGTACGTTGAATATGCGAGTCTCTCGTGATATACTCCTTTGGGAGTAAGATCAATTCTCCAGTATACTCACATCAAGACCACTTAGTTCTCGCTACGTTTGAAAACACTAGTCGACAAGAAGCGCGTGATCCAGTCACGAAACGTCTCCAATTCCAAGGCTCCGTCGAACTTTGTGGCACTTTTCGAGGGATTCCAACAATTCGATGGCGATTTGAACAAACTGCAGCAATTCGTCGAGATCAACGAGACTGCCATGTCCAAGATCTTGAAGAAATGGGACAAAACTTCCAAATCCCGCATGAAGGAGCTCTATCTGCACCGTGCAGTCGAAGTGCAACCTTGTTTCAACCGCGAGGTCCTCCGGGATCTATCAGATCGGGCTACGACCGCTCGGTTAGAGTTGGAGGCCTGGGCCGAGGGAGAGAACCTACAATTTGACACTTCGCGACCAACCGAGCGTTCTACGGCGCCATTTGGTACGGAGGAAGAGGAGATGGATCTTCAAGTCTTGCAGTCTGCATCTGCCGGAAACCTGCAGAACCTGCGGGAGTGGGTGGCAAAGCTGCACTCCTTCCCAGATTCCCGTGATCGAGCCACGAGGACTTTCTTGAATGCGATCAACGGCTTCGCCGACGAGATTCTTGGCCTTCTCCTTGAAAGCGGTCTGGTCGACATTCACGCTGAAGATGATATCAATGAGCGAAACTGTCTCCACGAGGCCGCCATCTCCGGGAGAGACTTTGTCTTCAAGGCCGGCCTTGCAGCCGGTGTCGACTTCTCTCTTTCCGATGTCTATGGACGCATTCCTCTACATTACGCGTGTATGCACGGCCGAGTGGATATGGTGCGGGAGCTGCTGGCGGCTGGCCCGCATACGGTGGACATTATGGATCACGACAATTTCACTCCTTTGATCCACAGTATCGTCAAGGGACAGCTCGCTTGTGCCGAGCAGGTGCTTTATAGCAACGCTCGGATCGATCCGGCCTCCGAATCGGATCATATCCCACTCAACTTGGCCTGTCAACATGGTTCCCTCCCGATCGTGAAAATGCTCCTTGAGCGCAAGGCCCGCTTGTTGCCTGATGCCGAGGGCCTCTATCCCCAACATATGGTGGCTCGGGCTTCTCAATCACCGGACCTTCTATTCCTCCTCAAGCAGCACGGTGCTGATCTGGATCAACGAGACAAATTGTATCAGTGGACGCCTCTGTTCCATGCTGCGAGCGAAGGCTGCGTGTCGTGTCTACGAACGCTTCTTGAGCTGGGTGTGGATGCAAAGGTGGCTGATGAGAAGGGCCTCTCGGCCATGTACTATGCCGCATGGGAAGGGCATTTGGAGTGCATGTTGCTTCTGTGGGCTCAACCGTCTCAAGCACGTCCGTCCCAGCGGCCGCTGGATCTTCTCAATGGCGTGCAGTTCCAGGAGCCTGGCATGATGGAGGACTCCGGAGCTATGCGCCGTTCTAGCGCCGCTGAGATGGATATTGCTGATGGCATCCCGGACTTGGAACTCCCCCCGCCCATTATTCCTCTCCGTCGATACGGTCACAACTTCTTGGACAAGAAGGTCTTTGTCCAGCTCCTCTTCGATCAGGGCAACGCTGGATCCATCGCCTTTGAACAGGCTGGCCGCCACCCTGCGGCCCGTCTGACCATTTCCTCCAAACTCTCCGATCTCATCCCCCGCACCATCGTTCTCCCTATCCAAGACGACTCTCGAACGATCTCCTTCCACGTGGATAATCTCGACACCTTTGCTGTGGATTTCGAAATCTTCCCCACATTTGGCTCCAAGGTGATTGCCAAGAGTGTGGCTTTACCCGTGGTCTTTGGTGCGGAAAAGTCTAGCACGGGCTCGTGCTGCTTGCCTCTCTTTGACCCTCGTCTTCGTGCCATTGGTCAACTACGCTTCAACTTCCAGGTCATCAAGCCGTACCACGGTGATCCCCTGGAGATCACCCATTTCGCGACTTACTGGAAGGCCACGAGCGCAGTCGATTCCGAACACAATGGCCTGGTTACTGGCTCAAGTTTGTCGGGAGATTACGTGCAGCTCTTTGTGCAGCTTACCAAAGACCGCGTCCCGGTTCTTTACCCCCAGTTCATGATCAACCACCACGGAATCGACATTCCCGTGTGCCAGTTGTCGTTCGCTCAGTTCCAGAGCATCGGTGCCGAGCGGGGTGTCAACCAACAAGAGGTCGCGCGATTCTTGGAGACACAAGCGGTCAACGACATGCCACAAGCACATCGCATTCTGGCTGCATCCTTCATGTCTCTACGAGAGGTTCTATGGCAGCTCCCGATTGACTTGAATGTCAACCTCTCCGTTCTCTACCCCTCTAGTGCCGAGGAGAAAGCTCTTGGCTTGACGTCTCTTACAGATGTCAACAGCTTTGCTGATGCCATCCTGACAAACGTCTTTGATCACGCCCGTGTTGCTCGCGAAAAGAGCCCCGACTTTATGCGCTCCGTAGTCTTTACCTCTTACAATCCCAATATCTGCACTGCGCTCAACTGGAAGCAGCCTAACTGTGAGTTTTGATTCTCGAGTTTTTTTTCCCCGATAGAATCTGCCAGACTAACTTGCCTTTCCCTAGACCCGGTCCTCCTTTGCAATGACCTCGGTCAAATTCGGGATCTTGCTGGTAATGTGGATGCACTGCCCCATGTGAATAGTAGCGGCCGTGCCTCGATGTCGATTAAGGAGTCTGCTCGGATCGCTCAGAGTAACAACTTCATGGGTCTGATTTGCCGGTCAAGTCTTCTGGTATGTCCATCTTCATTCTAGTCTTGCTGATATCTTCCTTGCTAATGATGTGTCCTTTAGAACGTCGTCCCTGCACTTGTGGAGACTATCAAAGAACTTGGCCTCGTGCTGGTGGCTGATACTTGCGACGAGACTGGGCAGCTTGATCGCGGGGATGCACTTACCTCTGCCAATGCCATGGGCGTGGCGGAGTGGGCATACCGGATGCCCGACGGCGTGAACGGCGTGATGAGAGCCAACGGCGTTCTACGATTCAACGACATGATCGATATGTGATCGCCATCTTACATTGCATCCCCCGTTCCCCGAATTCCCCGAAACTTTTTTTTCACTCTGAACCTGTTCCAACACTTTGCATCTCATTATTCCCATCACCCTCCGAGACGAAGACCACGAGTTTCCCGTATCTATCTGCTACCCCGTCATGCTCAACGATTCTTTTTATTACCTTTTTTTTTCTGCTCTCCGGTCTGTCTGGTGCAAGTGCAGGTCCAATTTAGTACTGGTTCATTGCCCATCGTGTCACATCTTCCGACATCTTATATTTCTTCTTCAATCTAAAAACGGCGGACTGCTCTTTTTTTCGTCTTCTTTACACAGCGATTTGCAAATTTGAACTTCCTTTGGCCCATGTGATTTTCTACCGTTCGGCCCATCTCTGCGGGCGCTGGAATAAACGGTTGATGGCTTTTTTTGCAGCTGCTAGACTTCCTCGTCTAGCTCGTGATCTGCTCTGGTGTATCATAACCCTGTAGATTGATCGCTGATGATGTTTGATAATTATGATTGAGTGGGGATCACACAAAAGAACTTGTGCGCCGGTTTAAATCTAAAATGGCTGTAAAGAGTAATGTACAAAAAGGTGTGAACCACCCCCAACACGCCCCCGTGTAGGTCATCGTCCCGCTATGCTGTACAGTAAATCATTTCCCCCGTCTATAAAGAGTTTGTACTCGTAGTTATACTCGTACCTTCAGCGTGCTGGTGCTGGTGCTGGTGCTGGTGCTGGTGGCGATTAGGTGCTCTTCGGCTTGCGCTTGCCAATATCCCAGCCCCAGCGCCGCAACACCTTGACAATCTTGGGCGTCACGGCCGCCGTCAACGGGACACGGAAGAAGATCAGACTCTTGTGGACGGCATACGCCAACGCCAACTGAGTCCATATACCTGAAAAAAAAAAAGCCCCACGAATTAGTTCATGACCGTAAAGAGAAATCGGATCGTGGAAATCCTCAAAATGGCAAAAATGGGGAGAGACAAGGAAAACATACTAGCTTCCTCCATACTCCGCTCCTGCTTCACAAGCGCACTATCCTCCTCCTCCTCACCCTCACCCTTCCCACCGTCCTCCTGCGGCCAAACAGAATAAAACGCATCCTTGACAGTCTGAACCACGACGTGCTCCCAATGCCCAATCCTCTCCACGCCAAGTAACCGCACCGCAATGAAACAGAACGGGAAATCCAGCGCGGACAGTCCCAAGTACACACCCAGCGCGGCCCAGCCGTATTCACGGGACAACGTCCGAAGACGCTGTGAGAGAGACCCGCCTTCTTTGGGGGCTTGTGTGGTGGAGGAGGAGGAGTTTGCGCGGCGCGCGTTGCGACGTGGTAATTGGACCGTCTTGGGCCGGAGACTCGGTCGGGTGCGAGTCGCGAAGCGACTTGCTAGCGAGGTGAAGGTGCGTCGGGTGTTGGTTCTGGGACCGGCTGATTGGCCGGTCAGACGGGCCGATCGAGTCAGAGATAGACTCTGTGATGGGGATGTTTGGGTTGCGCGAAGCGCAGTTCGGTGGAGGAGCTCCGTTGGCTGTACGAGCCAGCGGGAGAACAGGGATGGCCGGAGTGCCATTTTTTGGGGGTTTGGTATTTATTCCCTTTTTTTTGTTTTGGAGATGGTGATTGGTGATTGGCGACTGGGTTGGGAGGGTGTGTCTAATGGGTAGAGTGGATGAAAGGGGCGGGTTGTTGTTGGTGGGTGGGTGG